GTGATGACAACCAACACTGATGCTTAGAATTTAGATTACATTATTGAACCATCTTTCTCTTATCTTTCTTACCAGTATTGTGTCTCTCGCCTTCGCCTCTTACTTTCTTGAATACCCACCCTAGACTATGGAAAGTATGTAGACCAATATATCTATTCTTCTGTTTCTATCAAGTGAAAGCGGGCTACGCGATCAAGTTTTCGTTGATCCTTGAACAAAATGTCCTCGAAATGCTCCCATATTTGCCTTTGCTCATCTCCTTCCATCCAAATTGGCATGTACACATTGCGTATCTGATTGATGCCGACTTGACGAGCCCAAATTTGATACAGCCGTGCACAGGCCTCCAAGATGTCACCCCGGCGAGACACATGATTTATGTCCAAAGGTATACGGAGACGCCCAAAGGACCCCTGGATTCCACGCATCCCCCATTCTGCTGCCTGGCGAAGTGAGAGGAGTTGACAATCAAAGGCCTTGACTTGGGCTCTTTCCTTCTCATCTGCTGGAAGACGAGTTCCGCTCTTCATTGGGGCTTTGATACGACCTTGTATTTGATCTGTTCCTCAAGGAAAGGCTGTATCCGTGACAAGGTAATAACCCTCTGGTGTTTTCGTGCGTAGCTTTTCAAAAATAGGGCGAGCCACACGTGCATCATGCCAACTACCTGGCGCATTCATTCGGCAAGCAATAATAGACCCTGTTAGAATTGTGTAAGAACGAGATTGAGAAAGGAAGCACTTTACATACCAGTAGCTCCAAAAGCAATGACAGAACTCACGAAGTGTTCATGGAGCCATTCATTGAAAGTCGCGTTCTCGATCTCTTGATCGGGTGATTCCTGGACAGGGAGATTGAGGCCATCCATGGTACCAAATGCCCCCATGAGGAGGGGGTGTCGGGCTACAATAAGAGAGTTGTTCTCCTGGAATTCATCTCCTTCTAACCACCTGATAACACCCTCGGGAATTTGTCGCAGCACTGAAAGAAGAATGTCGAGGCAGAAGTCAAGGTAGCGATTGACGGTGCTGGGAATGAGAGCAAAGATCTCCATTAAGCTAATGTCGCGCATTGTCGAATTGAGGTAGTGAAGGATCAGCCCCAAGCCTCCAGCAGGATCAAGGGATCGACTATTCACCCGAGGCGGGGCTGTCATAGGCTGATCAGGCCGGGGGATGGGTGTAGTGTTCCAAAGGAGAGCGAAACCAGATTGGAGGAGGTACTCAAATGTACTGACATCAATTCCCATAGTCGTAATAAATCCGCGATCACTTGAGCTGCTATGCAAGCGCTGCCATGGTGTTCCTTCTCGTGGATTTGGGAGCAGTTCATTTCGGATGAGGTAAAGGCGTTTGCGGTTCTCTGAGCGGTGCCGCCGATTTTCTTGTGCTTCCAAGTAGATTGCAGTCCCAGAGAGGCCTGCATTCTGCAGGCGATCGTTTTCTTCATCCCAATATTCGTCCTCCTCGAGAGCGAGATGGCTGAGCAAGGTGTCAATGAGATCGCCCATGGGTGTAGTAGCGAGGCTTGCAGGAGGCCCGAAGCCATGCGATCTCTTATCTTATCAGCATAGCCACAGAATGCAGCAAACAACTTACGCCTGCATGCGAGTTCTAGATACAAAAGTGGTTACGGTTCTGTAAAGCACTCTGCTTGATTTCAAAACTCGGGCAATCCCGAAGAATTTGTGTTGGAAAAGGAGTTAGAAATTCCAGATCGTTAAGGAAAGTCATCCACTGGCGATGCAAGCCTTCCTCCTCTTGGTAATATATCTCTAAATAATCCTTTGTCCTTTGCTCCTATAGTAAGTGTAGCGTCAAGGAATTATACACATATCGATAAATTACTCAAGGCTTTATGATCATGTTCTCTCGACCTGGGCCGACTCCGATCCACTTGACGGGCACCTTAGTGGATTCCTCGATGAACTCGACGTACTTCTTGCAGTTCTCAGGGAGCGCGTCGTACGAGGTGATGTTCTCGATGGAAGATTGCCATCCAGGTAGAGTGACATACTCGACTTCGACTTTGTCGAGCAGCTCGAGATCGGCTGCGGGAATTCATAATGCCGTTAGACAGGGTGGAGTCGACAGTCAATCTTGCACGAACCTGGGAATCCAGATAGCTCTTTACCGTCTACGGTGTACTCGACCGCGATCTTTATTTCTGCCAATTGATCAAGCACATCGAGCTTGGTGAGGTTGAAGCTGTCGTATCCGTTGATCAAGGTGGAGTGCTTCAGGACAACGAGATCGAGCCATCCACAGCGTCTCCGACGACCAGTAGTAGTGCCATACTCGCGACCGACTTCTTGGAGATGGACGCCAGTATCCTACAAAAAGTTTTAGTTTTGCGTATAAGTCATTTGAGGCTCGCTGACGTTCAACTGTTCAGTGGGGAATGGCCCCCCTCCGACGCGCGTAGTATACGCTTTGACGACGCCGATAGTGTGTCCAATCATCTTGGGGGGAATCCCGAGTCCAGTGCAAACACCACCAATGGCGGTCGAGGACGATGTCACGTAGGGATACGTGCCAAAATCGAGATCGAGCATCAAGGCATTAGCACCCTCGACGAGGACCTTCTTCCCGGACGATATGGCTTGGTGAATGTATGCCACGCTGTCGATGATATAAGGGCGTAACCGCTCTGCAAGTTCCTAGTGTGAAGTTGGAGATTAGGGGCAACCAAAAACTAAGGAGCTGTGTATTCCATACCTTGTAGCGGACGATCTCGCCTTCGGTGTCGTATTCGAAGTACCCATAACGCTTAAAGCGGCCCTCGACGATCTTGCGGAACTTCTGCGCAAAGGTTTCGTGGTCGAAGAGGTGATGCACTCTGAGGCCTGAGCGGGAGGCTTTCCCAGAGTATGCCGGGCCAATGCCCTTCTTAGTGGTCCCGATGCTTCAGAACAGATCAGGATGGAGCGAAAAGGAGGAACATCGAGCCACGTACCTCGAACCGCCGAGTTCGACCTCCTTCAACCCATCAACAATTTGGTGGAAATCGAAAACGAGATGGGCACGATCGGAAATGAAAAGACGACCAGTGCAATCTAAGCCTACGTAAAAGTCTGCTTTAGCACTGCATACGGCGATCGGAGAGGGAGACTACCTTGACTTTGGAGGGCATCGAGCTCCTTAAAAAACGAGGGAACATGAACGACAACACCAGAGCCGATTAGGCCAGTGCACGATGGGTTGACGAGACCTGTTCGTCCGATTTGAACGCCTGATCATCCGACGAACCACGAGAACGTCTACATACCGCTCGGGAGAAGATGGAACGCGAAAGTCTTCTTCTCCCCATTTACGGGTACCACGATGGTGTGTCCTGCGTTGTTCCCCCCTGCGCATCGGGCGCATACATCAATGTCCGCTGCGAGGATGTCAACCAGTTTTCCTTTGCCCTCGTCGCCCCATTGCGATCCCAACACAACGGACACTGAAGGGCCAAAATTGTCAGGGCAGATTAGATTGCGATGAGATACAATTCCGCACCACTCATGGTCCTTCCTGCCGTTGGTCAAGATCTAGGACAGACTGTAGCAAACCAAATGTCTGGGAGTGGAAGAATATGACTCAAGGCTCCCAGTCGAGGGGAGCTAGATGGGGTGTCCAGGAAACAGACATTTTTCTTCCAAATAAGGCTGTTGCTCCCTGTTGAGTCGTTCGGCGAACGCCGAGGTAGCCAGAACATATCTTGCGGTTTACCACCAACACCACCAACCCTCTGACATCTGCACTTCCCCTTGTCAATATCTGTCCTCTTCGTGCTTGATAGCTGCCAGAACTGAGGATGACTGCCTTTTCTTCGCGCCCTCTCAAACCGGGTGCGGTCAATCGGGCCGTCAGGAAGCATCCTAGTCTCTTTGGAATTCCATTCCTGCTGATCATGGTGGCCTCTTCATATGGTCTTTCCATGTTCACGCAAACCCGGTATGACCTACACGACCGTAAAGTGAAGACGGTGCGTATTTCTTAATTCTCTGCGTGCTCCGGAATGTTCACGTTTGCGCCAGGTGTCGAAGGAGCAGGAGCTGAATCTAAAGGCGAACAGGAAGAAGTTTGACATTCGGGAGGAGTACTTCGTGCGTTTAGATGTCTATTTTTCGTGGTGGTGCCTTGTAACACGTTGCTTTGCTTTCTAGCGTTTGAGCGCTGCGGCAGATGAAGAATGGGAACCCAAGCGCATACAACGGCCCAAGGGACTACCAGAGTGGGGTGTTCCACCGACAGAGCCTCCAGTGAAGAGCTCGTCGTGACAGTACCCTTTGTTCTGCCCTTCGCCCAGCAATCGATTACACTTACCATACGTCTCGACACACCTATGCAATATATTTTTAAGCCAGCCACTTGTATCAAGCATAGACAATCAGCCATTTCACGAGTTCTCCCGTCGACGTATCGTTCAAGTTCAGAGGATTTCACGCTGGTTTCGCGGATGCATGCTACGTCTTTTCTCATATACGACTGACCGCGATATGGACCCATTTTTGGCACAAATTCTTGCACATAATGCAAATTGCTTCCACAGTTCGAGGTATGCCTGCTCGCATCTTCTCTCATTTCGATTAGTAGGAAACTATGCTCTGGTCCTCTCTCCTTCGTACGGCCGCCCCAAACTCTCCGAGGCCCTCCTGGGGTATTAAGCTGAGTAAACACTAGTGGCTGAATGCATGCCCATAGTGGAAATCTTCCAGCCTTTCCCATGGGGTTGGATAATCGTAAACCGATGAAGGATTAGGTTGAGAGGCTCCAGACATCTATAAGACAACCTCGCAGGGCATGTTCCTGAGGTGCGAAAACTGGCCAATTTAGAAATGTGTGGAGAGTGACGAATCGATGATCAAGCAGTTCGTATGTGGCTGGCGGTTCAACATGCCCATCTACCGCCAGTCAACGACGAAAGGAAAGAAGGTCATCAGCCGGCCAGTCCGTGAAGGGCAAACGACTGAGCGGAAGAGATTGCAAAGAACGAAACCTTGCTCGACGTTTTGAGGTACACTCCTCCTTCGTGACCAGCAGCGAGATTCGAACTCGAAAGCACTTCTGTGTTCAGTGAAAGAAGGCCAGAAATCGACGGGAATATTGTCGCATTTGAGTTGAAGGACAACCCAATGGAAATGGAACCCAATGAATTTTGAGCTCTATTAAGCTAAACTATCACGCGAACACGAGCAAGGTCAGTTTTAATCACGGAGAAATTTCATCTCGAACGTACCTAGTACTAAATGTTGTACGCCAGCGGGTTCAGATACCATCCCCGGACCGTCTATTGCGTCTGCATGAAGTTCCGGTCTTTGATGGCTTGTTTATTCGCCCTCCTCCGTTCTACACGTTCCTTCTTGCCACCAGGGCCATCATCCTCGTACACGCGTGGCTTGAGGATGCTCCAGAGCCATTCCGGGTACGCATCGTCCGCAAGTGCGACCACAGGCGGTTGACCTTTCAGGTAGTTCACACCCGGTAGCACGGTGTCTGGAGCACATGAGGACCGTGGGGGTGGCGGTACGGGTTCAGAACCTATTATGAAAAGAGAGTATCGATGTTTGGGTCAATAGGGTCAATAGACATGCGAATGCTAGACGCGTTAGTGAACACACCTGCTTTCTTGCCTTGTCCGGCTGGTGCTTTCTCCTTGGGTTTCTCGCCAGTTATTGAGGACCCTGATGCACCAGAGGTACTTGCGTATCTTCTGCACGTCGATTGGAGCCGCAGGGAACTGGAAAAGGATGGCCGGAAGAGGGTCTGAAGGAGCGACATTTTTTGGAGGTTGTGACCAACTTCAGCACCTCGGCTCGCTCGGAGGACATGTTGTGCCTTGTTAGGATCGGACTACAAGGGGTTTACGGCCCGGAGCCACCAAACTATGAACTCCCGCGTTTTCGATGCTTGTTCTCTTGAGATAACTATTCATGGAGGACATTATTCAACCATAATACAAGGTCTCTTCCTACTGCGAAAAGTTGGAGAAAGTATTCACGCTTGCCATTTCACGCACAATTCTGCTGAGATTAGATTAGATTGTATATGATTTAGTGTCGTCACAACTTAGTCACGGTTCTGTTTAAGCCTCTTGACTCTTCCAACGCGTCCAATTTCAAGCGACACGACCCGTTCTCTTCCGCTCGAGTCTCTGCTCGCAATGTCTCTTTCGCGGAGCACCGTTCGACTTCTATCGCAGCGCACCTTGTCGCGGGGGTTCGCGACTGAACTTCCTCGACCACCACCTCCAACGCACCAGCCAGTCATCGAAACCTTCTCGGATACATCTAAACCGCGGCCATATTATGCGAAACATCCACCTTTCAAAGATCTTCCACGAGAAAAGGCGAGCGTTTTCGTGACGCAGGTGAAATACCAGCTTATTTTCAACTTGAAACAGTCAAAATGGCCTCTGGCGGCGGCTACGTTATTCGCCGGTGTGTCTGGGTGGGCCTTGTTCATGACGTTCGCCACGAATCAGGAGAAATTGTCGAGCTCGGTATTCCGGAGCATTGTCCGTGCTTTGAGGGCCGATCCTCAGCTACAGGAGGTGCTAGGGGAGGCGATTAGGCCTCAACCGGAGTGGTACCTGAACGGGGATCCCCATGTCAAGGGCCATGTGAGTGTTGTTTATCTTTCGCTCTCGGAGGGTGAGGAACAGTAGAAATTACTCATTTGTTTCATAGATTAGCCAACTGCAAGGGAACATTGACGTGAGCTTTAGAGTGCGAGGGTCAAAAGGTACGTAGCTCCTATCTCTTTTATTTCTCAACATGACCGTGTCTAGGTTCCGGAACATTATACTTCACTAGCATACGGAAAGAAAAGGGGGCACCGTTCACCGTCCGTACGTCGTATTGTTCGATTTTTTCATGCCTTGATCTGACGTCTCTTGTCAAGTTCGATTCAAAGTTATTTGCGATGATGGGACAATTGTTAATATTAGCGATGCTGCTCCTCCGATATGACGACCAGCTTACCGAGAAATTTAGTCACCCGTATAATGAAATTCGACTTAATGCTGGATGCTTTCGTCTCGTTCAGTGTCTTTGCATGAAGGGGTAAGTACGAAGTGCAATCTCTCTTTCTCAGCCGTGCCTCGACCACGTACAAGGACACATCTTCCCAAACCTAGTGAGACTGCAAGTCTCAGGTGCAGATTCGGCGTCAGTACCCTAACGCCTATTGACACCAAATTCTCAATTTTGAGTGTTGGATTTACCGTTCATCAAACGTAACTCCGTGCGGTGCCTCTGGTCCACTCGACGATGGCAGGTTCCTTTTCTTTCGTATCAAGGAAAAGGTCAAATAATCAAGTATCAACTATCCATGTCACCCGACCCTTCCACAGAACCAGCACACGTTCGAAATGTCAAATACCCAGCTCTAGGCTATCGTTACACAAGATGTCTTGACTGAGTGCCTCTGTCATCCTTCCGTCTTTGCATTCCGACAGTAGCCAGGTCCTACAGAGCTTTTCATCCACCATAATGCGATACGCGGGAGTACCTGTCCTCTGGTAAGTTGGCACGCTTGTCTTGTCTTCTGTCCTGCATTGCCGGAGGGATAAAAATAGCTCGCTGACACGGTCAATCTTTCGGAGCCAGAGTCCTCCGTGGAGCGGGGCAGACGCCGACGGGTCAAGTTGGGAGCTGGATTCAAGCTGGACCACGATAGGGTGTGTACGGAGATGCCGAATGCGGAGGAAAGCCAGCGCAGTGGAGGATGAGCGCTGAGCGTCTGTGGATATCCTGTCAGTGAAAATGATCAGGCACGGTGGTTGGACAAGGGGGAGTTCCTATGCCGCAATCTGCGCATCTTTTGTGTGTCGACAGCGGAGTGAACGTGTGAGAGGGTGCAAGAATCAGATCGCGCGGCAGGTTGGAACGAAGGGGGTCTTCTCATGAATAGACATTACAAATTCGTACAGAGCAGTTGTAGACATTCAATGCAAAAATGTTGGAGGACGTGATTAAGAAAGGGCTATGGTACAAATAACAAGCGTCCAAGACCACAGCTTCCGAGTGCATATGTTCAAAAGAGTGGACTTCGACTAAGCATAAAACAAGAAGCAAGGCCGAACAATAACCATTACGATACAAAGGTTCTACAGAAATAGTGTATCTGGATAAGACGTCCGCAGAGCATAGATATTAGCAGTGCTTCCACATCTTGACATAATCGCTGTGTTGTGCCAGATGTTGAATGTCGATCAGGGATGTCAGTGGGCAGTAAAAAAAAAAAAGAACAACGAAGTCAACGTCAGAAGATAAGGAACAGGAGGCAAATGAAATGAATAACGTACACAACCATAGCACGGTCTTCGAGGTTCGACGGCCACGTTGGGTACCATTGCCCAATTGCCCTCGCGAAATCGAGTGGCGGGCCTAGATACGGTAGGACGTGAGCACAGGGAGGTCGAATATGCCGAAATACCCACTTTGCGCGCGGTCGAGCCATGGCTTGTCACCCTGTCCCTCAGGGAACCAACCGTTGGTGGACCCAACGGCGACGTTCAAGATAAGGAAAAATTCTGAAGAGAACGCATACCGGTTAATTGACAGACAAATGTTGTTCGGTGCTTGCTAATTACCTTGGTCGAAAGGTGTCGCGTTGGTGCCGTTAATCCAAGGATTTTGAAGGGCTACGAGGCTCGACCCGTTGAAAATGACATCCGGAAACTCGCCGCGTTGGAAGAAAGGCTTGTTAAACCGCATGTCGAGCAACGTGTGCAGGCGGGTGTTAACGTAAATCCGCCTGGTGATTTTTGCATTCAGCGATGTGTCTACAACGAAAAGAAGATGACTCACAAAAACTCCGGCGTCCACTCGAGGACATACGTGTGGAAGTCGGCACCGAAGGATTTACGCTTATCCGTCCACCAACTGTACGACTTCGAAACGCCGTTGAGGTTCGGGGCCGGGCCCCAGTTCAGTGATCCTTGGACGTAGTTAGAACCACTGTTCGAATGAAAATGTCAGAAGTGTTGACATGAGAATATGAAAGCGACCCACCGAGCCGTGTATCGCAAACCATTTCCACGAGATTCAACGATGTCGATTTCACCTAAACACCAGAGAGAATTTAAGCATGGAACGGCGGAGGATTGACCTCGCAACTTACCGCTCAGTGGCCAAGAGCCGTAAACCTCGTCCCTGGGCAACATCCAGAGGGCAGGCCACATCTGTGTACATCCAGAATAACCAGGTCAGCATGTGTGATGACTGGAAGGGAGGATAAGACCTTACCCAGTCACTGTATGGAACAAACGCGGCAAGGACGGAGATTCGACCTAGTAAGACCGAGCCCAAAAATAGCATATAGCTGGGCACTTACCCAGTTGGCATCTTCGCGCGAATCTCAACACGACCATAGCGAATGCTGGCGCTGTATCTTGTGCTCAATCGCGCGCTTTGTACCGGGTTGATGACTGTTCCAGCTGTTGCATTGCTTACAGCACTGCATGAGCGGTAATAGCTCGGCCAGTCGAAGATGCGCCGTCCTTCCTCGTAGATGTGACCGTTGTCGGGTCTGGTGATGTTGAACGTGCAGTCTGTGATATTGTACACCGTCCCATCGAACACGGCGTCCATGCCGATGTTGTCCGCGGTCAGCGTGGGCACGATATAGAGCTTGCCATCCCGCACGAAGGAGTTGTTCCTCGAGGAGGTGGTCATCTCGAACTCGCCGGTGCTAAAAATAGGCACGGCTGAGTCTTCGGCTGCGCAGAAAGGAAGCGAAGCAAACGTACCCAAACCCATCCATGTTGACCTCGCGGAAGAACGTACCTCCCTCCCCGAAGACCGTCGCCTCGTTCTCGAAGTTCTCGTCGAGGACAATGCACAGTGTCCGCTTGTCCAGTGGGACCCGGGTATATACGAAGTACGACTGCACGGCACCCCCTGCGATACCAAGTAGGATGATCGCGTAGACGACCCAGTAGGAGAAAACCGCCCGAGGGCTTTTCTTTTCCAGCCAGGGCTTCGGGAGGGGGTTCGCGTCAGATAGCATGTGAGACTTCATCCGAGGAATTTTCGTCTTCGGTGCGGTTGTAGTGGGGGAGGCAGGGCTTGTGTACGGTGCAGCTGACAAGCGTGAGGCACTTGAACGCGCAGAGGAGAATGCTGATGCGCCGAATCCTGCCTGGTTCAAGATCGAGCGACGGGGCCCAGCACTGAAACTCGAGTCGGGGAAAGAGACCTTGGACGAGCTCGGGCTTGCTGGCTGGTGGTGAATAGACGGCGCACGGCTGGAGACCGGCGACGCAAACGGGTCGGTCGCTGCAGCGGACACAGCAGTGTTCGGGCGGGTTTCTGTGCCCGAAGAGTGCCCCATTGGCTGGGCGTCCCTCTCCTTGCTGCTGCTGGCGTCGGACATGGCTGAAGTGATGTGGACAGCAAGTCTGCACCTTGTTCGAATTGGACTTGGAAGAGTTTTATAACGAACCTATCGTTGAAGGATATCTGTCACTTGCGATTTGATAATTGTTCCGTACGTCTGGCTGACCTGTGGCTTTTTCTTGCCCAGGGGCGGTTGATAGCAGGTGGGAGAGTCTGCGCGACGGACGTGGAATATGGGACGCCTTTAGTGCCTAGGCCTCACGTCGGCATCAGCTCTTTACGTTGTTGAAGGCGTCTTCTTTTTCGATCGGAGAGGACAAGGGAGATTCGGTGGCCGACCCGTACATACGGGCAGGCTTCTGCGGAGCGAGATACGATCCATCTTGTGAGAACTCTTCGAATTTGCCACGCTGTCAGCGTAAATGAGTTCGTAAGTATATGCGCTCCGAGTGAGGTAGATTCTCCAAGACCACCGCGATAGTACTTATAGGCTTAGGTCGTCTTGACGAGCTGGTGGTGATAATTCGCGGAGTACAGCAGATTTAGCGCTCTATCCATGGCTGGGTCATGATTGTAATGCGACCTTGACAGGGAAATGGAACTGCCTAGAAAATCATTTCGCTCTGGCTGCACTGCCGCAGTGGAGTGTCGATCAGAGTATCCCCGGACACACACGCTGTCAGGTTGGGTATATGCATTCCGAGAGAGTAATCCTGCTCGATGTCGGCGCGATAAGAGACTCATCCCTGCGTGATGGGCTTCACTGCATCCTATCGTCCTATGCCGCCACTAAGAACAGAACAAGCAGTTGAATAGGCAATATTCCACGATTTTGAGCAAATTGGCATACACTGGTTTCGTCAAAAAATCACCAAATGACATGCCTCAGTCGACGGCCTGTCGAAATCCAGATGATGTAGATCAGATCGCTTCCATATGTTCTACAGGAGAACGACGGCTTCAAGACATCGGTTCTCTCAGGTTCCGAAATGCATTATGGAATCCTCGGCTTGTAAGGATCATTGTTACAATTAAGGACTGTGGAGGCCTGCGAGGGCAGGAAGTTAAGCTTTGGATGCATGAAAGCGCGTTTGACAGACCCTTGGTGTGTGAGCCCCGGGTGCAGGCGGCCAATCGTCGGCGTGGACGGTCCACAGGCAAGCTAGACAGAAGTTATTTTCCTCGAGGCACTGATAGGTATGGCACACTGTCAAAAACCGCTGTGCTGAAGGTGATGGACACTCAAAGATAGCTGACAAAAGCAATCCGACATGAAGCAATGCTCAGCTCATCATGCGTATTGGGCGATTTGAACAATATCTGTCAAGACAAGTGGGAATAAACCGGCCTATCAGCACAAAATTAGCGTAAAATTGAATGTAAGGAACAGGAACCGGAGGGGATTCGAGAACCGAGGGTATGTGAACAGGTGAGCGAGGTTGTCTCGGCAAAAAAACAAACGGCATAGTTTCAAGATGAAGGTTTGAAGAAAGGCAGGCTCGGAATGGCAGCCCTGTTAGAGTTTGTCACACAATCTGTCACTGATGGTTTGGGAATGCCGATGTCACACCTGTCCAACTTTCGAATGCACCTCGAAATCGAAGAAGCGTGTATAAAGCACAACTCGCCGGAATGTGCCCCCTTGGCCCCGTTCTTGTCCCCTACGAGGTGGCCGCTGTTCCGTGCTCCCCCTACCCTATTTCCCCGCCTATATCTTCCTAATATCCTCTCCTCTGTCCGCCATGGCAGCCGTCACGATATACAACAGCGACTACGACCTCTGGGATGCCTGGCTTCACAAGATCTGTGCGTCCGCAGTGCTTCTCAGCGGATATTTTATTGACCTCGTTCTAGATGAAACCACCCAGCAGGAGAACTGGTTCATGCCTATTGAGGAGACCGTCTCGACTGGTGTCGCCATGCGCGTCGAGAACGGCTTCTTTCGCGTCTTTCCTTACGAGACCCCGGCACTTATCCCGTTCGAGGCGGCTGTGCGCAAGCTGAACCCTGTCGTTGCTGTCAAGATTCGCAACACGGCCGTCCAGGCGGCTATTCGCAAGATGTACGAAGATTTCTTCAACTACATGGGCATATATTCACCTTGAGTGTTGACTTTTAGCGGTCCGAACGACGACTGTCTTTACATCGACGCCAACACCCGCATCCAGATAATCGACACCATCGACTTCCTTCCCCAAGCCGAGAAAGACCAGTGTGGCGCCTTTATCGTGGGTCCAACATTTCACCTTGCAGCAAACTCAGGGAAATTAAAATAGGCGCTTTAGCGAGACGAGCGGGCTGTGGTCCTCTGGAGTTACAGCTTAGAGAACATCATCCCTCTCTGCAAAGAATTTGAGGAAAAGCTCATCAAGCACATTTGGCGTACTCGGGCTATCGGGCATCGACCTTCCCAGCCTCTTGCGTCTCCAGTACCCACCCCGGCAACGAACGCCGCGCTCTCTCCGGATGGCTCGCAAACTGAACTCAATGAGAAGGCGCCCGAAGCTCAAGTCGAGGAGGTCAAACAGGAGAAAGAATCTGCTCCTGCTGCTGCGGCTCCACCACCAAAAGGTTCCTGGTGGAACTGGAAGCTGCAACCACGCGCACCAGCCGCACAGTCATCGCCCGGAGGCGATCCAGAGAAGGGTGGCAAGCGCAAGGAGCGGAAATTGGTCCTGATAGGTCCGATCTATGCTGGTTGTGGTGCTGCGCTGGCAGCTTGTGAGTGCCTTCCTTCCTCTATGCTTCTCATCGAAGTTCCTCTCGCCCTTCTGATGAAGCGTTGCCGATGCTTATTGTATTCCTCCACCCGTAGATTTCATGACATCTGGTGTTTCTGTCCTTCTCGAAGAGTACGCTCTTGATGGCGACCTCACTCGATTTGCGCTTCTTGTCACTATGCCTGTTATCTATTGCGTTTCTATCGTAAGAGTCTTCGCCTCCTTTTCCTTTGGGGGCTACTCCAATTCCTCATCTCCTCCTGTTTGCAGTTCTTCTGCCTCCAGCTTATTGGGAACTTGTGCCTCATGTAAGCGCTATCTTTGCTTCCCTTTTCGCTGGGATTTCATTTTGACCTTCCCCTCCAGATTCGGACCAGTCGCTCAATATCATGAAAACTCCATGTACTATTCGGCGGTCAAGCCCGAACCTAATGCAGAGGTTGACCGAAACCTGCCGCATATCACAATTCAGATGCCCGTCTACAAAGAAAGTCTTGAGCACACTATGTATGTATCTCATCTATGATCTTTCCGTTGCATATTGCTGACGAGTAGAATAGTGCACCTTCTGTGTACTCCGTCAAGAAGGCCATGCAGACGTACGCTCGTCAAGGTAAACTTTTCCCTCTTTTCGGTATAAGCTCATGCGGTTAATCTCCTTTGCTCCTTCTCCGAACAGGGGGCACATCTGCAATCTTCGTCTGCGACGATGGTATGCAATTGATCAGCGAAGAAGACCGGAAAGAGCGGACTGCATTCTACGCGAATCACAACATTGGATGGGTGGCTCGTCCTGGCCATAACTCTGCCCCCGGTGGTTTCAAACGTGCGGGCAAGTTCAAGAAGGCCAGCAAGTATGTTAATATTGTTACAATGAATTTTTATATTATACTGATGAACGTCCTGTCTGATAGCATGAACTACGGTCTAGGTATATTCGTTGCTCACTGTTATTTTGGAAGTGCCTCGCTAACCCAGTTGCCTTAGCTCTTTCCCTCAAATTGGAGAAGTTCCTTGCCCAATTGGAGACAGAGGGCGCCGAGGACGACGGTGACGAATACCTAGAAGATCGTGCTATGAAGATGGCACAAGAGGAGCTTTATGAGGAATCGGGTCGCAAATTCATGCCTTGGTGTGCTAACGGCAAGTCTCTCCGGATGGGCGAAATTATCCTTATCATCGACTCCGATACGGTCGTCCCCGAGGATTGCTTCAGAGATGCAGCTCGCGAGATGTATGAATCCCCTGACGTCGCTATCATCCAGCACGAGTCAGGTATGGCCTCCTGTTCCCATTTTCGCCGTCTCTCGAGGTGCCTAACGATTGATTCGTTGCCTAGATGTCCTCCAAGTTGCCCATCACTATTTCGAGAACGGTATCACCCACTTTACACGGCGTATTAACAAGTGTATCTCCCTTGGTTGCGCCAATGGGGAAGTTGCGCCTTTCGTCGGACATAACGCCTTCCTTCGCTGGTCTGCGGTTCAAGATGCATCGTTCATTGACCCTGCGGACGGTAAACGGAAACAATGGTCTGAAGCCAACGTCTCGGAGGACTTCGATCTCGCTTTGCGGTTGTTGTTGAACGGCTACACTCTCCGATGGGCTACCTACTCAGATGGCGGCTTCAAAGAGGGCGTATCGTTGACCGTCGTCGATGAGCTCGCCCGCTGGCAAAAATACGCTTACGGTCTGTCGCAACGTTGCTTGATCCATCCAAATAACTGACGTTATTGTTGTGGACACACAGGCTGTAACGAAATTATTTTCAACCCGCTCATTCGATGGTGGCGACAGGGACCCATTAGCCAACAACTCCGAGGGTTCGTGTGGTCCAAGGCTCCTGTGCACTACAAGATTGGAATGATGTCCTGTACGTCTTTTCGCCGACTGGTGTGAAATTGAGCCTAGTTTGAGCTGACTGCTATCTGTTCTTTTCCCTTATGTGGTTGATTATCGCGACGTGCAGATATGTTCTCGTATTGTGAGTACACACCTTCGCTCTGATCCGACGTCGTCGTAACGTGGATCGAATGTGACGTGGTTGGTTCGTGCAACTGACTGGCCGAGGTATCTTGACCCCAAAGTTGGCATGTTGTTCGACGGTCTTCGCCTTTCTGATCATTTACTTCAACTACTTACACCGTCGTTCCTTGGCTGTGTTTAGATGGGATTGCTGCCGCAACCGTGGGCTCGATTCTCAACTACCTCCTCCTCGGCCTTGCCCCTCAGATCGATCGGTTCTATCTGCATAGCTTCGAGATTCTCCTTGCCTGTACGGTCGTGTTCCCCGGTGTAGGCAACTTGGGGTACACACTCTTGGAATATCGACTTGGACAGCGCAATTTCTTCGGCGCTATGTTTGAGAACTTGAGATGGGTACCATTCTTGTGAGTGTCTTGACTCTTAGGTTATGTCACTTGCGGCTGCGGGCGAGAGAAAGAGTTGACTGATCGGCCTCTTCATTTGCCCCCTTGATGCAGCTTGTTCTTCTTCGGCGGCCTCAGCATCCACTTGTCGACCGCTCTGCTGGCGCACTTGTTCTCGTACGACATGTAAGTCCCTTGCCCGACGGCCCGCCGGGTGGATTCTCGATCGGGTGTTGTAGATGCTGATCGTTGCGTCTGTCTTCCTCAGGACCTGGGGTTCCACTGGCAAAGAAGTTGAACGTTCTTCCTTCTGGATTGAAGGTCAGCGGCCTTTTTTTTCTTTTCTTTTTTTTCGGAGACCGACCCGAAGAGCTCAACACTGACATTGTCCTGTCACAGTACCCCGTATCTGGCAACGCTTCAAGTTGTCGTTCATCATCTGCTTTGCCTGCATTGCCATGATGATTATATTTACGACAGACGTCGTGCCGTTTGAGTGGCAAATTCCAGGTTGGGAATGGGCCTTGATCATCCCCCTCGCACTCGTGGTTGGCTGCCACATCTTGCTTCCAGTAAGTGTTCATCTCATACTGGTAGCTTAGATTGCACCAGAGCTGATAATCCGTTTTTTTTTCTCTTTCGTTCAGATTGTCCTCAACCCTTGGTTGATGATTTTCTCGTATTAAGAAGCCCCCTTTCTGTATTGGATTGAGTCTTGGGGGCCGGAAGTTTAACTGCGACCCTCCTGTCCTATCTCGGACTGCTATCATGATGTATCCAAATCCGTTCTTTTCAACGCTCGGCCTATGCAAGGACTCATCCCTCATCTTACATTGCAAACCGTATCTGTATAATTTCTTCAGTATCTTATCGGACTTTTCTGTCCTTACCGTGAGTTACATGCCTAACGTCTTTCATTCTTGGCTTTTTTGGTGGTTTTGAGCTCCGTAGTACATACCAGCTCGTACACGGGTGTTGTCCTGCAAAAACATTAGACTGCGGTGCCTCTGGGACAGTCGACCTGGTTCATTGTACATATTGTATTCACACGTACCCATATTTTGGAATTTATTAATAACGGTAGATATCAATATCCAGCAGAGCGAGAATTCTCGAAGTGAAATTCCACCAGAAAGTCTCTGATTCAGAAACTACGGCACCGGACTACGGCGACATTTACCTTTGTCCCTAGCGATTAAATAAGCAAGGCCTTATTATTTGTACTTTATATTTTAAATATAAAGTAATAAACAGAGGCCTGAAGGGTTGCCACTCAATTCCACATGGCATACAAAGATCGACGAGAGTTCTCTGGCTGGTCATCTGAGCTGGCTAAGGACCGCTAGCCTTTAAAGCTTTGCCTGAGGCTGGGAGACATTTCTGTTGCGCAACTTGATGACAACCTTGCCGAACTGATCTCCGCGTTTGAGAAGTTCGAAGCCCTCCTCCGCCGATTCAAGCCCGTCAAGAACATGGGAGACTATAGGAATAATCCGGTGCTTCGCGAGGAAGTCTGTGGCATCCTTCAGGTCCTTGTGAGAGCCCATTGTGGAACCTATGAATGGCACGGTGTTAGTAGACATGTTATGTTCAAAGTTTTGACAGTGGCGGATCAAGAACAAAGAAAGAATAGACAGAATGAAGGTTATCATTGGAGTCATTCCGGCCGGACGGAAAAACGAAAAAAATAAGATTGGTCGAAAAGTACTGGGGTCTCAGGAGAGAGACAAGCTCCGACGCAAGGAACTTTTTTCGAAGACGGAGATAGGGCATACCTATGAGCTGCTGATTAGCCAGAACTTGACGCATGGTCAGCGGTATGGCTGGGCTTGCTGTCCTGATCAAAATGGATGAGTCGTTCGTCCGTGTCGCTTTTACTTTCGAAGAGAACATACATTCCATAGCAGACCACACGACCTCCTTGCTTGAGAATCTTGCCAGCTTGTCCCATGATGTCGCCACCGGCAGAATCGATGATGGCGTCGAGGACAGTGTGCCTGTCTTTCGCCAACAGGGCACCAATTTGCGCAGGCCAATTCTCTGCCAGTCCCAGGTAATTCGACCGTCTCTTCGAAGAGATGGACCATGTGCTCACTCTCTTTATAATTAGCACCTCCTTTCGCCCCGAGAGATATCGCTTTCTGGAGTTTCTCCTGGCTGCCGCTCGTCACGTACACATTCGCCCCTTTCCCAAGGCATATCTGCATCGCGAGAAGCGCAACCCCTCCGCCGATGCCGGTGATGAGGACATTCTGGCCCCTTTGAACCTGGGCATTCACTGCTGCAGCTCTGAAAAGGGTTGAGCTTCGTGAAAAGCATAAAGCACAATAGCTGACCTCCACGCCGTGACACCGCCAACGGGCCATGCAGCGATGTGCACATCATCGAGGTGTTCTGGAGATGGTATTACTTGGTCCCGTTCGACGAGGACATACTCGGAGAACGTTCCGAGAGGAGGGAAAACGCCGCCTCCTAAAATTCCGAACCTTAGGGTAATCATGTTACTCGTGCATGTTACGAAGAGGTCTTCTCTACCTACGCCGTCTCAGGTGCAAGAGGGTCTTCTTCCCAACCACGAGTTGGGGTGAGGAAGACGCGTTTGTTAAGCAACGGATCGTTCGGTGTACCAGATGCAATCACAGTTCCTATGAGAAACGTAAGGCTGAGCTCAGGAAGTGCCTTGAATCAAGGTCTCTCACCTGCGCCGTCTCCTCCGAAAGTGGCTCCCATGGCAATTCCAGGGTACATTCCCATGCGCTGCCAGAGCTATGGGTGGAAGGTAAAATAGATTCCGAAGAATGTAGACTCAGTACTCACGTCTTTATGGTTGAAAGCAACTGCCCCCATCTTCACCAAGACCTGGCCATCTTCTGGGTGTTGAATAGGTTGCTCTGTCAAAATGGCATCGTGGTACACGGGCTTCTTGGGAGATTTGGCCTTCTGAATCGTGAATGTCCTCGTATGACTTGGGATTTTGGCCATCGTCGTTGGGGAAACAGTCTGAGAACGAGCATCTGAATTGAAGACGTATTTTGTTTGTCATAAAGCTGGGGTATCGGCTAATTGAACTTGTAACCGGTCTTACTCCAGATTAGATATTCTGGACAATTGAACTGAACTCTCACAGTTCTCCTTTTGACTTCACGACGAAATATCCTTCTTTTACAGTCACTCATCTTGAATGACCTTGAGAGTGAAAACATAGGCGCTTATTGATCATTAAATTTGACGATTTGCGCTCCAAGCTCATTCCTGCCTCGAACTTGGCTAATCAGTTTTTTCTTCCTTTTTTCAGAAAAATAGGGTAGAATCCAATGAACGGTGGTATAGCCGAAGTTACTTGTCCCCGGTTACCGGCTGAGAAAGCACCTCATTCGGCCCCGTCACCGGGAAAATCCCCGAGCTGAATCACAAAACTTCCTTTTATACGTTTTGCTCCTATACACCTCTTTTCCGTTCCGTTTGTCGCATTCAGCCACCGTGAGTAGCTCGCGATCATGCCTCGAGAACTCAGACCCAGAACAAATCGGCCAAGCTACGTGGCATTGGCGGGATATCTCGATGACGATGATGATAAGGAAGAGGAGGAAGAAGAGGTTCGACCTGGTCCTTCCTCCAAGCGAGGCAAATCGACAGCATTTGTGGAGGATGATGAAGATAGCGAAAGTGACTTCGCGCCAGATAACGCCGAAAAAGACGTTGTTGAGGAAGAGGTCGAAGAAGATATGGACGAAGATACTATCGGGGAAATCGACAACGAAGTGGAGGAAGAAATCGTCACAAAGCCGATTAGTCCAAAGCGAAAAAGGGGACCGGCTTCCAATATAGCGAAGGGAAAGATGAAGGCTGAAAATGTTGTCAAGTCTGTCGGATCTCTGTCAAGGCGACAACTGTATGCGCTACCTACGCCGAACGTCCACCACCGACACCGTGCCGTTCCTCTTTTCTCGCGCGTAGGACGCGTCGAACGGCTTACCACTGGTCCAAAGACTTTCTCTGTGCCGTCTGTTGCTCTTACGAACGGGTTTACCAAGGATTCTAAAGTCACTGATCGCGTCAACAAGTCTTGGGGATACAACATAGGTCCAGGACCGTTGTGGGAGCTAGTAGAGGACAGAGGGTGGTTCAAGGAAGCTGTAACATCTGGAACAGGCGTTGACACAGAAGAAAAACGCAGGCCGATTGTGTACCCGGAGATTGCTATTCGGGATGGGTGGAAGATATTGACGGCACAGTGAGTACTGCTGTTCTGTGTTCTGCCTCTCATTCATACCTTTCAGGGCTCCAGAGAAGCTGCGGCTTACCTGCCTACAGATGATGTGACTACAGACGAGGGAGTTCTTAAACCTCCTCCACCGCTACAGTGCTACTTTGGTCCCATAAAGTCGCAAAAACGCAACAACCTTCAGATGTTCGAGTCTCTATCCATGTGTTTGTCTCCAGTCTTCTTCAAGCGGAAGACGTGCTTATCTCGACGCATATAGCCACCTATTCCACTGAGAGCAACGCTCATGTTTTCAATGCCGGTGCTCCTGTATGGGGTCTCGACTGGTGTCCAATATATATTGGAGATCGGGCGAAACGTGGCTTCAAGCAATATCTTGCCATTGCGCCATTTCCATCGCGCTCGCACTCTCCAGACATCGGCAGAAAGGTGGCACGTCCTTCGTACGCATGTATCCAGATTTGGTCGCTTTCCAGCACTTCCAGTTCCTCGTCGAGGAAGAGCCCTTCGAAAAAGCCGGACTACGGTCAAATGAAGTGCGAAATGGTCATCTGTCTGGATAGCGGCCCAGCTTACGACGTCAAATGGTGTCCTCTTCCATCGCATGATCCAGTACGTCCTTGGTTTCCCTATACAAGGTCCACTGAACAATCTCTCTGTCAGACGAGTGCCGAGCACACTCCAAGGAAACTAGGGCTTTTGGCCGGAACATTCGAAGATGGTTCATTTTCTGTCTTTGTCATCCCAGATCCCAAAGATGTGAGGCCTAGAGGGCATGACGACTCAGCTCCTTTTTATGGTATAACTCGTCATTTACCTGTGACATTCCTCGTTAACGCCATTTGTAGTGAATCTATCTCGGCCCCTCCTGCGTATAGAACTCGAGGAGACTGCCTGTTGGAGTTTCGACTGGGCAAATAGCGGCTTGGTTGCTATTGGCACTACCAACGGTTGCATCGCTATATACGATATACAGGCTGCTCTGGGCTCTTGTGCTGAAGGAGGTAAGTTGCACCTATCGTTACCCATGCCCTACTGACTGTTCTTCAAGAAGTTGCTAGTACTACCGTCACCGATATCCTGCCCACCCATTACATCACTGTACATCAATCGGCTATTCGATCTCTGGCATGGATCAGGGCACCTCCGTCATCGCCCTCAGGTGTTCCTTGTCTTGACCAGGACCCCACGACGATAGCAAGCGGAGGATACGATGGCATGGAGTGTATGACGGATATTAGAGAGGGCCGTGGCGTGGTGATGAATCGGACGAGAGGTAAGAGCAAGTACGGCACCATTACGAAGTATTGTTATTAACAGACCTTATCTTTTCAGACGTCATCAACGCAATGGCGTTCTCCCCGTTCGGGGGTGGTCCCATCACCTTGGATCATGAAAATACAGTAAAGGCCTATTCAGCTTCGCCCAGTATGTTAGCAAGAGGGCATTCTCTATTCGAACCACAAGGACCTGTTTGGGTAGGTTTCTCTCTGATCAATGTGCCTTAGCCGTTTTATGGGTTCTACAGAGCATTAATGCATCCGATTACCACCCGCAACTCGCCGTTGGTGCAGCAGATGGTTCTTGTTCGACAACGAACACCCTCAGAGCCACAAGACGAGGAGGAGCGGCTGTATGTTTTTGTCTCTTACTTTAAGCACGAAATAACACCAGCTTCTCTTAGCCTTTCTTCGTTCACAAAATCTTCCAGATGGACTATAGCCGCAACGCAAAGGAGTTCCGCATGCTGGACCACTTCCTTCCTCAGGTTCTTTTCCCCTCTTGGCTAGCTTTTTTCGTTTATGTTTGACGTATCACAGGAATCTCTCGAACGGCCCTCTGTACGTTCAAAAGGCAAGGGTAAAAAAGACAATCCAGCAGTGCCATCTGGCACCGGCGCCTGGCCACAAGCCGTCGGTATACATAGAGTTGTTTGGAATCACGGCAATGGGTTGGCCGCGTCTGGTTGGCTAGCAGCTGCCACCGCGTCGGGCCTCTGTCGCGTTGACCTTCTCTGGGGAAGGTGGGTTCAAGACAAGATTCCTTATGGGGGCATTGAAGGCATCAGATTTGAGGACGAGGACGCCATGGAGGTGGATAGCGATGTTTCAGAAGAAGAGTTCGATTAGACGGACTCGGATTGACTACAATCAAGCAGCAGCTCAGCCCGTCTGGCTCCTGTACTTGGTCTTTCACCTCTTCAGCACCATTGTCTTTCTTCCAGGTCGACTCGTCGTTTCGAGGGGTAATCGATGTTTAGTGCGGGTTCGGTGCGAGTTCAGACTGAGTTCGAGGTGTCAAATGTTATTTCAATGGCACATCATGCACTGCAAAGTCGGTTCTCTGGACCGCAAGGTGTTCCCAAGAACTGTTGATCACACTGTAGAATGCTCAAAGATGGGGAAAGTCAGTCACTGGTCCTAAACTGTCCTAGGTCGACTAATCGAAGTGTTGGGCAAGTTATCTGAGTGGCAAAGCTAAGAAAGGGAGCTCGTCGTTAATTTCCTCGCTTTCCACTTCTCTCAAATTTTCAAGTGGTGTCCTATGTGGAATTCATTATATTATGTACCTGCACCAAATTGAAATAGATGGGTCTAAGGTGAGAAATCGAGATGGCGAACACTAGCCCCTAAGTTAAGTATCTGGCCACGAGCACAGCCACACTGGGCTCTCAACAACCTTGAACTCACCTTCATCAGCCAGATGGACATAGTCTACAAAGAAGGGGTACTAACAGGCATGTCAATCTTTTCAAACAAGTCGGTGTTCATAACATACTTATCCTCTTGTTTTAGAGGTTATTCGTGCACCATTCTCGCGAGAACCTGACCACATATCTGGTTTCCCGTATTTCGTCTCTGTTGCGACCCCTACCATTGACTCCTATATCTACACTCGTTCTCTTCTTGGACTTGGACATGGATTTCCGATGTCGAATCCAGGGTGTGATCCTGTCCTACACCCTGACGGTGTAGCTATTGGCGACGTTGGGGAACTCTGTGCCGACGGTTACTACTCTTTCTCATTCAACATCTTCTTGTCGGCGGATCACCCCCTTCATCGAGGCCGAAAGTTGCCCAGGAACTTCACTCCCCTTGAGACTCTGCATGCATCTGAAATCCGGAGACAGCCCAGTGTCTTTCACCCTGGGAGTGTCCTATACAGCCAAGGCGTTCACGTCAACCGCCTGTCAACTTCTCCTCTGTACGTCGTTTGGATGTATTTTTGCTTGCCTCTCATCACCTTTTCGTTTGATACAGGAATTTCACTGCTGAAGCTTCGCCCAGGGCCCGAGAAGGTGCAATTCTGATACTACCCTCAGGCGCTTCTCGTGAAGATCTGGTCTCCACGGACAGAATTCACGCATACACGGTAGAGAATGCAATAGAATGGTATCAATTCTTCAATGGTTACGGTAGTTCTGGCACCAAAAACGGCTCTGTCTACATCGTCACCGGTGTCGATAAAACAGCGAACTGGTGTTTAGCGACGTTTCCGCCACTAACTCGTCACACAGGTGGCAGCATGAGAATGTCTTTCAACGACGGAAGATGGAGACCGAACGGCTTCTGCAACTGGCAACACTCTAGAAGTCTGAGTCCCAATGACTCAGACCGTGCTTCCTCCTGCATTTTCCTTCGAGGCACCAGGATTTCCCTTGGAGGATTCGCCTGGATCGAAAACCTTGAAGATCATCGTGACGAGGGTATGGCATATGTAGAACTTCTCTCGCCACGTCCTGCGTCCGGGTCGCAATGGCTTGCAAGAGCAAAGTCATATCTTCAATGTGAAAGGGATTCCTCAACGGAACGACACCTACGTCGGTTCAATCGATACCAACGAGTGAGTACAGTTTGCTTTTGATTCACTTGGCTTCTAACCCTCTCCAATCTCAACAGTATGCATTCCATCCGTCAGACATCGTGGCACAAGTTCTTTTATCCCAGGTAAGACCTACCTGCAGCTTTGCCCACCATGCTCATCGAAACAGTTGCCCGAAGCCCGAAGCCTCTTCCTGCATGACTCTATCTGGTCTGTCGTCTCGAATAAGACAGTCATAAAGCCCGAAGACCCGACTGAAACGTGGACAGAAGAAATTTGTTTAAACGATCTCTCCATGCCCAACCTCAACTCCATGCTCATTAGGATCTTTGATCAGTATGATATTCACAATATTAACGGTGTGTCCCATCGTTCATTCAATTCCTTCATCGCTACGCCAAGACTCAAGGCGCTTTATACAGGTATGTTGACTCTGGTACAAAATCAAAATCACACGTCGACGGCCCTTGCGCACATTCAGCACCAAGGGATTAAAGAAAGACCTTCAGACGTGGTTAGAAGGAAGGAGGCCGGCATTGTTCCTCGTCTAATCGCACGAGGTGAAGCACATCTCAAGAATTTTGCTCGACCTTAAGCGTTCTCGAAGGCAAAGTATGCGAACTGACGGCATGAGGATAGTATTTTGCACTGCTATTGCAAACACGTAGGAAAGAAGAGGAACGGAATGGCTGTGTAAACGTGTATCATCCTCGTTGACTCCTTGAACCAGAGCGGAAGCTGGCCGACCTCAGGCTACTGCGAGCTGAGAAGATGCTTCCTGTCCTCGATGGACCACGACTGCCTCCAAAATCGGCCCGTCACGTCTCCTTGTCGCAAGTGATGGAGAGGACTTCTACTCCGATGCACCCGTTGTAGTCTCTATCCAGATGGTCGAGGTCGGCGTGATGGGGGTGTTCGTTATTTGGTCCACTCGCGTAGTGCATGTTCTTTGCAGTAACCCACTGATAACGTGGATAACCGTCTTTCACTTCTTTCAGTTCGATTATGAAGGGCACATTCATCTTTTGATGTGCGTGAAAGCTTGCTACACCCCATGTCTTCACTAGATAGGCGCCTGAGATAAGGAGAAGCTTGCCGTTTCCCATGGTAGAATATCCCAGGTTGTTGCGGAGATGGCGATACCATTCGATGACTTGTGCCGACCAATACTCTTGGACAATGGCGTTTTGTCGGGTCGGATCCTTGAAAAAGCGCTGCAAGGACCCATCGGGCGTGAAGAGGATGGCCCCAGTTTGGGAAGATTTTGTAAGCCCAAAGTATGTTGAAGACTCTGAATCTCTGTTATAAGATGGCAGTATTAACCAATCAGGAAGGGCGAGAAGGCGGCGGTACATACTGGTCACTCCCGTTGACGAGTTCAAAACTTTTGTCCAGATAGTAGGTCCTGTAATGCTCGATAGTTTTTCCTTCAAGTACACCATCTGGGACTGGCTCGAAACTCTCTGGAGGATTAAAGCAGAGTTCTTGGTTGACCTTCTTGGAGTAGCGTACGTTGAATAAGGTTGTGGAACCTCCTTGCTCGTCTAGAAATCCAACATCGCCAATAGTAGGAAACGTCAACGATTGGCCAGACGGATATTTGTCGCTTGGCGGGTGGTATGGCACAAAAAGAGGGATTGTCAGGCTGGATAAAGAAGACGCAATATCTGAGCCTCGAACGTAGTGTTCGACCCATTTGTCGATGAACTTCGGGGCTCTCTAATTAGTAAACACGACTTTCAGCACGGCTGCTCAGCGGAGCAAATAGACTACAGAGGACGTGCCTTGTTGTCGAATTCTTGGAGATAGAGGTGGGTGTCGCGCCCTAAACGTTTACTTAGATTAACGTCTTGAACTATGCTCGAGTACTCTGACGGGCGTACTTGCCTTCGCGAGTTGAGCGAGACGATCTAGACGACAAGAAATCCTTGAAAAATCCCTTGATGCTACCTGAGGACGAGACAAGAGGGTCTGGCTGTGTTGGATCTAATGCAGGCTTTTCGGAATCTGGAAAAAACAGTCGATCAGGATACAAGTTGAAAAGCTACATATTTAAGGCACCGTGCCTTGTGTTCTCTCCGAATCGGAGCCCCGAACCTCATTCTGCGTGGTGGGGCATGCGTTTGATTCATTTTGGGTCTGTTGAGATGCGACTGGTGGCGAACTCTATGGAGAATGATAAAAGTCGATGTTGTTGTATGGCACTACTTGCGTACCTGTGGCGGAGGAGGCGGAGGTGGTGGTGGTGGCCCTGATAGGTGAAAGGTGAGTGAGTGCTGTCAACGAGGGGAAAAGAGGGAGGCAAACCGTAGTAATGGTTATTCGTGACGACATTCTTGACAATCGTCGTCGTCGTGTTGCCGCTATGCCAGTTATTGGTATTCACAACGCCGCTGCCGTGATTGTAGACTGGAATATTGGTCGTAGCGACAACCAATCTAGTAGCTTCATGCACTTCTGTGCTTTCCGCTCGTTCGCTGCCACTTCCGCGAGACGGGTCTGAGCGACTTGATGCAGAGAGAGAAGATCTCGTGTCAAGTTGATAGTCGACCTGATATCGCAGCGGTCATCATCTAGTCACTAATCGCGAGGTAGAAGGAACTGACCTGGCCGGTGGTGGGATCCGAGCGACTGATTACAGAGGTCTCTTCTTGGTGGGCCACTGAGACAGATCCGTCGGGACTCCTGCTAGGAGATAGGGCAATTACCATCGCTGTATTCTCCTGTGCAAATGGGGATCGTAGCATACAGATCAAGTCGTCGACCAAACGATTCTGCCACCACTGCTCCACCGTCTTCAAAGCGCGGTCGCAAAGATGAACCACTGGTTGTACAACGAAATAGTCAGGTCGATGTACGGCATGAGGGCCATAAATGAGACACGCACGATGGGTTTCTAACAGCAAGGTATGGGCTCTCGAGCACGATTCCTTGATCTTCATCGATCTGACGGCGATCATTGTCAGGCTCTTCAAAAACCATCTGTCGAGAAATATCCACATACCCTGGGTGAAGCAGCGCCTTCTGGGTTGGAAGACATGGCGATGATGGAGGCCTATTTGCAGGGAGATTGGTACGAGATAGAGCAGCAACGGTTTGTGCTGTGTTATCAACATGGACAGCACGAGGCACTCCTCGAACTCGCATCACGCGGTGCTTGAGTCAAGAGAAAACAATGAAAGCTGAGTTTAAACGAAGATTCAAAGAGAGCGGCGATGGGTAGATTATATCAGCTTCCAGATTGAAGTTCGAGGAGGAGATATCGACGTACAGAGGGCCGATTTGAGTCCACAGATTTCCTGATAATCAAAGGCGGACTCCAAACCGGGTCTGCGTTGACAGTAACTGTATTCATCAAGGACCAGGATTTAGATGGCAAGACATAGAGGGATTCTAGAGGAGCTATAGGCGTCACTATCCATCTCTGAAAGATAACTCATGGAACACGAACCGGTAATTGGCTCTCTTTTGGCATAGGGAGAGATGAGGTACCCGTTCAACCGCAAGAACAACTGGAGAAGGGAAGAGATAATTGACTGATTCTTTGCCTTTCAGATATCGTGTGACGAAAACCTCTGAACCCCATCCAGAGCTGGGTGTCGGCACCTGGCGACGCGTTACAGCCAGTTAGAAAGGAGGCTTTGACGCGTCAGGGCGGTGTTGGGGTCATTGGCGACCAGATACGACAAGAGCACTTGTGCCGGGAAGTATAATTGGCGCAAAATATCTTAAGGGGAGTTTGGAAGCCATCGCTGATAGCTGTTCAATTTCGCAAGGTCCATATACTTTATCATGGACACCATTTCGAGTCTTATTGAGGTTGCTTATGGCATGACACGACTAAGAAAGTTGTCAAAAAGAAAAGCATCTATCGTGGGATAGGCACTGAGTACTGACCTTGAGCGTCCTACCTTTGGCTTCTGTTTCAGGTCCATGGAGTGTTGTCGTACAGGAATAGAGACAAGCAGGTGTGCATGAACAGTGAATACAATGACGAAGGCGTCGTCGGGGTGTGTCAATTGCACCCTCTCGCTCCATGGCGCCAAATCGTTTCTAACGTAAGCTTGAATCCGGATGGTGGCATAAATGGCGTCGTCGACTGGACGTCAGACCAGAGACGAACCAGCCATGGCTTGAATAACAAACGGGCATGCAAGATCCAGCGGTGTACTCGGGCAATCTATCGCCTTCATATCTTCGTATTTGCCTTTATCTCGTCCAATCTAACCCCAGATCCAGGTTACTGCTGCTTGAGCTTGTACATCCGACGGAAATTGACCCAAGAGCGGCCCACGCCTACAAGAATAGCTATTCCAGGCAGGAACAACGCCCTAAGTGGCGGTGGATCTGGCAAAGAAGCACGCGACCGTGTCGGGCACCCTTCCGGTGACGGAGCCAGATTTATTGAGGGATCTGTAGAAGTAGTGGTCGGCGTCACTGGTACTGATACTGCTTCCCGTTTCCTTCATTGTCAGGGAGGTGCTTTGATTGGGCATACAGGTGTCGAAAGGCATCGCGCCGCTGTTGCTCAAATAGCTCAAAGTTGGTCAGGATCTCGCCAGAAGCCCGACTCGGGCACCAGCACGAGCTAAACTCGTGTTGAGAAACTTCTGCGGCCCGGTGGTGGTAGTCAGGAGGCCTACGAGGGTTCAAGGGATTCGACTTTGAAGCTCGTGAAAGTGAACGGCGAACAGACGGCCTTGTAGCCTCCGTTTTGAGGGTTCCAAGGTAGTAGGGTCCCTTGGATCATGGCGAGCTGGATTTGAAGATTAATCAAAGTAAGACCACTCGTTCGATACCTTCGATCCTGTTCGATCCGTACTTCCGCTTCAACACGTACAGGCGACGGTGTCGAGTCCAAGTCAAACACCTCGAGTTGATTCAGGTCGTTATGAGCTACTGTCATCGATCTAACTCCCGAGAGAGCATAGACGAATCGAGTAATAAACCAGTTCTAGATGATGGGGAGCGATTTCAGTGGAGGATACAAGAAAGAAATGGTTGTCCAATTATGGACGGAGGTCTCACCCAATCATAGCCGAGCTGCCGAGGGTCCATCAAAGTCCAGAACCTCCAAGTTCCAGGCTTAACTTTGCACCACCATCTCCTCTCGTACACCTTGCGTGTACCACAAGACGCTTGCAAGGGAAACAGCAGTCTGGATTGATTCTTTTCTGATATCCTGGAGACATTTTCCTGCGCTGTCGATCGTCCTGCTATGGAATGCGACTTGCCATGACATTCTGGAGCTCCGATTCGTCGTATCGGTGGTTGGGTGCCTCGCATAATTGTAGACCAGTGGCCTCGAACGTCTCCACATCCGACATATCGTGTCCTGGGTGTTCGTTCCTTGTGGGTTTCGTCTCGCTCTTCGGCTTGGGCTCCTTGACACGGTGGATGCAGCTTTATCTGCACCGTCTAGATTCCCTTTCCAAGGTTCTGTTCGTTTCCTGGTCCGCCGAGGCCTGTTTGATTCTGTGTCTGCGGTATCTTCGTTTTGCTTTGGGAAAACCTGTCTGTCTCTTGGGAGATTGTCGGATCCATGAATTGAGCTGGGCCTTTCCTGTTTATGTCCAGGTTCAACTATCATAAGCTCCAATCCAGAAACTGAGACACACGGGAAGATGGGAGGGGCTCGCCTGCTTTGCAGAACCTCCTAAACAACCACGCGAGTTGATGAACCTCATGAAAAACGGGTATCGACGGGTCGAACTTGGGTGCGCCACGATTCCTCTTAACGGCGACCTGACTGTTGAACGTTGACTGTAAGATCTACGTTGTCGACGACGGAGCTCCGGAAAATATCCTTCCAGGACGTCGCATTTCGATCGCTTGAGACGAGAAGCCTTAACGATAAATTGCTCGGTCCTTTCTACGTGGTATGCTGCGATGAGCGTTGCCAGAGCAGTGCTTTTGTTGTTGTTGATTCTGCATTAGTTTCTCCCTTCGCGTTGTCAATTGGCACAAGCAACACTACTCACCTCGGAAAAACCCCTTCGGGCCTACTTGCCACTGAGACCATCAGCGATGTCGAGACCAACCGCCTGAGCCTGCTACGCGCCTCTTCCGGCCTTCCAACAGGCAACCAGCTTGAACAATCGACGTTCGGCCTTCACGAAGGTGCTGACCATACCCGGATGAGGGCATCAACGGTTAGGAAGGGATCAGTCCTTGAACCGGTTCGTTTTGCGCACTGCGGAGAAACACGGCGAGGATTGTGTCAATGATGCGGGTAGATACACATGCCTCAGGCGCTGCACTGTGTGCCTCCACATCCTCGAAGGAAGACGCGAGTGCCTGGCAATCTGCGTACGAGGCCGAGGGATGACGCATACAGCTAATGATGACACCGTTGACTCGACGCGATACGCGGACGTTTCTTCCCAAGCTTGGCCGGAAATGGATGCTGCCTCAGGACATCTGCGTCATCCTCCTCGAGCCTTACAGCAGAGAAGTGTGTAAATGCTACGTCGAGGGATGTGGTTGCGTCAGTCAGGTGTGGAAAGCTGGTGCGAGAAGACTGTTTTTGACCGAATGCTACGTCATTAGGGGCATACGAATAGACACGCAGTTGGCAGTGGGGTGCAAATTGAAGGGGATCGTCGGAATTGTCGTTCCAAGGCGTCTTTAGAGAGAGTAGAGCTTGAGAAGGAGGTTTCACACCTAAGGTGAATGGATGTATCAGTCGTTGGCAGGAAGGCTGGTGCATACATAACTTCCGGCTCAAAGAAGCTGGTTCAAAGTGAACTCAATACAGTATTTGCGATCGACCGTTCGAAGTCTTCTCGTCTTCTTGGGAATAGTAGTTAGTGGTTTAGTTGGCATATCAGCAGCTAACTCTGCGCAGTCGATCCACAGTCGAAGATTGTGACGGAAGCACAAGTTGGACGAAGCGCGTCGCATTCGTGCGAGTATTCGTCAGACCTTGAAGTGAGCATTGGAATATTGAAGGTATTACTCATTGAGGGACCTACAAGGCGTTGGTGCTGTACCACACCTCCTAAAGAGACAAATCCCGTCAATAGGATTTGCAAGGCTCTGCAAAAGATGTGCATCGACCGCCTTGACCTTCATAATGGGCGGCTAGAAAGTGAGCCCAACGGATCATTCGCGGTCCCAATCTTATAAATACTCACCAGAACCTCTTCCTGTTCCGAATCTTCAGTACGAACGGATGAACGGATGGTGACAGGAAGCGCTCACTGCCGACCGCGGCCTCCTACAATCCTGCTTTCATACTTAGCTTGGCATATTGATATAATGATAATTATTGTTTTCTTACCAGAGTCGCCCATTCGTTCACCCAATAAAATGAATGCAGGAGCCAGGAATTCCTGAAATGCCGCCTTCTGGACAGTCGCAGGAATTTCAGGTCGCAAAAAAAAAAGCAAACCATTCCGTTCACTTCAAATTCTAGCGGATTAACGACCCTTGAAAGGTTGAAACCGAACGGATACGTACCATGCGAATGCAGAGCGCCCATGCGCTGTTCCTTGAAGTTCGGAGTCGGCACTGAACCAGCCCGATGCTCAAAGATTAGCGGTGGATCATTATAGACCAGGGTTCAGAGAAAATTCCGTGAACAACGGACTCGCACTTACCAGTCTCATCTAGTTCGAACAAACCTCGAGCCTGACTATCTTAGAGAGAAAGAGGCGTGATAAAGCTCTCAGGATGGGACGAGAGTACCTTGGACTTTAAATTGCCATGCCAGGTCTTCGCCCGAAGGAATGTCGTGCTGAGCCTTCGGTTAGGTGTATCCGGACAACAGAGCGAGTTGGAAACCGGAATAAGCTCACCACTCGTGAAAGACGTTTCACTCCAACCTCAAATGCGGTAAACTCCTTATAATTGAGATGTGGGTCAGCAGTCGCTATTTTCTAGGATACTGCGATCCTTGTAAGGGCAGGTGTTCACGCTCCGGCGCGACCGCAACCGGGGAGCGGTCTTTGTATTCCATGTCAACGCTGTGAATACCACCCGTGTGCCCGTTCACGGTAATGGACAAGTCGAGGACTCGAGGTAGATGAAAAGTGTCATGGATTTCCAAGGACGAGTAAGGCGCCGTTATCATTCCTGACGGTGGGAATGGGGGCGCCTTCGAATATCTCACCACCGGCTTCTAGTCCTCGGATTGAGGCGAACCGCACAGTATCAGTGCCGCAGGTGTGTTACGTTGAATACCGGTGAAGAGTGCTGAGGTGAAGGGAACGTCACGGAGTCAGTACTTAATGAATGGGGTTGGACAGAACTGACATTGACTGCACAACAGAGACGCATTGAAATGGCGAGGGGGTGGCCGTTGGACATCCTGAAACTGAGCGGAAGCCGGAACCTGAGGGGGTGCCCACCGTTATCTAATCTCACATTCCCTGCAACCGAGGAGATGAGAAGAGGGCGTAGAGCCTGGCTCCATGAAAGCATAGAGATACTCACATGTGGGACCGCGGTCTTCCTCGCAGACCCATCGAACCAATCAAGTCAGGTCGAAATGTCTACCGTGCAGGGGCAGGTATAGACGTTGCAAGCAGCCCCCGGTGCTGTCAACGGTCCCAAAACGGCCGTTCACAGCCGGATGGCTGAGTCCGAAGAGACGATATCCCTCCTACGCACGCCGTAGTGGACACAAGTGCCTGGATCACCCGAGTCGACGCCCAACTCGTGTCTGGCGCTTGCGAATGCCCCGACAAAGATGAGGCCCCTGTCATTCTGCGGGGCCATCCGAGGTCGTGCGAAGGTATGACGTCTGTATGTCGGGCCGCTGCGGCATGGGCACTGTGTGCGTGCAGGCCGTCTCCGCCGTGCGTGCAAACCCACGGCAATACGCATGTCATATACGGCACCAGACATTCGAGACCGTCCGACCTCTTCATCAAAATGATGTCCCGAGGAGATGATTCAGGATGATTCATAGAAATCATAGAGGAATAGCTCTGCAATCAGATGAGGTCAGTTGGTTCAAAATCTTTCCGCGGCGACGTCCCGCGCGCGTTGTTCCATGCCAACCACGCGCAGGGGTGAAGTAGGATCGCCCGCAGTAGGTGTATTCAAAAACGCACCGCACGACGCCTCCCCACGACCATCGCAATTTGGTTCGAACGCGAGTTCGCGATCAGTTGAGCTTCTCAGCGGCAGTTCGTCGACTTTAGAGTGCTCGAGCCTGTATTTGTTGCTCTGGAGAGGCGAACACTTGTCTGCAGTTAATTGAGATTATGTGGCCCTCCGTCGTCGGACTCGCTGAAATCTACACACCATATAATTCAGGAATTCGCTATGCCGGCAAAATGCCACAACCTAAGTCCGTCCTTCTGCAACTTCATTGGGACGCTTCTGCATGAGTTACCGGCTCTAGAGCATTCAGCAAGGTCACCGGTTACACGAAGGAGAAGAGAAGGGAACCCGTATGCTCACTGCAAAGACCATGTTCACGCGAGCAATTCAAGCGAGTAAAGCCAAAAATAATCAGGAGTCGACTTGGGTCTGCACTGCCCGTTATTTTCGTACACCCGGAAAGGCGATGATGAACGAAGGGTGCTTCCGGGATATGGGATGCAGGTGAGACGTCCTGAATAAGCGAACGGTAAGTGGCGGGTATTGATATGACCTATTTTTGCCTTGCGTCATTTTGTGGGGTAAAAATAAACCATCAGGCAGAGATAGATCATCGGTGAGCGAGCTCGAACCCAAGAAAACAAGGAAGTTCTTCTGTAAGAAAGAAGAACGGCATCAGGTCTCACAAATAATTCGCAAGAGAGCTGTATAGACAAGAGGCGTACATGGGATGTCGAGCTGGGTGCTCTGAGAGCAGCTTCTATGAATATGTCCAATCGAAACTTTTTGAGTGGCCCAGTGACCAACCAGCAATCACGAACCGATTGGCAGAGGAGTCGAAGGAGGAAGAATAACGCGCAGCCGGAGCGGTAGAGGAATGGTCCTAAGGCTGGCATATCTTTGGGCAAGTGCCGCAAGTCGAGTCGACGAGAGTAGCAATCGAACCAGACGGAGTGCCGCGTGAACAACAATGGCCCAGTCGAGTGAAAACCCTCCGCGATCGTCACGGCGTGCGGCGAAACCCCAAAGGCTTCGGCCGCATCGGATACACGACATGAGCGTAGGAACGTCGCGGGGGAGCATGGCGACCTATTCTTAGCGCTCCCTCACCTTGCCATAGGTAGCTATTACGTACAAGCAACTGCATGGACGAATCATGACGAGCACCGAGCACGGTGGGTCCGGCGTCGTTCGAACCCTCGAATCCATGATGATCACGGCTGGGCGCCAGTGGGGATCAGCTAGGTGCAGCGAGAAGGACGCAAAGAAGCATGGTGTACCGGGCGATGCTTCACTTTCCGAATCCCTACGGATAGGAGGTACTTCAATATGATCTTCAGGATTTTCGGAAAAGAGATAAGAGAAGACCATAAAGCGTCAACATATGGAGAAGTAATTTCTCGTGCAATAATTGGTTCGTGACAGAGACTTACAACAAATTATTCGCCTCATACCATCAATCTTCACAAAAGGGCAGTTGCTTTTGACATATCAACTCAGGTGCTGTGCATGCACGTAGCTTCGAACGCCGGCGTTATCGTAAGCGCTCTTCTCTTTGTTCCTTTTGAGGATCTCATGGTCTATGAGGCGATGTATGAGCGATCCAGTGCGCAGAAGCAAGGAGAAACGAATGGCTGGTGTAGTCATGGGGCCCAAGAGACTGTCCTGCATGGGTTATAGTACATCTGCCACGGTAGCATCTCAACGCGAACGCCACAGAGCGCCTAACGTTTCCTGTTCTGTGATAGCAAGATAATTTAGCCCGTAAAGGATATATAGAACACGAGGCACGATATGCACTTACGGACCGTGAAATGTAGCTCTGTACTCTCGCTACCCGTGACTCGAATAGACGCCCACGGGCAGCGGTCAAGATCAACTCGCGGCTCTCCGAGGCGCTGCCAGAACCAGCGACTGGGACCTGAATAAGCGCCGGACGTCAATGTCGGTCGGAGCAGCACACCACTCGAGGTGTCCAACCGTTCCGTTGAGAATGTTAATTCACCGGCTCACCTGGTCCAGAGTACAAACGTCCCGTGTCCCGAAAAGAATGTATCCCTAAGCGCCCGTCCGATATAGGCAACTCCGCCTGTTTTGCGTGTAAAACAGCGTAAAGGAATGAAAGGAGGACTCACCGAGTTCCAACATTGAGTCTTATAACGGAGTATACGAGCTATTAATGATGGAAGGGATGATCATCAATGTCTCAGCATAAGGATCATCGCGAACAGAAGAAAAATCTACCTTAAGCTTCAAGATAGGATCATCATCACCCGTCAAAGTGAATAGAGCAAGCCCCAGGCTCACAGGTGTCGCGGCTCTGACTGGATCAAAGGTAGAATGAAAGCATGGCAAAGGATCAGGAAATCCAAGTAGACATAAAACGGACAGCGCACATAGCACTCACCAACGCCCGAACCACTCTAGTGATTAATAACGTCCTTGAGAATAGGCGCTAGAACCAAAGAAGCCATCCAATCCAATCCATTCGGACTCGGACGCGATCACCCATTCCCGAGCCATCTGAATCGTCCCAACGCGTCGAACAAAGGAATTGATTCGCGCCGCAGCGTCATCTCGCGTCTTTGAGGCAATTAACACCCATTCCGTCGAATAATGCCCGTTATTCCCATTTCCAACGTCAGACCGACGCGACCCATTGTCCTCCTTTCCCGCGATCATCAACCAATGACCCGAAGCCCGAGTCTCAGATGATCGGAGTGATCGGCTCAGGGCCGCCGACGCACGCGAGTCGGGCTCGGGCCCTGAAAGCGGGAACTGCGCTGTGTTCTGGCGCGACCTTGGCAACCCGTCGTCGCAACGCGTCCTCGACCAGGGTTGCCTACGAGCCACTGGGAATTTGGAAACGGGCGAGCAACGAGCCGAGGTGGTTTATGAAGGTACGTAAGTCGAGGATGTTGATTCTTGCAGGTTCTTGTTCTTGGCCATGGCTGCCAGCACACGATAGAGTACAGTCGACGACCAGGTCCAAGAGAGACAACGAATTGTGAGGGTGTTAGGGTGCAGAGGCCAATTTTTCATGAGACAGGAGGTTGCGAGAGCTGTGTCGTATCGTAAGCTGTCAGGGTTCGAGGAGGTGGGATGTTTTGAGGGTGCAACGGAATTCCAAAGTGCGACGAAGAGCATTTTCGAAGACCTTCGAACACGACATTCGAGGGTCGTACAAAAAGCACCCAGAGATTTGAACAGAAGCACTGGAGTGAACTGCATCGACGTGGCATCGGAGGGTCCAAGGGTCCAAGGTGCTAGGGTTTGAGGTGGGATGACTTGAAGTAACGAGGGTGGAAAGTGCATAGAGGATTCAGAAGTCCTTCGGAAACATCCTTGGACAACGACGAGTGTCGGACGCAACACCTAAAATGAAAATTTGAACAGCCGTGCACCTAGTCAATTAGATAGTAGAGGTGTGAGAGAGCCCGAGACGAAGTCCTTCTAGTCCACCGAAGGAGGGTGTAAACCTTTATTCGCCAAGTTTCAATAGCGCTCGAGGCGTGCCGGACATCGGTGCAGCCGCCTAGGCCATTTGCAGCGGAAAACACGCGTTTCGACGCGACGTCCGCAACGGTTGCTGGTTGGCTGACTCGCGTTCGTCTCTTGTGGTTGGTCGGACGGTCGTCGGAGAGGGTGCAAATTGGAAAAGCTCCCGCACGCCGCAGCTTCCTCCCACTATAGAGATTTGCGTTTTTGCTTCCGCACCCCGCAATTCCTCGCTCGCGTGGCGCCGCTTACGCTTACACTGTGCCGTTGGTCGAAACTTGAGGGTCGTTCTTGACTCTTCTCTCAAATACGAGATGACGAATTCGCTTTACATCGTCATTGCACCCTTGCGCACTAGTCACCGTTACTCGAGCAGCAGTGGTTAGTGCGCTATGGGTGCAGTGGACTCACAAATGCCCCGCCATGGCGCCGCGGCTTCGTGCTCTTGTTCTCAATCCAGTTGGACTCCGTCGCTGAGCGACGAACCGCGAACTGCGAACTGCGTCGGTGGCTCGCTGCTGGTGGGATTTGAGGGCTTGAGAAGGGAACGACGAGTTGCAAGGGCCACGCACCAACGTTTTGGGGCGGGGGCGGGAGAAGAGCGCTGTAGTAAAGCGGGGGATAGGGGATATTTCTGGGAGCTCAAGGACGACGACGCGACGACGCTTGCCTTTCTGGATACAAGGTCGCTTGTTTGATTCCGGATGATGATGAGCATGAGCATGAAGGTTGAAGGTTGAATAGCAGCGCATATACATGCGGTGTTCGGGTGCGTCGGTCTACTCCTCACCATAATCCAACACACCAGTGACCCCATCGCCATCAAAGAGAAAACCAGCGATAGTACGAAGTATAGCGCGTGCTGGAAAAGGAACAATGGCGTCGACTCAACCTCCCTTCAAGCGAAAGAAGTTCAATAAGTAGGTGTGTAGACCTGATAAAAGTCTGCATCACTTACATACCCCACGACGAGAAGAGATGAAGGCGGTGTAAGGGCACGCGCTCACAGCCCCGCAGGATGCACGCGCTGTTGCCGACATTCCTTTTCTAGACCCAGAACGCCACAGTAGGTACGGCACGTACACGATGTCGTTCGAGTTCGGTTCGAAATCGAAATCGAAATCGAAAGGGAAAGTGGAAAGTGGAAGTTCTGCGAGAAACATTCCAGTATTGGTTCGTGGGTCATCTGCTCGAACTTGATGAGGCATCCATCGACTGCCTGACGTCGAGTAGCGGGGGTATGATGCGGTTGGGGATGGATGTACGTACATACGAGCGTTCGAAAGCGCATACATGCACCTTCCTAGATGGAAAATCAATAGAATGTCGAACCAGAGTCAGAGGAAGTCATTATTCGTGTGGAAAGAACCTTGACATAGAACACGCACCTCGACCTAATTCTAATTTCGACACTGGAAAGTCGAGTCATACTTGGAATTCCGAAACTGAGTCGACTCTTGATGTGACGAGCGCCTCGCGCCTTGCCTGCAGGTCTGGCGTCGCGTCGCAACGACACTGACAACGACTCTTCTGAATCCCCAACCCTCCAGATTCTCAACACGCAGCACGCGTAATGAACGTGTACACGCACGAGCGGGTCGCGCCTAGTAGGGCGGACAAAGGCGCGTCACTGACACTCACATAACACGCGTCCAGCGCTAGCGCGACCCTAGCCCACCCACGACAAGACTTGAAGGCTGCACACAGCATACACACGACGGACACGGGGAAACGCACGGCATAAGTAAGGGCGTTGGTGCGGTGCCGCCTGCCGCCTGCCGTCATTAGTACGCCCGCCCTCAGTGATGAGTCGATTGGTCTGACTCAGGGTCGGATCCCGATGACAGACAGCTGGCAGAATAGCCCGGAATGGTCAGATCGGGCTCCCGCACCCAGCGCATCAACAGCGGACGAGTCGGGCGTCGGGAGGACCCAAAACACCCCGGAAACTCCATGGTAGATATCCATTGTTTAATTATGTGACGATGCCACTTGCGGCCCCCGGCGAGACGGGCCGCGATTGCGTAGGCTCTTGTGGCCGTGGATACCTACATAGGCGTCGAAAAAATCTACTTATCTTCTCTTCCCCATATGTTACATTAATTAAATGAGCTGTTTTTGTCTTGCAGAGTGGGTAGCACACCGAACAGAGGTAGAAATGGAGGGCAGGCGTGAAAATGTCTTCGATGTCCCTCAAGATGTCACCTAATTCATGTTGTACAGCTGGTCACACCAACCAACTTTTGGGAAAACGGTACTACATAGATATTAGTGCATATAATGAACATCTTATGAGGAAATAGAATGCGGCGCTCAATAGTGTGGGGCGCTACCCCGAATTTGACGATGAGCGCTTAGTGAGCAGTGACTGTGCGAGGCGTCTCCGGCTCTTCGAGAACAAATCGTGTATCAAGCTATGATTAAAAGAGCAATACAAACTACGAATATATAGATGGTTGCACTATAATTTCAGCCATGGATGCATTAATTACTCATAATGAGCAAAAGGTGTATTGGAAGAAAGAGACATAACGGTGCAATTTTCATCTTGACGCATTGTGTGCACCCCGAACGAGTCGCCATAAACATACAGCAATGATGTTACGATGAGGCGCCATGTCCCTCGTGCCTATCGCGTCCCGATCTCTCTCGACGTCCAGACTTCTCCACCTTTTATTACCGACTGTGTCTCCGCATGCGCCCGGATCGCTCCTTTCCTCACTCGCCTCCTCTCTTTTGTGTTTTCCACCACAGGTTTCATCCCTATATATAGATAGTGGATGTGCTCTTGTACGTCACTCTCAGCCTGCTTACTTCATCGCCGTTTGTCCTCTCGCTCACGCATTGATGGGCCGCCTTTGCCTCTAACCCTCGGGAAATCCTTTTTTAAAACCTTCCTCATCTCTTCCAATGCTCCCCTTGATTTCCCATCGCCCTACATAATTCCTCGAGCGACTCGTCAGCCCCGTAGATCCTTGTTCAGCATCTCGTGACCCTCACTGCCAAGTTTTGCGCAAATCGAGCTTAGTGCGCCACCTTTTCCTCCTTAGGAAGTCCCCTCCCGTCGTCATCATCTTCGTCGCTTGCTCGACCCCTATTTTTAACTTTTGCATTTTTGCTTGATATTTCTTCCCTTTCTTTATTCCTTCAGCCCGGTTGGGCACGAGCTGCTTGGCCAGATTTTCTGTTTTCTGTAGTATAAAAGCCATGTACATTATTTCATAAAGAACAACATAGATTTTGTCTCATTTTTCTCTCCCGCCCTCGTTCGTCGTCGCGGAGACTCCATCGCCTTATCGACCGAATCCATTTCGACATCGATAGCCATCCTTGATAAGCGCCCCCTTTCCGTGGTGCTTTTCCCATCATCCCGCACCCTCGTGTCGCATTTATGAGTCGCGCGTGCTACCCGGGTTAGAGCCGCACAACCTGGGAACGTGTCCCCGCACCTCAGAGCCGCCCATACGGTTGTTTTGGGTGTGTGTTAGATATCCCGCATTCGCACATTCACCCCAATGAAAGACGCGGCACAATTCTTCATTTTCACTGTACTGGGTACACTCTCCATGCGGCCGCTAGCCACGTAAATACACTCCTAACTGCTGAAGTTAATTGCTGAAATTGAACGTACAGTGAATATAGGCTTTACCGACACGCAGCGCGCGGCGCTACAGCAGCCTCAGGACATGCAGCGATGAGGTTAGCCGCGTGTCTACATTAGCCGACACGCTTCCTGGGGTCTGCAATGCGCGCACGCTCCTCCTGTCATAGCGCCCCCGCCGTCCATCCGTTTTTGGAACGGTCCCTGGAATGATCCAGGGACATCTGACCGTGAGTCAGACCAATCGACTACGCACTCGCCCGCCCTTGGCACGATACTCTGACCTTGAGGCTTGTGCAAAAGGGATTGGCACTGGCAGGACGCACGACGGCGACGGCAGCGATGCGATAATTGCGATTTATTTCATCAGGGCCACGCGGGCTAATTAAACGTTTAATCGGGGGAATAAAGCGCACATATGCGCGTTTTTGGCTCACCGGCGTTAAATAATGCCCACATATTTAATGCCAATGCCGCCAACCCCAATGGCGTTCGCGTTCGCTAACGGTTAATGTGATTGCATTTCGCCGATGGTGGCAATTAGAGGCGGAGGGTCGTATCGGGACCCTGAACCTGTGGAGGCGCTTGGCTCGATGAGGGGATGAAAGGAAAGGAAGGAAATACCGCGTACCTCGCATACCGTCGAAGAACAATGGGAATGTTAACCGAGGACTGGGTTGTGGGTGTCGGCGCGTATGGTATGGCGTCGTCGGGGTCGGAACGTCCGGGTAGCGGGTAGTAGCAGCAGTGATAAATGTGGTTGCGATTGCGATTGCTTTGTTCGAGCGATAAGGAAAGGACGTGAAAGAGAAAGGGCGAGAAGGCATCGCGGTGTTATACCAATATCAGTTCAGCTGTATAGCCTGCACCCGTCTTTCACTCATCACTACCTGGAGTGGTACTGAAAGGACGTGATTGAGCCACTGGAAATTGACTGGAAGTGTAATAACTTGGGAAGATAGAATTATCGATTAGCCACATCGCTATCGAAATCAGCTGCTTTTTCTTTGTCCTATGGAGAGCTAAGAGCTTCCCGGAGCTTCGAAATGCGAGTTCCGCGTTCGAATTCGTGTCATGAAAGAAAGCACCTCCGAGCCATTGTCAGTGTCACGCTCCTTGTCATTGTCATTGTCGACGTCCTGTTAAAGTAAGGTTCCATCCAGAAAGAGAAGCTCGGCCACGTTCCTTGGAAATTCGATTTTTGGAGGCGTTTTTTTTTCCTTTTTCAATCTTCCGTGCTCGAATGTGGCGGGACAATCAGGCAAGCAAGCTGGCTGGCTTCTAGCAGAGGGGAGGTATGCATGGCACGCAACCGAACGAGTCGGGTCCCTTGCCTTTGAGCCCGATTTGGGCAAGCGCGGCGCGCCGCCGCCGCGTCAATCCGTGATTGGCTGATGATCCCAGATCCGGTCGTGAATCTGGCTTTGCTGCTGCCGATCCGCGTCTATTCCTCACAGTTTCTAAGGCAGATAGACGCAATTACTACGATGAGAGGCTGCTTAATCAGTGACATCCTCTCTAGGTAATTGCATTATTGGAGAGCTGATGTAGATTTAAAGGGCGCTGAGCTCGGATCGCCGGTTAGTCAGTCAGTCTAAACGCGATGATAAAGGTAAAGGATGATAATTGGTGGACTGACTGACGCGTTGGTGACGCTTACATACATAAATTGAATCATGTATCACCATTTATCCCATTTATCATGCATACTGCGTGTTATTAGCGTCTGGTGAAAGACACAATGAACGCGAACATGGAGGTGGAATTGTGGATTGAGTCAATGTAAGTTTCCAAGTGCCTGTGTACAAGTTGAGGGGGAGAAACAAATCCCGGAGGCGGGTGTCTCGTGTGGCGATGACACGACAAGGAAATATAGATGAACAGGTAGGATGGCAGATAGGATGAACTGGTGGGTGTGGTACGTCGAGCGATGGGAGGACAGAGGATGGGTGACAAAAGAAGGTCAGTAATTGTGATGGCCTGATGATGATGGGGGCGTTCGTTCAAGGTTCTTGTATTCTATATTGGAAGAGGAACACTCAAGGACGGGCGTCAAGCGCTTCTTGAGATCAAGAAAGATTTCGCCTCGCTGTGTGGGTGCGCTGGATCTGTATCTGATGAAGTGCTCATGCTATGGCCTGTTGAATGGCTGAGGAGACGCTACTGAGTTCCTGATGCAGACAATAGTAACGCACGGCAGGTGCTGCTGGGCTATTGTTGGGCGTCGCGGCGTCGCAATTGTTGGAGCTGCGGCAGCGTGCGCACCTGAGAGGCTGGAGTCGGAAGGTTTGCCGCGGGGCCTCGTCGCCGCTACTGCGAGCGCCTGTTTTCTCCGTGGTAAGCTGCGGCCGTGTGTCAGCGGGCGAGTCAGCAGAGTGACTCGGCGCAGTGGGGGGCGATGCCGATGCCGAATGAGCTGGGATTTGGTAAGCCGGAGAGCTATGTGGGGACGGTTGGGTCGGACAAACTGAGCCGGGCTGGTTCGGGTGAGTCAGATCTGAGATGGCCCGATCTGCGGATTGCCTGCTCATCGGTCCTCTGTGGCCCCGATTCCCTTTATATAACGCCGCCAGACATGCAGGTCAAGTCCAACTCCCCGCACCGCAATGGCGTCTCCTGCCTCGTCGTCTTCCAGCGCATCCAGCAGCTCGTCCTCCATCCACCATGCGAGCCTCGTCGATCCCGCCCTCCACTCCCCCGTGCTCCTCGAGCTCATTGACGTCAAGGTCAACCGTCAGGTCATCGGTAAGTCCTCCCTACAAAAGCACCCTTAGCGGCTGCTAACTCGGACTTCAGAATATGTAGTCGACTGTGTAGCAGAGACCGTTGACTATGCACTTGGCCGGCCCTCTTCCTCCCGCGGCAGGTCAACAGAACGCCGCTCGGACCTGTCCAAGTTCACGACCTTCGCCACCAACGTCCTCCAGCGCGCAGAGGTCTCCATGCCCACCCTCCTCGTCTCCCTCGTCTACGTCTCCCGCGCCAAACCCCACCTCCACATCGGCCTCGAGCAATGGGCCCTCGAGCGCGTATTTCTCGGCGCTCTTATCGTGGCGTCCAAGGTCCGTCCTACCCCACTTTCTCCTCCGTTTCTCCTTGCTGACCCGCCCTGCAGTACCTGAACGATTCCACACTGAAGAACATCCACTGGGCGCTCTGCACGGGCGTCTTTGGCAAGCGCGACATCGGGCGCATCGAGCGTGAATACCTCGACGTCCTTAACTTTGACCTCAAGGTCTCCGAGGACGACATCCTCAATCACCACCAGGGCCTTGCCGCGCTCACATCCGCCACCCTCTCTCCACGCCAAGTGCTCAAGAGCTTCACCTCATCATCATCACCAGCATCCGCAGCGCCCGAGCACGTACACACACAGCGCCGGCACCACTCGCGCAGACGGGACTCGCCGCCCTCGCGCGTGCCCGAGCTCGAGACAGACTCCTCCGCCTCATCACCCTCCTCCGACTCATACTACTCTCCGCGCACGCCCGATCTCATGGACATCGACTCCGAGGCGCGCGTGCACACAAAGTCCGGGTCGACATCATCTTCGGCGTCATCATCGTCATCGTCGCCCTACCGGCCCAAATCGCACCACAAATCGCACCACTCAACAACAACACACGGGCCGCAAATACACCAGCAGCCCCCACCGTCAGGGCCTCGGAAGATGATCCCAATAACGGCGGAGAAGTTCCAGCAGTCGACGCTAGAGCTCCTGCGCGCGTTCCCACTACCCCGGATGCACATGCACTCGTCATGAGCTCCTCTCTTCTTCTTCTTCGTTCTTTATTCCCCCCAATTACCATTTCCAACTTAACTCGTCATCTTGCCCCGCAATCCCACATTTCGAACCAGCGATATGCGGCCCCGCTCACTCTGCCCCTCTCACTCTGTGCCTCATGCATGCTCCTCCATTCCTACGCAACTTTGTCTCACTCTGACTCGCCTCTTGCTCTGCATACATTTTTAACACACACCGTTTGTTTGTTATTCCATACAACATTCAATTCACAATTCATTCTACAACATGCATTTTTCTTCTGTCTCTCATATCCTTCCTCCGTGTCTCGCTGCAAACCCAACCCAAGGACATTAATATCCCTCTTATTTCTTCGAGGTATACCTATAGCTATTAGCCACCCAGCATTCCTAATCGCATACTCTACGCTATCCGTCTTCTCCTATTGCTCTTTGACCTTGCTCTCTGCACCCCACGACGCTCCTTCGCACTCGCACCCCTCTGGGTTCTTCCCTCCTCCCTCCATCATCAATTGTCTTGCTGTTGTAAAAACGCACAGCCCACCATCGAGGCTGTTGCTTTCCTGTACATACTCATTCTAAATCCACCCCAACCGCCCCCATCTTTTTTGTTGTAGTATGTACGTACGTACCAGAGCCCAGAATAACATTATCAGCGTCTCTATAGAGAGCGTTCTTTATTATCATCACTTCCGAGGGCTGTCCATGAACGTGAGCATGTGAGAATGAATTTGCGGTATGAACTGTTGAGCCTCGAGTACGACATCGGAATTGGACTCAGAATAACCTGAAACAGTGACACTCGCATCGTCGATACCCACCTCGAGCTCCTAACAGCAATCGTGACTCTTGAATTAGGATTACGACTTGTAATTACATAGTTTCGAAACCCTAGAAACTCGATCATCATTGATGATATCGACGCGAACGCGTGCACCGGAGAACTTGAGTGTTGTCGTATACGGTATTGTAGTTGTGGCAATTAGGAGGTCGAGCCGAGTAGAACTTGACTGTCTGAGAGCCTAGCTGAGTGCTCTGGAGTTCCGTTCAGCGTTGGCTAGACACCACCCGCGTCGTGTGGCCAAATTGTATTTACTTACTAGAGTATTCAGTAGGAGGCTCGGAGGTCGACAGCTGCAGTTACTTGGACGCGAGTTGTAGTCCTCGAGCTCAACGTTGTAAAGCAACGCGACGACGTCGCCGGTGACGTCGCCACACCCGTCGCACCAATACCCCTCCTTTCGCGGGTTTCTTCTCCCTGAGTCTTTGCTTCCATATAACAGTGTTTCCTCGCCCGTTGTCTGTCGTGACTCGTCCGTCGCCGTACCTTTGCGTTCAAGCGGGCTTTGCCTTCCAACTTCCAAGGTTTGATATCGACAGCGCACAGCGTATCGCTGATACCCGCCATCTGGCTGTGGCGACGCGGTACACCGGTGGGGCGCTGGCCGTGCCAGTGTGGCTGAAGCTGAAGGGCCAAGGATGAAGGTAGAAGGCTCAGGCTGGGCCTTAACGCCGTTCATAAAACAAACTATAGTACAAGTACGAGGACGGAGTAAGATTCAGAGTAATGCTAGTGATAGGCATAGGTGATCACGATAATCCGACGAGTCTGAGATGACTACCCTATTGACGATTGTATAGGATCGAACGGGCAGCGGCGAGGGATCAGAAGCGTAGAGTATACCGCGAAGGACACCGTTCTCGTGCTCGTGGCGGCCGAGGTGGGGGTAGGAGCTTATCAAGGCCTCTCCTTGCCTTATAGAGTGTCGATTCAGATATCGTCGATGGGTAACTTGACCGAAGAAATGGATAATGGATAATGGATAATGGGATAAATAATGAGCTAGGCTCGAGGGAAGGCGGACGAGAATAGCCGCATGAATTCGTCGATCAATCGTCGACTCGCTGTGGATGGATTCAGGCTTGGGGTTGGAATCACCTACATACCACCTCCTCCTTCAAGGATCAGGGAAGGAAGGACCAGGAAGGAAGGATAAGGACGCTTACGGCTGATAATTATGGAGAGGCGAAGCAGCTTCGGAGCGTGAGTAGAGAACTTGAAGAAGCCCAACCGAGGTAATTATAACACGAGAGCTTGAGAGCCTTTAATGAGTTGCCTCTGATACCGGAGTGGCTTCCTGCCCACGCTCAGCCACGCTGCGGTGCGAGTACAGGGAGCCTGAGGGCATGCGCCGCAAGGAGCGATCGAGGGTATGCACCCTACCCTGTCGAGGGAACGCCAGCCCGCCAGTGGTCATTGACGCCGGCCGGCCACCCCCAGTTTACGAATTCGCGTTGACGCTGACAGTCTGGGGAGGCGGAGCTCTTCAAAATGGAGTCATAGAATGGAACTTGGACGGAATAAGCGCGTTTGGGTATAATTAGGCCCTTAGGCTTGTGTGCCTGCCGCAAGAAGTACGTACGACGTGTTTGTAGTCGTAGATAGACAGGTTACCCGTGGGGAAGTACTGGGAGGCACGATGACTGGGGAAGACAAACCCGGGTATGCCGAAATCGATATTGATAAGTTGTACTGGTGTGTACGGCGACTCACGAAAGGTCACCGAGTGGTGGTCATTGACAGTGATAATAGCGTAAGTCGGGTAGATAACACGCGAGCACGTATTATTGTTGAAATAATCGTCGTGGGCGCCCTGTTTTTTTAGAGATTGCGGCCGGGTACGACCATAGAAGGTCAGAGGAAAGACGGCTGATTCTGACATGTACACTCACTCGACTACAAGTAAGGACACGAGCCCGATGTCGGCCTGCCTGGAGGAAGAATTTCGAAAGCGGCTCGGAAATAATCACGTCGAAAGAAATTCGAGAAAGTCTTCGAGAAAAGTCATTTGGACATCAACCGTTCACGCGCGTGGTGGTTGTAGGAAAGGAACCAATTCGATTCGAATTCATTCAAGCCTTTCTGCTTATGATACCCCAAGGTTACAATGTCGGAAGGCCTTGGTCATGTTCATGGCGCCATGGAAAATTCCTCCCGGAATGCGCCCGCGCGTGTCAACGCGATTGCGAGGGCGTGGGCGCGTGGGGGACAGCGAGTGAGCTTCTCCTTGTCAGCAACGTTACCGTGCGACGTGCGCACGCGCACACGCGCGCTTCTCTCCGCGCCGCGCCTATGTAAATACAAGCCCCATGGTTAACGCGAACGCGCGAATCCCACCCAGCACGCCGATGCGTGGCTTCCCAAAACGCGGCAGCTGATCGCGTCCCTCGAGTTTCTCCCGACTTGTTTCCCTTGAGCTCCAATTCCTCAGGGTACGCACAAGCCTGTGTGCTCGCGTTCTCGAGCTCTCAGCACAACCCCGGCGTCCCATCTGACCACTTCGCAAATGTATGTTTGCGATAAGGCGTGAACTGGGTCTACCACACGCAAGGTGCTTGTGGCCGATCGCACCACCCTATCGTTCTCCAAGTCCGAGGTGGACACCGAATACTAAACGCCTACCCCAGGCCAGTTGGGCAGACCACCGCGCGTTTCCCACAGAAGGACGTCTCTGGAAAACGCTCGGAACGAGCTTCGTAGCATCTGGCGAATGGCACTGGGTATCGCACTCCGGATGTGACCGCGCGTGGGCCTCCGAAGGCTCGAGACGAAGGAGCAGGTGAGCACTAAGACGTACTCTGTATCGTTGGCAACTTCTCCGACGCGCTGGTTGGGCGGCCCAGCTCGCGGGCCCACGCGTCGACGCGTACGGCAACGCTGCTCATTGCTCAAGCGACCCACACGCCAGTGCCCGAAGCCCGCCGTCGGACATCGCGTCGTCGAATGACCCACCTCGTTCCCGCCTCATGACGTGCGACAGCGCGTACACGGGCGGCTCACCGCACAACGCGCACCTGAACGAGTGACGGGCATCAGCCCACGGCGAACTCACCTCCGGACCGGGTTCCCGGTCCCCTTCCTTCCTCTCCTCTTCCGAATTGACCCCACCTGACGCAGCGTATGACGCCCGCAGGAGGCTCTTTTGCTCGGCTAGTTGAGCTTCGTACGCCGCTGAGCTGCGGGGCAGGTACACGGTGATGAGGTGCACTGCTACGGAGCATGGGGGCAGACTGCCCGTTTTTGTGCTACTGGACACGTATGACGACGGGACTTGCTGTCCTATCGCAGCCACGAGAACGGGCTAATTTTGAGCTCGCTCTGTCTTAGTGTGAACCGGATGTGCGTGCCAGCGCCAGCGCCAGTGACGCAGCTGGTTGTATTCAGGATTCTGTGCCCATACTCGCGCTGGAGAAGGTAATCATGGTATTTTCGGACTCGTCGCACATACGCGCATAGATGCGTCAGTGGCACAGCGCCAAAGGATAGGAGGTGGAGGTGGCGACATTGCTGGATCAACGCTGGGGCGGGACTCGGGGACGTTCTTCTATATTCATCACAGGTGAAACTCCTTGGGTGCCCTACCATTCAGTAGCATCAGCAACCTCCCACTCTCGGCGAGCGTCAACTAAGAGAAGCCCAAGCATCGAAAGCCTCACCAGTCGATGATAGAGGGATAGGCGTTTCCTCGGCGAATGTCGTTTTATTTCGCTGTATAGCTGGACAGGTAGAACACGGATTATCGGTTATCGACGGGCAGATACTGTTCACCTCGGTGTATGATAGGACCTTCCGGATCGTCTGTGGTCACCCGGGTTACCTGAGTGCTTTGTTGGGGAAGTGGAAGTGGAGGCTCGTGAGTCGCGAAGTTTTTGGGTTCAGCCACAGGAGACGAACCAGCGACGATCCGACTTCGGACTCGGACTAGGAGTGCGAAGCATTCAAAAGAAAATGCGCCACAGATGGGCCCGCGCCGAGCCGAGGTCGCTGTGAACGTCGGACCTCGGTGCATTCATTCAGCGTATACAGGAAGGACGAAGTTTTTATGTTGTGAGGTATGTACGTACGACCCATCGTCCGAGCTTCTCCGAGAACTTAGATTTTTTTATGTGCACAGTGAACCTTCGAGGAAGACGGGACGAGGAGGGGGCACTGCAATGTGCGCCACAGAAATCAGGAACACCGGGCCGGTTTTCCCAGCCCCTAAGTTTCCCCGGACTCTGCTTGCCCGAACCCCAACCTTGCATCACCTATCGGTTCACGAGCGCACGGACGCGCCTCAACTGAACTACGCCTTACGCCCGCTACTGATTATAATTTTTGCGGGTTCTCGAGTTCTCAGGTTCCCAGCGACTGTCGTGGGCACGTCGGGCACGGTGGGAGCCGAGGGCCGTGCTGCAGAGGCGCAGGCGCAGCCCGAGGCCGCCTCATGCACGGCGTGTCCGTTCCTCGTTACCTTGAATGTTACTCCAAACTCTCATCGATGTCAAAACGCGTGTTTTCCAGAAAACTCGAAGCTCTTGACGGCCCTCCGAGCTGGGGCCCTCGCGTTATCGGGCAAAATAGTAGGTGGTTCGATTGGCCCTCGCATGCACACGTTCCTGCAACTGCAACGTTAGTGATACCTAAAATATCTCCTTCGCGGCCAGTGACTGAGTAAGCTTTCGAGTTTTTGCACTGATTCTCCCTGATGGTGGTGACGATTCGCGGTTCGCGGTTCGATACGACTATCGATGGAAGCGCCCATGCCTCGAGGCGCTGATACTCAAGGTACCAATACCTGTAACCTGATTCCCCCCTTGCTTCAGCTCCCTCTGCCATGCTTTCCACCTGCTGATCATGGAAATTGATGCGGGACACCTCTTGTCTGAGTACAAGAGCAAGCAAACGCGGAAAACGTAAGGCGTGGGGCGGTGACATTCGACGACGTCGACGCTTCACTCCCTTCTCGCCTGTGGATCCGGATTTTACACCTTCGGCGGCTTTTCAGTCTGGCACACTGAAGTCTAACACCTTCCAGTGCGGCCTCAGAAGGCGTGTAAGTTGGAGCTGGCCCGCGAATATGCTTGTCGACTAGGCTCAAGCTTTGATGGGAACATAAACTTGCGCGAAAGTTTCAAGTTGCATATCCTCCTGGACTACTCATGATCAACGTATTTCGGGTTCGGAAGGTCAAGAAGCGCTTATCACTGAGCGATGTTCTGGGATGGGAGGAGGCTGAATCAGATTTAGGATAGATTAGGAGTTATCGTGTCTCTATGGTCGTTACACGGTGCGTTCTGAGAAACAACGTGTTTTTAATCGTTCGGGGTGAGGACTTGAAGGTGTGTCGACTTCGAGTGAGCTTGGCATTCACCTTCGAATGTGGACTTAAGAGGTTTCGTTTGATTGTTCAGGCTGAACGAGCGAGCGAGCGAGCCGGTGATTGTGGTCCTAATCACTGACCACTCAGGCCATCTCTGAAATAGAATGGCCCCCGGAAATTAAACTCGAAATTGTCTGACGGCTGGGATTGTGGTACTCTTATTTAATGAAGGCCTTTACCGAATGATGGTCGGATAGGTAGTTTGACAAGAATAAAGAAAAGCTCAATGATGGTTATAAAAGTATGTCAGAACCGAGGCGGTGAACCTACCATTACTACCACCTAGCGAGTTGATGCTCAATCTTAGTTAAGGCCGTAGTTTTCGCACTCAGGTGATTCATTAAATCGTTTTATTGTGATACGAAAACGCAACTACTGTGCGATCTGCAGTTGCATTGCGAATTCCGACATTGATGGATGAACATGAACGGTGGGTGTAGGTTCCGACGTCCCCCACCGAGGACATCGATTGGCCCCAAGCTTCAAGTCTGAAGGCGTGAAGCTGGAAGGGTGGAGGGCCAGTGATCACAGCTCAGCCTTTTCATGATGGTGGTGATAAAAGGTTGTCGGCCCTCGGGATTTGAGGGCCAAATGAAAAGAGGCACTACTGATCAATGTGGTTTAGTATGGGCCGCCGAACCCCGCCAAACCAGAAAGCTTGATAAACATAGCTTCACAGAGTGCAGACGTGATCCGTCGATGTGGTGCGACACCCGTCTGGCGACGACATGGACCCCAAGCTTGCAGTTAAGCGCCCAGGAGACCGTGAGTATGTCTCGTAGAATGAAGGCACTCGAATACGCGAGCGCTTAGGCCGTTGGGGACAGTTTCAGTTCCTCGAGGCACTCCTTAGCGCAGCTTCGAGCATTGTAACATTGCATTCCTGGAATGAGGACAATGAGTTGGATGCATGCCGGGAGCTGGACGCTTCTCGAGTAGATTGGCGCCGTGGCGTTTGCAAGCGTTTCAATGTATAGCAGTACAAGCGGCCGCGCTGAGCATCATGGTGGGTGCGTTCATCGCATTCTGAATCGCAGAGAAGGAGCAGTTGGCTTTGCATGAGAAGGTTGCGTGCACAGCTACATCGCCTATACGAAGAGCTTGCTCGGCGCATCCAGAGACTAAGTACATTGTTTTTGCTCTTCCATGGAGTGATGTCGTTGTACTAGGGGTTCTCCAAGGCGACTGCCCTGCTAATTTCGGAGGAATCGTCCACTGGGTGATACTTTGATTGGAATTAGAAGGCAGCCGAGGCGATGCGATTAATTAGAACTGCCCCTACATGCGGGGTAGTGCTGTGCTATCTGCCTCATTCCTTAGGATCAGGTGTTCAATAATTCTGTTCACATACGGCTAACTCCACCGAGCTCCGAGGTCATGCCATCCTTATATTAGTTAGAAGAAAATGGCTATGACTCGCTATGAGACAACTGTGGGCGCTTGCGTGCGTTGGATGACTCAACGGAAGCGTTCGATGCGTTTCCAGTTCGAGCGGTTCGCCTGTGGCTGCCGAACAGCCATGCCGCGGCATCTCGCGAACGGGTCAATCTCGGGCCGCTTCGAATCGTGCCGATCATGCACGAAAGCGGCACTGAGCCGATCGAGGCGCGTCATTCCGCAATCACGGGCTGCCGCAGCTTTGACGCGTCCCCAACGTCGTTGATGCCGTCCCCAACGCGTCTCCACGTCGACATCCACGCAGCACAACACGAGTCTCCGGTCTAGGTCTTTCGAATTCTTGGGTTGACTCACGCTCCATCTTTGAGGATGGCTTTTGTATTCGGTTTGTCTCAGACTGGGTGAACCAAGCCGCCCAGGCCCCCTTTGACGAACGTGTCAATAATTAAACCCCCTCCGCACCCCTAAAACTATGCCACGTCCATCCAAAGGCCGTGGAATTTGTTGCCCAGAAGCCTTTCTGCTACAGAGACATTGCCGGAAGCACCCCAGGTGAGCTCGATTCAATTGAACCATTTCACCACGAGATTGCTAGCGTGAATTCGTTAAAATATCCGTCTGTTAAAACCCGTTTTGAAATGTTCCCCGGGGTACACGCTCCATTGGCTTTCTCTTTCGCTTTCTCCTGGCTTCTCTCGTGTTTTTGGCTTCCACCTTCATGTTCATCACGGATAGTTGCTCTCTCCGCCGCTCAGGACGGCGATATACCAGCACCTGTCGATATAGCTGGCAAGGTTAATGTACCGCGTCAACTCTAAGGTCCTCCATATGGCTATTTTTACTTGGGGATGTTACTATTTCCTGACATAGGCATATTTCGCTTCTAGTGGATCGCGAGGGCCGTTCTATGTGCGATTAACTCGGATGTCGTAACATTCTGCCTGAACCGGTAGGCCTTTCTTATGTCCCGAGTGGCTTGACTGGTTGACTGACTTGCTTCGACGATAGGCCTTGTGTTCTGAGGTCGACATGGCGTTTATCTAGAGTTCTTGACTTAAAAATATCCATAATGAAGTGTATCAACTGCGGTGCGATAACAGTCCGTTTCCTTCATTGTATTCGACGAGTGACTTGTCGGGGAGCGCGCTCAATTGTCAAGCCGATTGATTCGCCCTCGTCACCACGCGAACGACTTGGAGATATCGGTTTCAACCCCTCATTCGCGGTCACGACACCGCGCCCATGTTCGACATGGTTTGCGTTGGAACAACGTGGACGGGCGCGTTTCCACTTCCAACGCTCCCTTGAATCAACCACCCCAAAATCGACTGAAAATCGAGTTTCACCTACATCTTTCTCCTGGCGATGTTCAGGGCGACCGCACAGAAGCCTCAACTGCCACGACTTCCCTGAGCGTCGTCGGCACTTGGACTGACGAAATCGCAGTCTAAAGTTCAAAATTCGAATATGACACGATGGTGAGTACTTACTTCCTCCTGTCTTGGTAATTTACTAAGTCTGAATGTTTGAGCCTAGAGATCAAACGAGCAACACGGGCGCTCGCTGGGCGAGCGGTCGAACCAGACCGCATGCGGCACCGTAGTCCTTCAAGTTCTAGTCGCATGCGCCGTGTCCGAAGTCTTCGTGCTAAGCACCAACGGCGCAACGGGACAGTTACAATCATCACGGTGCAGACGATCCACGTACGGCGTCCGCAAACTGCGGATGTCCTCAGAAATTATGTATACGAACTACGCAAGTCGCCTGCGCTCGTGAACTCATCAGGTGAGTCTCTATTGCCTCCAACACAGGAATTTCTGCCATACTAGGCGCCGCCCTGCTGCGTGTGCGTGCGCGCCGGAAAAAACTACCCGCGTCGCTCCAGTGCTTGGCGCGAGTCTTTCCGAGCCCCGAATCCCGAGCGGAAGCATTGCTTGATAGCCGTGGTTGGTCAACCGAAGTTGCCTCCGTCCCCACTCCGTCCGTCATCTCAATTCCGTCAGCAGGCGCGATTGGATGACATGGATTGGACGACGAACGCAGTTGGTTGGCCGCGTCGTCGTAGGTTTTCAGTGGACAGTGTGGGGAGTTCGCGGGATGACTACATTGCTCCCAGCGGTAGGAAGACTAATAAGCCTTGTAGCCAAGGTCGCCGATGCTCGGATAGATAGGTGAGCGGTTGGATTAATTTCCCCGTTCGTTGTTGTCTGGATTTCTTGGGATGCTGATGTCTTGATCAAGTCGCAGAATCAACGATATGCCCTTGCATGTCTCTGTGCCCTGGCTTTAGAGAGTCATGAGTATTAAAGAAGTAAGTAGTCAACTTTATTCATTATTATTGTTGAAAGACGTGACGACATGGCATGGGAGGACGAGCGCTAACAGTACGCGTGCCTGAGAGGGTTTCGTAAATCCTTTCAACAAGAACAAGAGAGAGCGCTTGCTGCGCTCGATTCGGATTGAACAAAAGAGAGCGGTTTCTAGAAAGGAAAGCATTTATGAAATTAGCTGCACGGAACTGAGATGTGGGTCTGCTCTTTTTTGTGTTCAAAGACAATAGTCTGAAAGCTGAAAGGCTTGAGTCTCTAGTCACCTGGTAAGGCGGGATACTAGCTTTAGTAACTACATACGTGACAATAGACGAATAGATTTGTGATCATACTCAGGCGGCCATAGCACGAAGGCAAACCGAGTCGCTGCATCTGTTCCGTGCCGGCTTACGCAACATCGAGACGGAACGGTATTGACCTCGGAAGCAGGCACCGATCACTCCGACCCTACTGTGGCGTCCTCTACTATTAACCGATAAACCTGTCACTTCGCATATAATCATGAGCTCAACGCTTGATCCCAATAATCATGAAGTCTGGTCTGGCGTTGTCTCGTACTTAGTAACTTACGGTTAATCCTAGCCGGACATCGTGAAATGGTACCTACCACCTCTTATCACCTCTCTTCGTCCTGTTCGGGGGAGATTCCTACCTTCTTGAGCCGACCGTTTCCCTCCGGCTCGGGGATTCTGTACCTACATCATTCCTAGATGTCTACGCGCTCGCGCGGCACCCATATGAATATTTTCATCCCGATTCCGTTTCCAAGCGCTCACATTCACCTTGCTATCCAGGAACGGGCAACTGCGTCATCGGGGCGTAATCCCATGAGGTCCTCCTATCGTCACCATTGGCTCTTTTACTACGATGACGGTTGTGAGGAGGCTTGAAATATCCACCTTTCCTGTCGGATCTTCCCCTGGAGTCAGAGCGGACGCCCTTCGATACCGACGTGACCTCGTTGAATTGGATGAATAATTGCTCGAATCGCACCTTGTCATCGTTGAACTCGTGGTGCAAGAGTCATGTTACGACGCCGCGGTTAGACTTAGAAATCGTAAGGTTAGATATAATTGAGCTCGCGGCAGTAATGTCAGCATGTTGGATGACTCATGCTCGCTCGCTCAGCCTCACGCGTACGAGTAATCCGATTCGCCGACGGGATGCCCATTTCGGGAAAGGTTCGGTCAGTGAGTCAAGCGGGCCGGTCTGGACAGCACGGTTCGATTGTGGCGCACAGCCACTACACAGCCACCAGGGACCGAGCCGGCTCTCGTTCAGGTTCTTTCTCGAACAGCCTCAACTACCACGCCGACTGCGGCTGCTCTATGATATCGGTCTCGGATAGTCAAAAGCGCAGCGCGCATACAACGCGGATAATTGGCTGTATCTTCCGGCTCGGATGTCTCTTGCATCTGCATACAAGTTCCAGAAATCTGATAGAAAATCAGACAGTGAACAGCATACTTGGGCAACATGATCAAGCTCAAGGCCTGCGTGTATCCGTCTGCGGCGGTGCACAGGCTGTTAGTCAAGCATCGAGAAGGCTTCTAGGGGTGGTGAACAGTATCGAGGCGCTGGATAATCTGGTTCGAACAGTTCTGGTGCATTTTCTTGTCCATCTTATTCTTGTCCTCACTGATCCACGGATTTGAGGACCAGTGCTGGCAATCACCAATATGTTGTAATCTCTGATCTATTGTTAGACAGAATGTACAAGTATTCAAATTTCTTTTGCATCTTCCTTGATTCTGGACCTCCGTTTCTCACCACGATGCTTTCAGAAACCAATCCGTGGACACGCTCAGGCGGATATCAGTCGGTTTCCCAACATATGCGGCTAGAGGAAGCGGCTGCATGCTTTACCCATCTATACCACCTCATATCAGTTCTAAGCCCACAGCGGACGGCTATCCCGGTTTCCGCTCCTTGTCCCTCGGTGTCTATCTATCTTTTCCCAACCCCGCTCCTCATGGACGACTTCAATTCACTGGATGATAGTAGCTTATCCGTGAGAAGATCGACGCCAGAGACCTTTGCAGAGGACGCGAGTAGCTAACTCGTTCCGACCCACCCTCTCACCCACAAGGCCTCAAGATCATCTTGGTTGTCTTGATGGTTTACCCGGTTTACCCCAGCGCAAGGCACGAAGTGGCGCCGAACTTTTCTGACCAAGATGATAGGCGCCTGACCGGGTCGTGTGGAAGAAAATCGCCGTCTAGAGTCGATGCTTCTCACTCGCGGTTCTTCTTCAGGAAGCCCAATCCTGGAAGAGCAAAGTTCTCTTAGAACCGGGCTCGTCGGGTTCGCAGACTACGAGGGACACCCGCCAACTTATATTCAGTCTTGAACGTCGAATGCGATTCGTCGCTATTTTTACCCGGACTCAGAGTCTTCTACACATGGGCTAGGTTATTGGTCGTGACTGCGGTCTCTTTTCTTGGTCTTGCTTTCTTTGACAAAGGTACCTCGCTACCCTTGGATCCTACGCCAAGCACGCGGGAAGCCGGCAACAACACTTCGCTGAGTGCGGGGCTTCGTTCTGGACTTGCTCTTTCAACCTCGAAGGGCAAGGCGTGCGCAGGCGCTGTGACAGGAAGAACTCTCCTTTCACAGAAGCCGGGAGCCAGAGTAGCCTACGGCGCATCTTGTGATACTGTCCCGCGAGCACCTAGAATCTATCGAAGATTTCTAGAGACCGCAATAGTTCCCGTTCTGAGGTGAGGGCGGATATGGACCTGTCGATGTACCATGTCTCCCTCGGTCTTTCAGTGTCACTTGGCCATGGCCAATAGAGCGACGAATTAGCGTCAGGCTGGTTTGTTCTATAGCCAGCTCGCTCCGACCCTCGTTTCCGACCCGCACGATTTCCTCTCTATCGGCGCTCTCTAGTGCTTCCCCGCGTTGGCCCTTGGAGCTCGGGGTTCGCAAGTGTCATCCGTCCAGGAACCAGGATAGCTCTCGTGGCATCCGACGTCTACGATATAGGACGGCTATGGCACGTCTAATCGATCATCATGATTCATTATATATCATCCTTGACTCGCGGTGATCATTGATCATTCGGGAGTACTCCAGTAACTCTACTCTATCGGATGGACGGACAACTCGAACTGGTCCATCCTATCATGATGTCAAGCGACTCTGCCCACCTCGCAAGGAAGATGGACACGTATCGAGAGGCGTCACTTGGGGTCGGTGTGGCGTCCGTCCGTTTGGTGCGTCGACTCCAAGTAAAGCGGAGCAGCACCCAAAATAAAACGAAACCATTGTAGTATTCCTTGCTCGCTATGATGAGCCATCATCATACGATACGACACAGCGCTAGAGAAAAGGCGTACGGTGATATTATTGTCAGCTCGTTAGCATCCAAAGAGCACCTTTGCGCCGTTAACTTCCACTCGGGTGGACTTTGGCAGATATTCTCCCGTTCCGGACAGTTCGTCGGATTCTTTCCAAACGGATTCGAAGATGATGATTGGCGTTACCGCAAAAGGCGATTGTCACCCGTGTATTCCTTCCGTGGCGATTTATACCTTGCTTGTGGGGCATATGATGATCCGAGTGCGAGTGCAGAGGCGGCGCGTGACTGCAAGGTCTGAAATATCAATCAAGCGTCGAGGAAGGTATTAACGTACTTACTCCGCAGAAATGGCAGGCGTTTCCCCAGTAGCTCCAAGCGTGCTCAGCAGGTCTGATGATGGTGATCATCACAGGAAAATGGAGTCACGATCTGATACCTACCGAGAACGGGGTCAATGTCATTAGCCCAATTTTCTTTGCGCCCACAATTCGAAGAAAGTTGGTTGATGCTTACGCTGGTGCAAGTTGGGGGTTCCACAAACCAAGGTCATGAAAATGGTCCCGAAAAGCACGGTCTCGCCTTCGGTCTGTGGAACCGATTAGATGAACTGGCTCTGACAAATATGCTCATGGAGACGAGAATCAACCTGGGTTTCTCTTCTATCGGTCGACATCTTTGGACGGGCGCCTCTGCTGCCTGAACCGAAAGTGTCTGGTCAGTGGACGAGGAAATCGGAGCCGTTCATCTTCGATTCAATTTTTATAATCAGTCAAAGGCGATAATACGGCACTTAACGAGACAGTTACGGCGCTGACAATGCACTATCCGTCTGAAAACGGCGACAGTAGAAAGTACGCCAGTCCCGAAGAGGAAGAAGTCCGATGTACCCGACCATGGCTACGAGCTTAACGTTACTGCCTGATGAAAAAATTTCTCCTGAATCGTCAGAGGCCTTAAGCACCGAGGCCCGCCTTGAACAAGAGGGTCCAAAGGATGTTGGGCAGCGGTGACCAGCAAAAAAAGTGCAATATGTACATTGTAGGCACTACACGGCTCTTGTGGCGCTCTCGAGCAGTTGGAATGCTCCCTGCTGAAGTCGTGTGGGCGGCTATACGGGCGCTTGGATCGATGAAGACTTTTTAGAGGTTAACGGAAGCTTCTGTCAAAACCTACGCGGTACCTATCGGCTCCCCCGACAATTTCTAAATGAACCAAGCTCAGTTGGAACTTGGCTCGCACGTTCGCGTTTATGTTCTGCCTACCCCGGAAGCGCCGATTGCCGCCCAGTGACATAACGTTGGACGTGGTGAATTTGCGAGGCATGATGCCCAGCTCACAGTCATGACTGAAGGATGGCGTTGGTCGCTGGTGCCTTAATTCAGGACCCATGTGTGGCGGAGTGATCTCGGAACCTGAGCGGATGAAGTGAATTACTATTTTAGGAAGAAGGAAAGTGTTATAACCGGATGAGCGTGCCTCTCCGACGACGAATTACTGACGTTCCGTGGTAAGGAGTGAGCTGAATCGCCGTTAGCCAAGACACCTGGGGCCGTTCGGCTTCAGAGAAGTTAAGAAATTGAGTTTTGGATTCCGCTTCTGCTATGGGGTTGACCCCGTGCTCGTGTTTAAAGCTTAAAGCTCCGATGAATGGCCAGTACTATTCGACAGAAGATGGGCAGAAGGTAACTAGATGGGAATTCAGTGATAAGCCAGGGTCCATCGCCCTTTTGTCTCATTGGAATGACAAGAATGCATTCACCTAAGAGGGCAGCATAATCCACTGAGAACCTCTATCCCCGATGTCCAACTTTATCAAGTTAAAATCATCTCCACTATCCCATGAAAGCTATGTACGTTGGCAGTGCAGCTTGGTGAGGGCGTATGCATTGAATTATTTCGTTTCTCCCTGGGAAAGAAATGCTTGGAAGGACCTCCTAGACATATCCGTTCCTATAACGTCCTGCTAAATAAACATGTATCACTGGATGTAGATTTCTCCCCTAGACACAGGCCCGCTATATTCGCCGCTGCATCATGTCATGTTTGTGAACGTAATGGCAAATCTCGGAAAACAACAGAGCCGTCTTAGCGACCTGAACAGGAAATAATTTCTATTTATGGAATAACAAAACAACAGTCCGATTTCTACCGTAAGAGATGAAAGTCTACATGTGTCATGATAGATCAAACTGCCTTGCAAAGAGCGAATTATACGGTAAGAATGATAAAGTATGGCGAGCTAGAAAGAGACGGTAGACATGCCGATGTAGTGCGGAATTGCATGTGTAGAGATGAAGTGGGTTGTGGTGGTGGATGTGAAGGCATGCACAGAACATACATAGGAACAATGAAGGACAAAGAGAAACATATATACAGAGAAATGCTGGCAAATTCGATTGGCAAGGACAACAACGACACCAAAGACCGCAGAACGACCCCGGAGTCCAACAACAAGAAAGCACACCCAACCGTCTAGTCCAATGCCTAAATCCATGCCCTATCTAAAAAAGTCGCTTCCGGGGCCCAACTGGCTTTCCTCGCCATCACTCTGGTCAGCATCCGCACCTTTCGCGCTTGCCGCAGACACTGCAGACGCTCCGGGGCCAGGGTACGCCCTCGAGCCCAATCCGGAACCCATACGAGAGCCCGCTCCTGAACCCGAACCTCCCGATCCAACCATCGCCGACCCTACTACCGCAGACTGAGCCTCAGAAGCCTGCGACTCCGCCCCGAATGCACGCATGTTCATCAGGAACTGGCTTTTCATGTTTAGCTCCTGCGTGCTCGTCATCATCCTCTCCCTCGGCTGGGCGCTGGGCAAGCCACCAGGGCCCGTGATACCACCTGCCCCTCCGCCAGATGCTGACCGTCGATGACCTTGCCCCGCGAGTCCGAGGCCGACGTTTCCTAGGCGGCCTGTAGGGCTGGTGGCTGTGCCCAAACCAGGGTACGGCTTGGGTGCTGGGATAGGTTGGCGTGTGCCAGGACCCTCCAGCTCGGCTTCCTCGTCGACGAGGGTGCTTTTCTTGAACGGGTCAAGGTCGTCTTCGCTTTCCTCCTGCACTGGCTCGGGTACGGCCTGCTTCACCTTCCCCTTGGATGAACCAGCCGTCGGTGTCGTCTCGCGGTAGTCGTCTGAATCCAAGTAAGGAGAGAGCGGCGTCGTTCGCTGGCCGGGTCCACGTTGCTGCTGGCTTGACTTGGGAGTATGCTGGGCTTTCCTTCCTTGCGTTTGAGGAGAATCATCTTCACTCTCTTCTGCATCGAACAAGGTCTCTTTCCTCTGTCCGGAAGTCGAAGGCCGAGGGACGATCCTCTCTGGCTGAGTCGGGAATCTGCGTTGTTGGTGCAAAGGAAGAGTGGATGTTCGTGATGGCTCAGAGCTGAAGTCGTACTCGAAGGCAATGAACACTTCTTCGCGTCTTTTCTCCCCTGATACCTTATCGATGCAGTAGCAGAGGTATAAGGTGTCGGCACTATCGTAAACAAATTAAATGAGATGGAGATAAATGAAAGAAATAACCGGCAGCAAACGTACGTGTCTCTGACCAACCCAACACAGAACAGTCCAACAAGAGCTGTGACACCTCCAGCCATAAGAGCTGCACCCAGAGCCTCATTAGGCGCTCCGAGGGTATGGGCCACGAATAAATAGGTGATCAAAGCAAACGGAAAGCTGAGTGTAAGTGGCGAGATTGTAAGGAGAGCAAGAGGTGCTGCAAATAGCTCATAAGCATCAACTTAGAATAAAAGTAACATGAAGACGTACGTTCAGAGCCAAACTTCCTCTTCCTCGGATTAGGAGCTGGTGCCCGATTCCTCTGCCCTCTCGTCCGTCTCCCATTCCTTCCTCCTTGGGGCACTTCATCGTCGTCGAGGACAGGAGGGCCTTCAATCCCATTGACCAAATCTCTTCCTCTATGCGCACTCTCCCAGAACCCGGCGCCGGTCAGACCCGCGTAGATCAGTGCGTATCGACTCAACCGCCCGCTCTTCTCCTCAAGGTAAACTACCGTCCACTGCACACCTGGAACGACGTAGAGCGCGATCGGCACACTCAGAGGCACCCATGGTATCCGTAGTAGGAGGGGAGGAAGACGTCGGAGTAGGAGGACAGCGAAGGCGAGTATCCGGAGCAAAGTCAGGATAAGCCCTGCCAGAACGATCGAGCCCAGAGAAGGACCTGTAGACCGCGTCAGTGCTGCATGGATCGTATGCGTCGATGTTGGCGGAGGTGGGGGTGCGTTTGGGCTGCAGAGGTATTAGCTTTCGGATTCTGAAAATTTGATGACATGGGTGACTCACTCTGCGAAGTACCAAGCACCGATGACGCTCGCACACGTCGCTCGGAGGACTCCTCTCGCTACCGCCCAACTCCACAGCCACACACTTGACGTCCCAACGATCGCCCAATTCGCCCAAGCATGTACGTGCCATTCCCATCCTGTCTTGACCTTCGTTGAGTAACCGACGAGAAGCAACCGGAAGATGAGGGTAACAAAGGGTAGACTTCCGAGGAGCATAACCAGGAGGATTGCTGGAGAGAGAGCAAGGAGAAAAGGATTGGAGATGAGGAGATGGGTAGTTAGCGTTAGGGTTGATGAAGTGGTATGAATTTGCCGTGGAAGATGGAGCAATCTCCGGGCAGTTATGAGAGACAGAGCGAGAGGTACTATCGCAAATAGGCGTAGACTACCGATAGTTAGCACAAAGATGAAATGAATAAATTCGAGGACTTACCCCACAGTCTCGCCCCAGGTCGGAACCGTATCTCCGTCCCACATGAAACTTCCTACGAACGCCCACACCGCCGAAATGAACAGAGTAGCGGGGATGAACACGGACGTCGCAATCATTACAGGCTTCACAAACACCCGTAATAGATAGACGTGCACATACGCAGCACCTGCGCTGAGGAACGTCAATATGATGAGCATCGGTACCGTGCGCAGAAGGACGGTGTAGGGCAGCATGACGCTGGGGATTTCCTTTGGCCGTTTGGTCGTAAAAAGTATGAGGATGGAGAAAAAGACGCAGAGGGTGACGAGCCCGAGCCAAAGCGATATCCAGGGGGCGTCGTGGTGCTTCCGTCGCTTCCGTGGCGTGTGTCGGGGGTCGGGTAATGAGAAAACATCGAGCGGGCGAGTGCGGCCGTCTCGAGGGAGGAGAGATTCGGTCAGAGTGAGGGTTCGGGGTGGTAGCGGAGGTTGGATATCGGTTACGTTGGGGCGTGGTCGGCCTTGAGGCGCTTGCGTCTTCACGTCCGCTGGCGGGCTCGACTCGGACGAAGATGATGGCGCCGACGACGATGACCTGCGAGGTGAATGTGCGAGATGCGCCAGCCATCCTGGTGGAGAATCCGGACTTGATGAACGCGCAATCAACGGTGTTGCCTGCTGCTGTGCCCGTTGCCCATGGAATCCTGTCCTTCCCAGCTGCTCGTCCTCATCTAGCCGTAGATAAGGGTCTTCATCGTCGTGTTCCGGCATCCTTGCGCTCCTCTCGCTCTCCCGTAGATGTGGGTCGTCAAAGTCGTCGAGATCGGTGTCGTGTCCACCGTGGCGAGAACCGTTGTCAGTCGTAAAAGAGAAGAACATGGGTTGGGAGGAAGACATAGTGGCCTCCCCATTCTTCTGTCTTGTGAGATATTGGGAGGCATAAGCTGCGAAGGACGTCGCCATCGACGTCCACAATTGTGCGCTGCAGGAATTTGGCTGGAGAAGAGGGTCCGTCACACGAGTCACAAATCACCCTTTCCCATTGCGGGTGCCGTTGCCAAACATGGGCGCCACTTTGCCGAAGGGCGCTTGACGCAAACTGGAAAGTTCAGGCAGAAAGTTCAAAGGCTGGCACCAACTCGGGTGGCGGGTCGCTGAGATTTGAATTTTTTGAGGAGAGAAAGAGAGGCAGAGCGCAGGTGTCGTAGAGGAAATTACCTGTGCAGTGTGAACAAACCGGCGGTTGGACTGCGAATGCCATAATATGTTTCGGGACGAGTCGGTATGATGGTTAAGAGCAAAGAAGGGACAAACGGCTCTGCACACGAGAAATAACGCGACGCGTCAATTGCAAAGACACGCGAGGAAGTGTGAGAGAGAACTGCTTAAAGAATGATTTATTTGACTCCAAGGCCTTAATATTCATCCCAAAACATCTCGCTCTCCATAATACAGAAATGTCTGATCCTGAACCCATTTTGGAGCGAAGGAATTCATGAATCGGTGCAAATATTACAATCACCCATCGCATGCCCATCAATGCGCCACTATTCCCACATTAGCAAGGGAGGTGGTCCACGTTTGGCCCAACGGCGCTCTCAGGAACCTCCGAGCCTTGCTCAACTTGAGTAAGTCGACCCGACGTTTTGATAGGCAGCTTAGTGGCTTTCCGCGTCAATTCGGAATAGCTCTTTCGATGAACGGGTGGCTCAAGTAAGAGTTACAATATTTACCATTGCCAAGTATGAAAGCAGGACTGGACTGTGGGACGCCGCTGCTTGCAGTGGGCGCTTCTGGTGACCCTCAATTCTCCCGTTCATATTTACGACTCGGAACAGGAAAAAGTTCCGATAAGTAAAGCTAAGGCTCGGGTCAGCGATGGCGGATGATGCGTTGGGTTGACATTCTAGGAGCCGATTACGGAGGCTGGCTAAGTACTTCGATGAGGCCTTGGAAGTCCCAATGCTAACTTTTCAAAGTCTGACAAATACCTCCGTGAAAGTGCGTCCTGTGGAACACGACGTCCAACTTGTTCATGCGGTTGCACACTTTATAACTATTGATTGACTGCGCATAGTGAGGCCGCTGATACGCAGGCCAACTAAACCACCAGCTACTATTTCCAAGAAGACGAGAAGACTTCCGACGATCGATCAAACTTGTTGAGGTCAAGTCGAACTGGCTTCTTCAGACCGGACGTTATGTATGTACACACCAATCTTCTTCCCAACTATTGATAAATTTGCACGTCCCTGGGGACGCTGCTCTCTAAAGACACCTTGGAACAGAATATTCCGACTGCACCCCACTGCGTGCAGCATGAGTCTGTTAGTATGTCCGGAATGACGTAGCATTCGGTCAGAAATAGTCTCGGAGCAGCTGCCTACACCTGATTGATGCATCCACATCTGTGACAGAGTATTCTTGTACATCTCTGCTGTAAGGCTCAAGGAGGATGATGCAGGTGTCCCCGCAGGCGTCCACACATTCCGTTTCGGGCAGGCTTGGAAAAGCCCACGTCGAGTCAACGATGTCATCGATAGCCGTACGCGTCATCCCTCGGCGTCATACTACGGCACGTACACGGATTGTCAGGCACTTGGCTGAGCGCAGGCGTCGCTCTGTGTGGGGGGCTTGCTACTGCGGGTGCAGCGCCGACGCTGGGCGTATCGTTATCACGATCCTCGCTGTGTCGCTCCGGGGTGGGTCAAATGAACCGATTCGAGGATTGATCCCATCCATTGATATTGTCATCCGGTTCTTGTCAGCACCCTCGTGAAGACCGACTGTCGATTGTTCATGCAAGTTTACCCGTTGGAGGGCCGGAAGAGGCGCCGTGAGTCATTCATGGTGACTTGGTCTCGAGACTGCTGGCAGTGACAGTGGCAAGTAGGCGCGAAGGAGGTTTTTCCGAGGTGAGTGCTCAGGTGGATTGAGAATCACTCGGGGAAATTCATGCAATAAACGATAGCGCCGCTCTGGGAAAATACCACGTAAAGCATTCAAGCTGTTAAGAGGAATCGTGGCGCACTGAAGCCCGGTACGTCGATTCCCGGTTTTCATTCGGTTCATCGACTCTCGAGGCGGCGTATGGTCGTTTAGGAGGTTCTGTTAACCAGGCGAGCCACTCCCATCTTCATTCCGTCTGTCTCAGGTTCTGGATTGGAGCTCATGATAGTTGAACCCGGACACAAACAGGAGAGACCCAGATCAGTTCATTCCCGAGAGACAGACCAGCTTCCACACCATAGATGCCACAGAAATACAGAATCTGGCCTCGGCGGACGAGGAAACGAACAGATCCTTGGAAAGGGAATCTAGACGATGCAGATAAAGTTGCATACACCGTGTCAAGGAGCCCAAGAGAAGTGAGACGGAACTCACAAGGAACGAACACCCAGGACGCGATATGTCGGATGTGGAGACACTCGAGACCACTGGTCTACAATTATGCGAGGCACCCAACCACCGATGACAGTTGAATACGACGAATCGGAGCTCCAGAATGCCATGGCAAGTCGCATTCTATAGCAGGACGATCGACAGCGCAGGAAATGTCTCCAGGATATCAGAAAAGAATCAGTCCAGACTGCTGTTTCCCTTGCAAGCGTCTTGTGGTACCCGCAAGGTGTGAGAGAGGAGATGGTTGGTGCAAAGTTAAGCCTGGAACTTGGAGGTTCTGGACTTTGATGGATCCTCGGCTATGATTGGGTGAGACGTCCGTCACCGGTCACCTATAATTGGACAACCGTTTCTTTCTTGTATCCTCCACTGAACTCGCTCACCATCGCCTAGAACTGGTTTCTCGCAAGATTACTCGAAGCGGTTCACCTGTGCTCTTTAAGGAGTCAGATCGAGTAGCCCCTAACGACTTGAAGTGTTTCACTTGGACTCAACGCCGTCATCTGTACGTATTGAAGCAAGCGTACGGATCCGAAAATGCACCGAACTTCCTTCGAATCATCCTCAGATATGCCTCACCACAATCCCAGGGACCCTCCTACTGGTACATACTTCTACCTTGGACCCCTAAAATTCACAGGCTATGAGTCCGCTGGTCGCCGTTCACTTTCACGAGCCTCAAAGCCTCAAACCCCATTCCTTTGAACCCTCGCTGGCCTCCTAACTACCACCACCACGCCGCAGATGTTCTTTAGCTCGTACTGGCAACTGACTCGGGCTTCTGGCGAGATCCTGGCCAACTTCGAGCTATCCGATCACCAACGGCGCCCTTCCTTCCGACATCTGCACGCCTAATTAAGGCACCTCCCTGACGAGGAAGGCAGCTAAATTCAACGAGGTACGCGTCTAGTGACACCACCGAGCGCTTCTACAGATCCCTCAATAAATCTGGCTCCGTCACCGGAGGGGTGCCCGACACGATCGCGTGCTTCTTTGGCAGATCCACGGCCACTTAGGGTGCTGCTCTTCCCTATAATAGCTATTCCAGTTGACGCAGGCGGCTCTTAGGTCAATTTCCGTCGGATGTTCAAGCTCAAGCAGCAGTAACCTGGATCTGGGGTTAGATTGGAAGAGATAAAGGCGGATATGAAGATACTACGAAGGCGACAGATTGCCCGAGTACACTGCTGGATCTTGTCTGCCCGTTCATTTTTCAAGCCATGGGCCGGTTCGCCTGTAGCCTGACGTCCAGTCGACGCCATTTACGCGAGCATTTGGACCAAGCGGTTTGTGTTTACGAAGTTTAGACTTCGCTGAAGTGAGGTGCGTATTTGTGCGAAAGCCCGAATGAATCAGCGCTGTGAGCCTCCTTTTGCGGCGTGCTAGCGACTCCTGTAGTGTCACCTTTTCCCTTCATTCTTCCCGAGGTCGGACTATTTCATTCGACGTGCTTGGATTCTTCAAGTTACGACTCTGTTGCAATTTGGGCCAGCAGCGTGGCAGCAGGAAACCATTGATTAGGACAACAACAACACCTAATCACCACCTCAGCTGTTTCTCTCGAGGCTCCTACTAACTTGGCATGCCCTTCTGTGGCGTTCTCGAGTTCCGTGAGTATCTGGCGTTGAAGTTTTACCCTCCATTTTTCGAGCCCTCCAACGGGAATCGCGGCTCCATCCATATTCCGAAGTCCAAGGTTTCCTCGCCAAAGAAGATCGGTAAATAGCTCGCCCCGCAACGAGGCTACGTAACATAAGCCGCTCCAGCGATTAGCGCCCGCGAGAGCCCCAGGCCTGGTCGTGTCCAAGTACTCTTCACGTCCGTCGCGTCAACCCCGCCGCCCTCATATATTGGCTCTCGCTTAACCTCCACGGTAGGCCCCCATCGCTGTGCCCTCATCCCCAACACACCCAAAAGAAGGTCACGATCCTTCACTAGTTTATTGTTCTCGCCGGTTCACGGAATTACTTGAGAAATTTTTCAAATAGACAAATTCCAGCAGACAGTCTGGACTTCTTCAGATGCTGGCTTATTTACAGAGCATCTACAGTACATTGTAGTCGAAGAGAGAACACGAAGCGAATGTCGATTGGGACGAAACGTGCTGAGGATGATGGGACCCACAAGAAACATGAACGGAACGAGGAAAAGACGATGTAACGCGGCGATCGATGGTGCGAAACCGACGCGATGACCTGTCTGAACGACGCACATTCCACGAGCGAGGTCTTCCAAGAAAGACAGTGCTAGCGTGGACGAGAGGAGGTGGGGCTCTGTGCGCGAGGACGCCGACGTCGAATGCCATGGTAGCACGGTACGTCTGCCCCTTCTACTAGATGTAGCTGTCGCTGATGGTTCGTAGATCCTATAAGTAAATCGATGCAGGAGGTGGGTTCGTGTGGGATTATGGGCAGCCTCTCATCGCCGTCAGTCGTGTGGAGACTTTACTGGTCGTCTGGGAGGGATGGTGGGGTGTTGGCGGCTGTCCGTGTCCATGGTAAGTGGTGAATTCAAGATCATGGCATTCAAATGCTGAGGCTAGCTCGTCAATCTGGGTAGGGAATGAGAGTGATGGGAACGTACCTCTGCCCGCCAGCACAGACACTCGTGATAGTGTCCGGCTCCCTTCAACAACGGCGCCGTCGTGCGAGATGAAGGGAGACAACCCCAGAGTTGGCATGCGCGGACGTCGAACGAGTCGCCTCTCGAGCGACCGAAAACGCATTCACGCACGCTAGATCCATGAGCGCAGTCGTGGCTCCGAATCGACGTATGCTGACGCCGGTGTTCAAACCGAAGGGTTTCCAGAGGGCGTTGTAGTTCATATTCGAGGTGGGGGTGGGGAGCTTCGCGTTGTGGCTTTTGACGGTGAGTGTCGTATTCGTCTTTCCCGAGATCACTCACCACAGCCGTTCCCATTTTTTCGATTCCACAGGAGCCGAGAACACTCGGTTCACAGGCCTGAAACTCGAAATAGCGGTGGACGCCCAGAAAAAACTAGGTCTTTCTCTTCCCTAGCGAGTTCTACTCTTTCTCTTTCTCTCCTTCATCCCACCATTGCAGAGAAATGTCAAGCTCATAAACGCGGACATTAACGTCTATGCTCTTTCTTCAACAGACGGCGGGTGTCCCTTGTATTCCTATCTCTTTCTTGGTCCTCCTCGCTCAAATGCCTCATTAGTCTCGGAAATCGGACTGTGTTGCAACAACGATATGAATGAATATAATCATGTGCAGACGATGCTTACGAGTGAGAGAGCGAAGCCAATGCCCGTAGAGTTTTTGTATATAGCACCTTGTAATTTCTGCGACTCTTGGCGAATCGACACCGTTCTTGGAGAAATTATGATTCTTTCTTTAACTGTCTCGTAGATGGTAGTCGGCGAACGATTGACAAGCGGCAACGACAGGATTCACGATCTCTTCGACGTTATCGACATCGGTGGCCACATGACGAACCTGTCGAGGTCAGTAACAGTCTAAAGTTATTCAAAGAGCTTAACATCCTGTTTCGACATCAGCGGCTATTTTTACTCTTGCTCCTTGAGGTAGTTTAATTTACGGATATAGCAGTATTACCTGCTTCCGGCCCCCGACGCAGACAGAACCACGAAATGTATCAAAATGGTGTCATATTGATCTGAAAACACCTACCCTTAAGTCGGAGCTTCTATACCACGCTGCGAGGGAAGAGGGCCTTTTTTCGCTCCCCACAATGGCCAGGATCAGAAAAAAGCCTATCAAGAAATACTGTCAGTGCACGCTGACTTGTAACACTTATTTGAGTCAAAGTCAAAGGCGGAGGCATGACAAAAAACTTACGCCGGAACAACTCGTGTACAGAAAGTGTTCTGTGGAGAACCTACGCCATGTAACACCGCCGAACATGGCTCGTAGGCGTGCACTACGGAACTACGGCAAGATACCCATCAGAAAACGGCGGATACGTAGCCATCAGCATGGTGTACCAGGCCGGTACAACATGTTCATGTTTTCGAGGTCCGCCTGTTGCACACCAAGGGCCAGCGGGCTGTTCCTCATACATGTGACGGTCGCAAGCCTACCCTTGCCCCTCCCCGACCATGGCCCCTTCCGCAGAAGGCGCCCATATTTCGCGAGTAACGTAGCTAGGTATACCCAGGATGCGGTAATTCATGCCTGATATCTATTGTGACAATTATGGCACATGGCTAGCCTCCAACAAGCCCCTGGTAGGTGGCGTTTGAAAGATGTTTTGAATGGACCCATCCCCTGAGGGATCTTAGTCTGTAGATTACCTGAACTAGAACATGAGGCCAGTAAATTTCCTGCAAGCTTGTGGTTCAATAGAACTACTTGCATGATCCAGCTCCCTTCCCTCCATTCAGGGGCCGGCAAATTCAACGCACCACACCTGTAGTTTGAAAGAACCACATACTGTCAAAGGCCATTGTCTGGCCTGGAAACGCTCGCCTGTATTCCGCGTTTATAGTTCTCGAGAACGAGCCAGGACTGAACCTCCCCTTTGGAGGAACTGAAAGGCTTGGTTCACAAGATATATGAATGTATGTTGGTTGAACCGGCGGCAATTCAAACCTGGTTCTGAAAAGATACAGGGTCAAATTGAGAGAACCAGCCACTCTGTTGGTGCGGTTCTTGAGAAACACACATATCTATCTGGTTAACAAGCCCCTACCAAGGCCTGGCTCTGAAAAATACGGGCCTAAATTAAGAGAACCACTCACCTTGTCGGCGTAGTTCCTGAGAGACAAGCCATGACGAAGGTATGGTTCTGAAAATTTAAGGGCATAAAGTAAGAGAACCACTCCCCTTGTCAGCGTGGTTCTTGAGAATCACGTGTGTATTTTCTGTAATCAGGTCCCTACCAAGGCTCTGTCCTGAAAAAATACGGGCGTAGATTAGGAGAAGCACTCACTATGTCAGTGTTGTTCCTGAGAGACAAGCCACGACGAAGGTATGGTTCTGAGAAATTAAGGGGATAAATTAAGAGAACCGCTCACCTTGTCGGTGTGGTTCTTGAGAAACGCACGTATCAATCCTGTGAACAGGTCCTACCAAGGCTTGGTTCAGAAAAGATACAGATGTAGATTAGGAGAACTACTCACTATGTCGGTGTGGTTCCTGAGAGACGCGCGCTTACATCGTGTGAACAAGCCATGGGTAGGGGCTGGTTCTGAGAAATTAAGGGCATAAATTAAGAGGACCGCTCACCTTGTCGGTGTGGTTCTTGAGAAACACATGTATCTATCTGTAATCAAGTCCCTACCAAGGCTTGGCCCTTGAAAAATACGGACGTAGATTAGGAGAACTACTCACTATGTCGGCGTGGTAACGGCTAAAGAAATACAGGCATAAATCGGGAAAACCACCTACTATGTCACTGTGGTTCTCGAGAACCACACAGATATCTTGTGGACAAGCCACTACTCGGATGAGCTTCTGAAAGAGGAAGGAATGCCAAGACTAGCGCACCCTCGGGCTGGACGTACTCAGGCCCTGACGAGAAAGTTCGGAGTGACCGCCGACTCAAGCAGTCACATGACCTATGTCTCTTTGGCCATCGCCGGCCCCTCATCCACCCTAAACACAGTTGAACTCGGTGCCCTGGCGTCGCTCCGTCCCTTTCCCTTCCACCACCAAAATGTATAGATAGAAAAATAAAATGCAGAGCAAATACTAGTACCTTAGGAATGAGCTTGCAACATCGGGGCATGCCCAAGAAGAAGATGCAGCAGACCAATCCCATCCATCACTTTGAAACCATGCAGACGATGGCGACGGACGTCCTGGAGAGGAAGACATCCAAAGTTGAGTGACATGCATTCCACATATTATGATGATTATTTAACCAAGGTTATGCAGTCTGTATAATATTGGCGGCTGGATCTCTGTGTGTGGGCGAAATTAGATGGGCCCATCACCTATCATTCTTGCAACCCACATAGTTCTAAAAAAATACAGGTGTATATCAGCAGAACTAACCACTATTTTGGGATGGTTCTAGAGATACGTACCCATAGATCTTGTGAATGAGCCAGTACCGGAGCATGGTTCTGGAAATATACTGGAATAAATTAGGGGAACCAGCTGCAGGGGTAGGAGCATTCAACATCTACTTAAATAATACACTGAGTAAAATGCCGTTGCAGGGACTTAGACAAATCTTGGATGTGTGGATCATGATAACCATGACCCCGAATTGCCTAAACCATGAGCGTCAAATTCCTGAACCAGACGAAGCGAATCAATATCTCCAGCAGCTAGATAAATACATGGCTATAAATTCAACGAAACAAATGCTCTCTAAACAACGATTGCCTGGAAGTGCTCCTTCAATTTCTTGAAGTGGTATCCTAGGTACCACCTTTCAAAGTCAGAGAAGGGAGGGCCACCCGGACGATCTGAGACACATTGAACGAACTCCTGAACCCCCTGAACATCGAGCCGCACGATCATGGAGAGAGTGTCCTCTTTACACCCAAAATCCTCAAACTTCGGAAGAAACTTCTGCATCCCAATCTCGAACAAAAAGTGCGCAAAGGTGGTGTGTTCGCAATCGAGATCCGTGGGATCATCTTCCTCAACACGGTTGCCAAATATGGACAGAAGAGCGACTTGCTCCTGGTTGGCAGGTAAACGTTCTGGATGTGCAATCGCCGTCAAGTCGTGCATCTGATGAATTTTTAGGCCAGGATCATTAGGATGAACGCACAGATGGCATACCATAATAAGTGCCTTCCCAATGTCGTCCCCTAAAACCCCTGTCTCCCTCAACTCGACGTCGAAGTCCTTCTTCAACAGTTCCTTTGTGAAATCCTGCATCAGCCATGAGCAAAGATAATAGAGAGGGACTTCAAATCAAATTACCAATACTTGTCTTGCCAGCGATGTGCTCATCATGTGGGGGACGGAAGACATTGTCGACGATGAGTGATTGCTGATAGGGAGGGGAAGGAAGGGAGGAAATTTCTGGTGGGTTTCCACTTATATATCCTATGAACCCGGCTATTCGGGCTCGTCACCCGACAGTGCCATGCGCTGTGTTTTCCGAATATACCTAGATTTAAAGCCCTGGCCCTCCAGAACCACCGCTGTATACCTACTTCTGAAAATTGTACATCGACACACTTTTCGATACCACCGGCCCAGCTGTGTCTCGCAGGAACCGCATACCAGTTAATCTTCCTGTCTCCTTCCTTCCTTCCTACACAACTGTGTAACCCACACTCGGTGCTGCTAGCCACTTGGTAACCTCTCCAGAATACGTACATAACTTCTCAACTATGTGACGTTCATCACAAGTACACTCTGGAAAAGAGTAGTATTGCATAACCACAGCCGTAGTTATTGAAAATCACACTGAAATGTTTGCTGTCTGAGTATTTGGTGTCGATAGTTTTCTGTAACTATGCCAAGGGTTACTCAAAGTTATGCATAGCCAGTTAACTTGAACATACATATAAAAAATTTCGGTCTGATTCATAGCTACCCTAAAGTGAAGACTGCTCGGCTTTAACGACATGGATTCCCTCATCTGCCCACTCCTCCCCCATCCACTCATAGAGAGTGAACACTTCTGGCTTTGAGTGCGCCTTTGCAAGCATCTTCACATCCTCCTCCATGAGCAGGAATAAATCTTCCTCCTCTTCTTTCACGTAATGTGGGGTGGTCTCGTCATTGTCGACCTTGATGTGAACCACGTCCTTGACCCTCTGTTCAACTATGGGGGACGGCGATTGAAGGGCATCATAGTACTTCTGAGGAAGGCAAGTCACGAGGTTTTGCTCTTGCATCACCTCCAGCACTTCTATAAGCCACAAAAATATATCAGATACTGTATTTTAACAAGGTATGCTTATATGTCAGGACTGTGATTTTACAGTCCACCTACGGAGAGGGCCTTGCCGTGTGTGCCAGGGCTCGCGGCTGTGGGTGGGGCATGTCAACACATGCAAACAACACAGGAAACAGTGCTCGGACACTGTTCCTCATCATTTGGGGTGCTCCCGCCCCCGTTTTCGACAGGGAAAAGCTGCCAACGATGAGGAAACATATTTCCTCGTCGTTGTGCACTGTTTCCCCCATTGTCGGGGGGCGGGAATGGGTGGATTGGGCCAGGTGCGTTTGGATGACGCAGCCTTTTTTTGGGCTCTTGTACTATTTTTAGATTATGGTGTAATTACAATGACACATCTCTTGTACAGCTCTCGCCGTTGTCTGTCACGACGTCCGGCGAGCTCAGGGGTATCTCAGCACACAAAAAAAATTATGAAAAAATCATATTAAATTGAAATAATATATCATATACATGGGGCAGGTGGCTCTACTAGCCACCCGCATGAAATAAAGAGAAAACGAGCAGAAACAGCACGCTTCATGGCGCGCTGCTCGGGGGGTACCTGGTCATCCCCACCATGCATGGGCCACCCACTGCCACGACCGTACTGTCAGTGCTGTGCTCCTGTTCGGCGCCTGTCCTTATTTTCGCTGCTGTGCTTGTGTCGGTGTTGTGCTTGTGTTGGTGTCATGCTTGTGTTGGTGTTGTGCTTGTGTTGGTGTTGTGCTTGTGTTGGTGTTGTGCTTGTGTCGCCGCCCTGCTCATGTCGCCGCTGCGTTCCTGTTGGCCTTTGGCACCTCCGGTTGGCCTTGCATTCACTTCGGCGCTGTCTTGCTCGCTGTACGTGGGTTGTTGTCTTCATCCGCTCCTCCTGCTCTGTGCCCGTCCTCCTGCTTCCCCCCCCTCTCATACTCCTCCCTTCCGTTCCCTGTGTTCCACCCTCTTGCTCTCGCCTGGTGGGTGGGTGCTGGCCAGGGTGAGGGGCGAAGGGCGAGGGGTGAAGTGCGAGGAGGGGTGAACGGAGAGGGGTGAGAGACGAGGCGGGTGAGACAGCAAGATCGGCGAGAGGGCAGGGCAGAGGATGAGGGCGAGGGGGAGGCAGAGGGTGGACAAGGGGTGAACGAGGGGCAAGGGAGGGGTGAACAAGGGGTGGATGAGGGGCGAGAAGGTGGGGGAGAGGGCGAGAGGTGGTGGAGAGGGTGAGAGGCGAGGTAGAGGGTGAAAGGCCGATGGAGGGGGCAGAGGGCGAGGGCGGGGGCAGAGGGCGAGGGCAAGGGCAGAGGGTGGTGAGGGTGGTGAGGGGACGAGGGGCAAGGCAGAGGACGGGGGAGCGGATGAGGGGCAAGGGTGAGGATGAAGGGTGCCCCCGGTCGTGCCCCCCTGCCGTCCTCATTGTGCTGTCATCCTCATTGTCGTGTGCCCCGCCGTCCTCGTCATGCGCCTCGCTGTCCTCGTTGTGCCCCGCTGTCCTCATCATGCCCCCATTGTCGTCCGCTGTCCCTCGTCCCTCGTCATTCGTCACCCGCTGTCATCGTTTGTCGTCATCATCATTCGTCATTCGTTGTTGTTGTCGTCTTCATTCATCGTTCGTCGTTTGTCGGTTTTCCTCGCAGTCGCCACAAGCTCCCCATATTCGTCCCTCTTCAAGGGGAGGTGTGCAGAGCGAGGGCGCAGGCGGTTAGAGGCAGAAGGTGGTGGGGAGCTGAGGATGGAGCAGGCGAGAGGGGCGTGAGAGGGGCGCGAGAGGTGACCCAGGGGTTTCGTGCCTCTGCCCACATCCCTATTGAAGGGGAGGGGCATGAAAGGCAAAGAAAACGAACGTCGACTTTAAGTCGACGTTTGTTGACCTAATGTTGGTTTAAACGTAAATTAGAGTACATATTTATGAAGAAAATATATTACTTACCTTTTTTTGACGCTTTGAGGCGTCATTGGTGGTGGTGGATGATGAGGGTAGTCCCTAGGTGGTGGTTGAGATGAAGGATCAACCACTCTCATCATCGTTGATGGCTCATCCGGTGGATGCTGTGAGCGATGTGATTGGCTAGCTCTGACGGGCCGGCCAGACCATGTTCCGCTCATCGATGGCGGAATAGCTCATACACTAGAGATAGGATGAAAACTTCGTTATTTAGTATCAGTAATTAATCACAGTACTGTACTCTATGTATTAAGATAGGACCGAACATCACTTCTGAGTGAGAACTGAGCTAAACACCCAAATTACCCCCTCCGTGTGGTGATTTACATCTTCCTGATGTTTCAATCTTATGAATACCACTCATTCAACGAGCTGGAATACGAAAATAACTTTGCACTTTATGTCCTGGAGGAAGTAAGTACCACATATGAAAAAATCAGCCTGTATTTCCAATGTAGATCTTATTATATGAGCCAGTGTCTGAATTTTGACACATCTCGAGTTAGTTTCGTTTCAGAATCCACATCATCATTCATAGTTTCTTAGTACATCCTAAATTTAATAAGTTCATCAGGGGAGCTCTATTCCTCAATACTATCACAACAAGCCAGTCTATATACCATTTTTATTTATTTATTTGCCTTCTTCTCTGTCTTGGAATCTACATACAGAGGTGAGAGGCCTATAATTGGCCTGAGCCGGAGATGAATTCATTCATAAAATATTTAAATCTTGCTATATTTTGTTAAAACTACCTACATAGATGTAATTCTACACTAATAACAGTTTCCAAAAGTTTGAATAAAGATATAAGGCGTGCTGCATCCATCGGAGACGTTCCATTGGTCAACAATGGAACGGAAACGGGATCGGGCCGATAATCCCAACCAATGGGATGGGCAGCTGAATCCTGCCGAACCGCGATCAACAATGTTGAACATCGTTGATCTGGGTCTTTCTTCACCTCCTCCCTCAACCCTTCGTGACGAAACAGCCCCGAAACACAAAGAAAGGTAAGTGTATAGCTTTTCTATGTACTTGGATCCCTACTAATCAACCTCTGCCCTCTCAGAACTCCGTCCACATCGATAACAAACCAACAAAGCCGCCCCTCCCCTCATGACAGGGATGTGGGCTCGGGCACCTCCCTGCCCATGTCCGCCTGCTTGCCCACAACTGCCCGCTCACCCGCTCGCCCACCATCGCCCTCTTGACCAGGCAGAGGATGGCAACGGTGGGACAACGACGACAGTGGGCACCACAATGACAACAATGGGCAGGACAACAATGACGGCGAGGGCAGGGCGATGACGGCGGCAATGGCAGGACAACGACGCCGGTGAGGGCAGGGTGATGACAATGGCGAAGGCAGGGCAATGACCACGGCAAAGGCAGGACGATGACGGCGGCAACAGGGGAACAACCACGATGGTGGTGGGGCATGACCACAATGACGGGGGCAGCGGATGCACCACGACGACGGGGGGCAACAGGGGAACAATGACAATGGCGGGGGCACCTTTCACCCCTGCCCTCACCCCTCATTCACTCCCCCCATCCTCTCCCTTGCCCTGTCGCCCTGTGCCTTGCCTTCTTGCTCCACCCCTCGCCCGCCGTCTCGCCCTCTTCCCTTGCCTTCTTGCCCTTGCCCTTGCCCTTGCCCTCTGCCTTTGCCCTCTGCCTTGCCCCCATCCTCTGCCTCGCTTGCCCTCGCCCTCTTGCCCCTCATCTGCCCTTGTCACATCCCATTCCTGAACCCATTGTTCCATTGTCCCATTGTTCATTGTTCTGGTTCATCAATGGGCTTTTCCTTCATTGTTCTATTCATTATTGTCCTTATTGTTCTCTGTCATTGTTCTGCTGGCATTCATTACATAACCTAGATCTTCTCCATTGTTCTCAATAGTATAAGTAGCTAGGTAGTGGACTGGATTCACCAGCTTGAATCTCAACCTTGACAACCCCTCTGCTCTGTTGTTCATCCTCTGTCTCCTGGGCCTTGGCCAGGATGACTTCTTCTTGTCTCTCCTTTGTCAAGACCAAGGCAGTTCCTGTAAATTGGGGACAACCAGATGATGTGTAGGGGCACAGCACAAGAGCATGCTGAGGCCAAGTCCCCCCCTCTGTTCAGGTCATTACAGCCCTCTGCCTCGCCCCTTGTCCGCCCTCTGCCTCGGCCCCGTCCTCTGCCTCACCCTCTTGCTGTCTGCCCCACCGTCTTGCCCTCGTCGTCGCCATCTCGCCCCTCGCCCTCTTGCCCACCTCACCTTCGCCCTCTTGCCCACCTCACCTTTGCCCTCTCACCTACCTCACCCTCTCACCCACCTCGCCTTCACCCTCTCACCCACCTCACCTTCGCCCTTGCCCTCTCACCCTCTTGCCCTCTTGCCCTTGCCCTCTTGCCCTCTTGCCCTTGCCCTCTTGCCCTCTTGCCCTCACCCTTTGCCCTCGCCGTTCGCTGTTCGCTATTCGCCATTCGCCCTTTGCCCTTTTCCCTTCACCCCTGCCCTTTGCCTCCTGCTCAGCACCCACCACTAGCAGCCCAAGCAGAAGGGGGAGCACGAGCACCTGAAGAACCCCCACAAGCACCCAAAGAGGCCCAACGAGTACCCGAAGGGGCAGAGGGGGCAGAGAGCATGGGTGGAGAGCGCGGAGGGGGTGGAAGTGGCCCCATGAGTACACGAGGGGTTGAGGGAGCCCCAACGAGCACAGGAGGGGGCAGAGAGGGCAGAAGGGACCTGTACCCGCCTCCCTGAGCAGAAACGGTGCTTCATAGCCCACCGTTTCTGCTCGTTTTACCTATATTCCATAGTGGGTGGCTAGTAGAGCCACCCGCATCCTGTACTTTTTTTTGTACAATTTAATATGATTTTTTTTGCATTTTTTCGCTGCAAAAGGGCATGGACCAAGACCAGAGCAGAAACGACATGTCACAATGTGTCGTTTCTGCTCATTTTCTCCTTATCACATAGTGGGTGGCTGGTAGAGCCACCTGCACCATGCATTTATTTTTATTTCAGTTTAATATGATTTTTTGCTATTTTTTTGGTGTACCCCGAGCTCACCGGACATCATGACAGACAATGGCGAGAGCTGTACAAGAGATGTGTCATTGTAATTACACCATAATCTAAAAATAGTACAAGAGCCCAAAAAAAGGCTGCGTCATCCAAACGCACCTGGCCCAATCCACCCATTCCCGCCCCCCGACAATGGGGGAAACAGTGCACAACGACGAGGAAATATGTTTCCTCATCGTTGGCAGCTTTTCCCTGTCGAAAACGGGGGCGGGAGCACCCCAAATGATGAGGAACAGTGTCCGAGCACTGTTTCCTGTGTTGTTTGCATGTGTTGACATGCCCCACCCACAGCCGCGAGCCCTGGCACACACGGCAAGGCCCTCTCCGTAGGTGGACTGTAAAATCACAGTCCTGACATATAAGCATACCTTGTTAAAATACAGTATCTGATATAGATTTCTAGCAGACATGGCTGCCTCCAGAAGCAACAGCTGGAGGTGTTCGCCAGCTCAAAATGTCTGATATAGTGAGAAAAGGAAGAGAGACATGCCTTCGACATGGCACACTCAAATTCACCCTCCATCAATCCTTGATCCTCGTTCAACCTCCATGCCGAATGTAGCAAATCGACAAGAAGATCATACGTGGGAGGGAACATGGGGAGGGACACGCACATCTTGAGGATACGGTAATGCATGACTACCGTGGTGATAGCGTAAATGAATTCTCGCTGCTTGAGAATGACCATGTATGCGTCAAAAAAGTTGATCTACGGTGTTGTCAGTCTCAAGCAGCAAATTGTTCCTGTGATAGCTCGCTCACCAATGCCGTTGAGGCCCTGTCGATGGCGCCTGCATACTCTGGGAGGTCGAGATATCTCTCCCTTTGAATCTGGCATATCTTGGTGAGCAGGCCAGTGACCTCGTCGAGAGGAAAATTCAGATGGGGATGGAGCGCCATAGTCATGGGAGATGATGGAAAGCGCAGGAAGGGTAGCATCTGATGGGATGCTAGGGCTCAAATAAATACACACAGGACTCACCTGAGCGATGGTTATTGTGAATGACAAGACTGATGACTAGATTCTTCTGGCAGTGGAAGGCGCAACTCATTGAGGCACAAGCGCTGCAAACACAAGTGAAACAAAGATAATGATTGGGGACGATCTAACAACTAATTTGGCATACATTCCCACCTGCTAAACTAAGCTGGCACAGTTTTGAGACTTTCATACTTGGCAGCGCTATAGGTCATCAACTTCCCAGCCAATTGGAGCCGGTGATCATACTCTGTAAGGCCATTGCGATAAATGTCACGCGCAGTCAGCCTGAACAATTTCCAGAGGTTGATAACGCAGGTGCGAGTGCGCGCTGGAAGAATGTCGCTGGGCACCATCTGCTCGACCACCTTTTCCCCATTAACCGTTCCTGTGACTGACCAGGTCATATAAAAGTAAAAGTCGAGAAGTACGTTGTCCAGGATACACCCACAGTTCGCATACCTGGCCTTCGGCGCCTTGGTGACCCCTCCCCTCACGTTGGTTGCCTTCCTGGTCGAAGGGACACCGTGAATCGTCTCAAAAGGGCGGCCCCACCCATCCCGAATGGGCTGCTTGTTCTTGCGTGAGTGGTAAAGGCAGAAGATGTTGTTGTTATTGGTGGTGAGGACGTGCAACGCGAGCTTGCGCGAGGTATAGGCAACGTCCGGAAACAGAAGGGGGTCCATGCAAAGGTAGTTGCAGATGTCAACTGGGATGGGGATGTTGTAATCCAGAAAAGCATCGATATGTCAGCGTGCAGCCTCTGCGATCCATGGTCAAATTGGGATGACTTCAAAATAGGTGATGAACTACCTCGTTTAAGCTGCTTCAGGCCTTGATTCTTGATCCAACAATAGAGGTGGTCCTTATCTTCTAAGGCCACGGTTAGACCGAACTACGATGCTAGTGGTATAGACTCATCTTTGATCTCTGTAAGGACCTTATCCTGAAGGTTGGTTCCTGGGTCAGTGTTGTCAGGGGTGCCAGGCTCAATCCACTCGGCATCGCTATCGAGCCCCTCCTCCTCGGACCAACTCGAACTGTCCGGACCATCGTTGTTGTTGTTGTTGTTGTCAGTGTCGTTGTCATTGCCGTCCACCATCGGCATGAATTGGCTGTCGTCTTTGCCCTTGGCATCGTCACTAGAGAGGCCAGGAGAAGCCAGGAGCATTTGGGTACCGAGGGCATCGTCACTCTCGTCCTCAACCGCTGGTGGTGCTTCAGGACTAGCCCCAACACCCGCAGTGCCCCCAGTCCCGTCACTGTTCTGTTTCCATGATGTATGAATGAGATAATCATGAACTTTATCTGGATAACTACGCACCTGGTTCTTATCGATGTCCATAGGGCCCTCATCCTGGACTAGGGTCAGGATCTCAGTGGAACGGCGGAATAATTCACCAAGCACATACCATCTCCTCTCTGTGAGCCCTGAATGCCTGTTGAGTGGCTATGAAAGCGGCTTGTGCCACTTGAAAGTTGGCGAAGGCCCGAGTGATGTTGTCGTTGGCTGCCTGCTTGGCGCCTATGTCAATGCTTGACACGTCAGCATGCAGATCAAAGGCGTCAACCTGGAAGTACTCATGCTTGCCGCCACCCTTCTTGCCCTTGGGGATATTGTTAATGGCCGTCCTGTGGTCCTGCGCCTGATCATGTTCAGAACAGGCACGATTGAGAGCCTCCTGCGCCGCCTTGAGCTCTATGGTCGCATGAGATTCAAGAGACGTTTAGAAAAATGTGAGTACGTACATTCAGCTGTAGGAATAGGGATGTCCATGATTCTGTAGACCTGAGGGATCGCGAGGGATGAGGGTAGTTCGCCAACACCAGAGCCATAGTTCGACTCTATTTATCTACGCACAGTGTATTATCTTCGGTGCTCATTCCGATATCTTGGCATCATATCACATCTTGACATCAGATCAGCACACAAGACACTACTTGATATGGCTACTACTTGGGCTCGACGAGCGCTAGTTTGTGAGAACCATGGCACGTTGGAATATAATGGAATCCAATCCACTCTTAAACAGCATAAATTGTTGTCAGTTGGGAACACATCGGGTGTGGATAGGCTCCCCTGTAGGCTCGCGTTTCCTTACAACACTTGAACCTTATTTCCAATTTGCAAATAGGATCTAGCGATCACAGATAGCAACTGAATGGTTGCAAGCACCAGAAAGGCTTGGAACATGCCATTATGGCGTTATCATTGCAATTTAAACGCATGCAACCTCCATTTCTCCTTCCATGGCATCCCAGAACTTGTCCCCCCAAAAGCGCAAACACTCCCCAGACCTTATCTCGCAGTGCCTCACCCATCCCTTCATCCCAGTCGATCCAACAAGATGTGGTGATCCATGTTGCATCCGTGAGTCGTACTGCAAAGGGGTCAGCACAACAGTTTTCATCTACACCGATTTGGTCCCAAGTGGACCAGGCATTCAGGTGAGCCTCTGACTTCTGTGAGATCAGCTCCATGACTCATCTACGGCTTCGCTATCAGTGCCATGAGGACCCAAAATGTGTCACACCTTTCGTTTGGAAGCTTTACTGCCCGAACAACGAGATAATCCTCCGCCAACACCACCATCTTTGGCATATGATTGGTGGGGACAGTGAGGGTCACCGTTACATGATCTATGTCCCCACAACGCACACATGGAACTCCTTCGATCCCGCCGACATTATTCAGGTAGCTTTATCTTAGGAACCAGAGTTCCTTCCGCCTTGCTGATGATGTCCAGGTTGGCTTTCCAGGATATATTATCATGCATCACCGGACCTTGTCTATCAAGCGCTGCAAGGGTCTAGAAGCAACTCTGGCGGTCCTGAACCAGATGACTCGTTCCGTAAATCTGTAGATAATGAGTAGAAGTTAGAGGTCAATCGCGGGTAACTAATGTGTTTGCTACTTCACTAAGGGAACTGTACTGAGAGCTAACATCGTCAAAATCCTGTCCTTCCCTTTGCAAATCTTCACCTTCGTATTCGGTGTTCTCCAGTGTCTCGTGTAATTGGCGTATGTAGTCGACAATACCATCGCACTCGTCAGAATGAATGTCCTTCCAGCGATAAATTAAGAAGCCCATTGTGTTAAAGGCCTCAAGTCCATCTATGCTCGCAGTGATCCATGCTGACGACACTGGATCGTAGACGAAGTACTCCTTGCTGGGGATGTCGGCCAGGTGTGTGAGGTGCGTGTCGCTGAGAAAATAGAACCCTTCTGTGCCATTGTCTCCCTCCATCATGTTTCCCCTCCAACAAAGAGGATCGCCTTCCTACATGAAGCATTCTGAGCGCACTACCCCATTGACCCCAGGCTAGAAACCGCACCTTAATGTAGATCAAAATATCAAATTTTGGTCCATTCACAAGGCATTGGGTGGCGTGACAAAGAGGATCACCGCAAGTAAGGTCTTCATCCTGCCAAACAGGCTGAGCTTCAGCGCAAGAGGCAAAACTCGGACAACAGATCGACTTACCTCCTCCTCTTTGAGGGTTAAGCGCACTTTCTTCTTGATTTCTTGCTCCAACAGAACCTGTAGACAGTGCTCAGAGGGGTTTCCGGATATATACAACAGTTTTCATACTTACTTCAATTACAGACATCGAAGTTTCAGCATTGATGGTCAAGGTACAGGGTAGAAAAGGGGGAAAAATTATGCGCTGGGGTGATAACGCCTTTGCTGGTCCTCGGGCCGCTGTACATTGAAAATCCTGGGGTGCAAGGCATCCACCCTGGCCTCTATGATGGTAATTCCCCTCACCAGTGCATGATGGAGCTCCCTGAATTTCCTCCAAAGAAACCTGACCGCATCAGGGTTAGTGGGGAGTGCTCCATCCAGTTTGTCCATCTTGGCGAGTAGGTCTCGACCTGCATCAGCATGTTCCCAGACCTGTAGACTCCATGTCTCCAACACTCGTTCCCCTTCTGCATAAACTGCCTCAAACGCCAGCTCCAATTGAACCGTCCAGCTATATATTCCACCCCACTGAGAAGCCCAATTATGAATCAGAGTCTCCAGCTGAATGACACGGTCCCACTCCTCCCATTCCGTCAACAGTTTGTCGAAAACCTTGTCCTCAGAGTCGGGCATATTGATGGGAGGAAATTGTTCGTGAAGGGAAGATATCATGGCCGCTGAATCGAAGCACCCTAAAGAGGAGTCACTAAGATGTAGGCAACTTCATCAAGAAGGAGAAGGGAATATAGCACAGGGATGAACTCACTCATTCAAAGATAAAACGGACCTGGGAGACATCAACAGCAAGTCAGATGGTGAAGTCCTGATAGTAATTTCAATATGTATGAGCGAAAAACATAAATTCTGTTCTACTTACCCTGCTCGTTGACCTTTTCTGGCCTTCACTTGCACCCTGCGCTGTCGGATTTCATAGGCGTGGCTGTAGGCGCGTCTTCAGTTCACGAGGTGGATGTTACCATTATGGACAGATTCACGTACTTCATTTGATACCGCTGGTATTTATTCAAGCCGTCTGGCCCTATCGACAGATGCATCGATTTTTTCCTGGGCGGAGTGACTGGATCGGTCCTGTTCATGGTGGGCAGTTGGCAGGTCTGTCAGAGTTGGAGCGTCTCACCTGTCTTGTGGGATTAGTCATTCGGCATTTGCCAGGGCCAGCCCAATTTGCCCAGCTCATGCTACCATCACCACCATCGCCACTTTATTGCCACCATTGTACCACCTGGCGCCACGCCTAATAGTCACCAGACGTGGTGCCGGGTAGTGCAGTGGTGGCTCTGTGGTGGTGTCCAGTGGTGGTTCTGTGGCACTGCCTGTGGTGTGAGCGAGCTAGGACACGGGTGGCACTATGTTGCTCTATACTAACCATCTAGGCAATAAATAGACGTCACAAATTGCTCATCGGTGGGCTATGGACCAGCAGACATGGCCGGAAAGCGAAGTGGTTAGATATAAAACCCCTGTGATTGCCCACAGACAACCGCCAAAACACTTCTTGCCTCACTCGTCGAACTTGCCTTGGGCGCTATGCCAAAGATCCTCGATAAATCAGATCCACCTGGTGAGTAACCTCAATTCCATATCCTTGTTTTCTATTTTCCTTGAATGTGCTGGGGAATCTTACTCATGGACACATGTGCTCTTTGTTCCTGCGCTGGGGAGTCCAACTCACGGACACACACGCTCTTCTCTCAGTGCTGGGGAGTCCTACTCACAGACACACACGCACTCCCTGTTTGTGCGCCGGCGAGTCTCACCCATGGACACATGCGCTCTCTTTTAAAGGAACAGTGGCTGTGGATGATCATCATCTGGCGCTTATTCCCTTGGCTCATGCCTAAATTGTTCAGGGATTAAGCTGATCACTTACTTTAGTCCCTCCCACCAACATCCGCCTCTCAACACTCAGGAATAAGGAAATGTCTAAACAACGATGAAAGGAAGAGACAAAGAAACATCTACTCACAGCTCCAAAGTTGCCGTTGAAGATTCGACCTCCATTCTCTCGCCTCCTTCGCTTCTCCCAGGTGGCGTGTTCCTCCAGCCAGCTTTTGGCGAACACCATGAAAGCTGCAATGGGTGGATGGATAGGATCCGCTGATTGCATTCCCGGTCGCGTTTGGACAGTGGAGGAATTGCTCGAGCAAGGCTTCAAGCTTGAACGCTGGGATGGAAGGTGAGTCAGAGAATTGAACCTTTGGTGTTTAAAGTCCACCTACACTACTTGGACTTAGGGAGCCTTGTGGAATTTTGGATGACAAAAACAAACTCATCATCGTTCTCGTCGGCGCACCACAGGACCCATCTTGGGAGGACGCAATGCGGCAAGTACAGGAAGTCTTCACCGTGGTGCGTGAGCGGGGTATTGAGCAGAATGTGTTTAGCGCTCATTCAGGAACCTCGCGCAGAGGCGATTTCTTCTCCATTCAAGCTGGAGTGTCTTATGGGGGCGGTCAAATGGTGGGACATCTAACACTGTCCTATATCTGGCTGACAAGTAGGATCGAAGGTGCCGCAATGCTTGCGCCTCACTCCCAAACTATGGAAATTGGCGAATACACTTCTCGAAGACCCTAATGTGCGCCGGCTGGCAGGATTCCAGAGCTGTGTGTGGCCCTCCAAGACTATAGCGCGTGTCTAATCGACTCCTTAGCTGCCCTCCCTTTCTACGCCCCAAAAATGCCTCTTTCGAAGACCATCTGCCACAGTTCTACAAGCAATGCCTGGATGTTCCCCAAAATTTCCCAAACATCAGCTATTTCCCTGCCTGCAGCTTCAGTCTTGGGCGCACCTGTGTCACTGCTGACCACGTCGACCACCTGAATGCCACTTCAGGTTGGTGTGCAGTCACGGCGTTAGGTAATTTTGACTACACGACCGGAGGACATCTAGTTCTCTTCCCCCTCAAGCGCATGGTAGAGTTCCCCCCCAACTCTACTATTCTCATCCCATCCGCTCTCCTTTGCCATGGAAATACCCCTGTCATAGGAAAAGGTGCGAAGAGGAGCTCCTTCACCCAGTATATTGCTGGTGGTATTTTCAGATGGGTAGGTTATGGCTTCAGGACAGCAATGGAGCTTCTTGGGTGTGGGATAGCCGGAGAACATTGGAAAAGACTCAAGGATGGTGAATCAGAAGGTACGCTTCAATGTTTGTTCTACAGATCATGAAGCCTAGTATGATCAATCTCAGGACGCTGCGCAAACCTCTTCTCCGTGATTGATGAGCTGGAAGCCGACAGGGACATATTCTACACACAGGATATTGTCTTGCCCCTCATTGGAGCACCTCAACCCTGTTGAATGAGTAGCTACTGTCTTGATTGTCACTTCTATACCATCTTCTCTGCTGTACACTTGTATTCTGTCTCCAAACGTCGCTCAGTGTAATTGTCTATGGCTAAAACATGTTGCCTGACTATGTACCCTGTGGCGGCTGTGTTCTGCAGAGCGATTCAAGTTCAGCCTTCAGTTTCTCGATCATGGAAAGATTGGCCCCTCGCTCTTCATGGATGTGACGCAGTTCTTCCTGGGCAGTGTCGGCTTTCTTCTGGGCCATGTCACGACTCTCGTGTTCCTCTTGAAGCTTGGCCTTGTACATTGTCTGGAGGTGCACAGCATCACGGGTTCTGGCGAGATTAAGAGTGTAAGTGAGTTGCTGAAATTGGTTGACGATTGCGGTTGCCTCAGTGTGTGCTTCATGGTGAAGGCGAGAGGAGGTGTAGTGAACCGCGGGACCCTTGCCAGGTTGTTGACCAATCGTGATGAGCCAGCAATCGGTCTCTTCAGCCAATCGCTTGGCCTAAAACTATATTAGATGATGACCAGATTTGAAGTAGAGATGTGTACCCGAGATAGGATCATCCCCATGACCCGAGTGAAATGTTTCTTCGCCTTGGCAAGGTCGTTTTGGGGAGGGCAAACATCTTGATTACGAGGAATTTCTATCATATCGCAAGCACTGAGTACGACCCCGGAGAATTTGTGAAACACTTACTCATCATCACTGTCCCCATCATTGCCCCCTCCACATATCCGAATTTTGGGTTTTGCTGTGAGACTCGGATCCTTTTCTTGCCTTGTGTTTGCATTCTTTCTCGAGAAGAGGAGCTTGCACGTGATTCAACTGCAGCGCGTGAGGAGGATCGAGTACGGTCGGTAGATCTAGAGCGAGAGTGAACAAGACGGCACCCATGGCAGTGCTCGTCTGGAGGTGGTGGGCTGGGTGACCCCACCTGAGAGTTGGCTGGGCAAGCAGGCAGGTCCTGAATGGCGGGTCCATGCGAGGTAGTCGAAAGAAGCTGAGGATCTATGGCTCCGTCGATTGTCAGCTCTGGCTGGGACAAAACTGAGGAAGGGGGGAGATTCAGAGGTGTGTGCAATGTGTTAGAGGGAGGTTGCTGAGGCTCTATAATATTTCTGTTCACCCCGTGTGAGGCCGAGGCCGAAGCTTCGAACATGAGTGAAACTGGAGGTCCCATTGGCTTCTCAAGACCTAGTGACTGCACCTGAGAGCATCCTGAATCCTGAAGACTGGGTGGATTGGCTGATAGGACTGGAACCTGCGGTTGGGATGTCGCAGAAGTGCTCTTAGCCGCTGGTTTGTGGGCAGAGGTCTGAGAAGCTGTGGAGAAGTTGGTCGGGCTCTCGCACGGTGCTGGCATCTGTGGAGACTGTGGTGGATACGACCACACCCCACTTGTCAGCATGGAATAAAGGGGAATGCTGGAGGAGGGATGGGGGTACTGAAAATATGGAGGGTACCATGTTGGGAGGGGTGGGTATGAGGGAGGTAGCGGGTTCACTGGGAATGCCTGTGCTTGAGGGGCGTTATTCTACGAATTACGCCTCAGGATAATTGAAACATCGAAATTAAGACAACTCACGTTGACCAGCGCAGCCCCATGTTTACAATTATGAAGGAAAGGACGCCCATGGTGTAACCATGAGCCTTGGCTCAGTGGTGGAACAAGGGCCGCTCGGGCTCTATAAGATCAGATACAGATTAGATTACAGGTCAGATGGTGATCCGGATTAGATACAGACTACCGGTACCAGTAGTGACAGAGAACATCTGACCGCACATCACAATAGAAGATCATCAATTCATTGACTGGAACTACGCGGTGCTTCCCTGGCCAGATTCCCCGTCTCCATCTGGTGACGAGAGTGAGATTCCTATTCATAGCTTCTGACTTCTGTCTGCTGTCTACCGTCTACCGTCTACCGTCTACTGTCTTCTGTCTTCTCGCAACCTTAACCGTGACTGTCAACCGTTCAAGTCTCTCGAAATTTTGTCTCAGCAAGGGCCTTATCCACTCGACTCGTTAGCAAGGCTGGCAGCACGTACAGCTCATTTAAACCGACAATGCGACACATCCAGATGGTTCCTTTCTGTCGCAGGATCAAGTTCCCTACCTTCATCATCGACACCCTCAACCCGCTCACCTTCACCCTCCCTTTCACTCCTTTCCTTCAACGACATCCACGAATTGGACACACCACCAACATCTCCTGCCCCGGTACCACATCTAGTTGGACCAGCAGACACCGACGAGGAGACAATGTCAACCACTGCACCGCTGATGTTTTGGGGTGACAGCAAACATGAGGGCGAAAACCCCCAAGACTTCATGAACGCGCTCGAGTTGTCATTCATGCAGAAGACAACAGCGTTCTCCACCACTGAGAAAGTCAAAGTGTTCATGCTAAGGCTGAAAGCAGGGTCGGCGGCAAAGGAATGGTTCAACGGCCTTCCAGCCACCCAAAAGGACACCTGGGAGCACCTCCAAACTGCCTTTGAGATGAGGTGGCCAGAGCGTGTGACGACTGCGAAGACAAGGGAGGAGAAGCAGGCAGCATTGGGGCAGACTGTGTTGGAGAGAGTGAAGTTGGGAAAGAGGGAAAAGGTAGACAGTGTGGAGGAGTTTTCGCATATTGCATGGGCAGATAAGGTGGAGAGGTTAGTGGGTGCGATTCCAGACAACACAGGGCTGTTGATCACAGAAACGAGGAAGAACCTACCAAGGGTGATGAGGAAATTGGTGGGAAGTGGGCACATCACCTGGAAGGTGTTCTGCGATGCGGTTTGCGCGATTTCCATCATGGACCTCAATGAGGCTATGGAAGAAGAGGCTGATACAGTCACAACAGAGCAACTGTGTCTAGTGCAGCTGAACACACCCTCAAAGGTGCTTGCCTGAATGTTACAGAGCACAAACCTAGGACCAGCACCCCCACAGCCAAATTTCCGTTTAGTCCCAACACCAGTAGCCACAAGAGCAGCATCTCAACCACGTCAATCGCTTGTTTACCGTCCTGATGCTGATCGGCTCATAGATGTCACACGATTGGCACTTCCGATTGCCCCAAACACTACAGCAGGGCTAGCAATGTACAAAGACCAAATTGCTGCATGGAATGTGGCTAGCAGAGGCCGAGGACCCAACGAGTTACACCCATACCCTCTTTCACCCAGAACGAGCCCTGTCGGGTCCAACAAGTGCTGGACTTGCGGATTCACTGGCCACATGCATGCAAACTGCCTTCTGACTGCAAACAGAGTACCAGCTCTCAAATTCAAGTGGCAGAGCATTGCGGCAAGCATCAAAAGCAGAGCTGCTGCTGCAGCAACCCCTATCCATCTGGTAGCAGAGGAGGATGAGGCAGAGGAGGCAGCCAGGGAGGAGTATTGGGAGTTTGAACAGTGGAAGGCCAGGAAGGCAATGCAGGGAAATGGGGAGGGGTTGTTGGCGTAGAGTTCCATACTCTGCAGACGACCCCAGATCCTGTTTTGGTGGCTGCAGAGCCAGTCCTTGTGTGCGATGACGCAACACATGAGGATGAGCCCAAGCCTGTCAACACCAAGTGTACCCCGGCGAGCGGGGAAGGAGCTTTACCAGCAGACGTAGTGGTTATCCCAGACACATCCATGTACAACAAATGTTCGGAATCCCCGGAATCCCAGATTTTTGACCTGTACGGTGTTGGTGGCATGAAAAGGACAGCGAAGAGTGTTCCATTTGTTCATGGTGTGGAGTTAGAAGGGCCGAGAGGGGAGATTGTGAGGCTGCAAGCATGTTTGATGATGGGGCTATGGTCAACGCAATTGATGCGGGGGTATTCGAGCAGGTGAAGAACCGCTTATCTGTGCTGGAGGTGTCAGGCAAACTACTTCGAATGGCAGACGGAAGGATAGTACCCTCGGTTGGTGTGTGGCAGGGCATGGTCTCAGTCGGAAAGGCACAGCATACAGGCACCTTCGAAGTCTTCGACAGTGGAAAGGCTTGGGTGTTGCTGTTTGGAAAACTCCTTCTGGAGGGGTTTGGAGCCATCCATGACTACGGACCGGACGAAATCTGGCTACCAGTTGGAGATAAAGGGCTACTCGTGCATAACCAATTTAACGATACCTCAAACCCAGGCAGCCGTCTCATGGTTGGTCTCACAACCGATATCAAACAGCAAGTAATGCCCAGGGAGGACAACCTTGCACCTGCTGCAAGTCAAACATCAGATGCTGGAGCTGAGAGCTGTGAACCAGAAGACTCGAGAGAGTGGAGGTCCATCTGGATATTGGACGATGCCGCAGGATCGAGGACGGAACAACCAGGGGTGGCCCAGCCAGAACTTCCAAAATCACATGACCCAACATTGTTTACATGACGAACAGACCCATTTAACCCAGCTCGTGTCAAGGCTATTCTGGAGGACATTACCATAGGTGCTGATCTCAGTCATGAGCAACGACAAGAGGTACTAGCACTCCTGGCGGAGTTTGCAGACTGCTTCGCGCTGTCCATGAGTGAGGTTATAGCTGTCAAAGGTGCAGAGCACCAACTCAATATACCAGATGGTGCAACCTTCAAGACAAAGGTCAACCAGCAACCACTCAGCCAGCCCCAAAAAGTGTTCTATGATGAGGTGATTGACAAGATGCTGGAGGCAGATATCATCCAACCCATCCCTCATCGTGATGTGAAGTGCTGTGGAGCAACGACACTGGCGAAAAAGGCACATGAGGGAGCAGGCCTTACGCTGGAGGAACTACAACACCGTGTCAATGACAATTGCACTGAGGCTGGATTTGCACCAGCTTTTGAGCACCTGCTACCACCACAACCAGTCCAGTCAGACAATCCCTCTGAGTCCACTGTCAACAGTTCTCCAAACCAGAAGTGGTGTGTTTGTCAGGACTTTGCAGAGCTCAATAACGTCACAAAAGTACCACCCATGCCACAGGGTGATATACGAATGAAGCAGCAACGTTTGAGTGGTCATCGCTGGGTGACAACATTTGACTTCGCATCAGGATTCTATGCCCGCGCAATACCCGAGGACCAACAACCATATGTCTGCTTCTATGTTCAGGGGCGTGGCTACTTCAGCTACGAACGAATGCCATTTGGGTTAACAGGCGCTCCATCAACGTTCGCCGATATGACAGCCAAAGCACTAGGCAATCTTGTTGGTTCAATGATTGAGCTCTTTGTAGACGATGGTGGAATGGCTGGTGATGAGTTCACGACTATGCTGGCAGGAACTCGCACCTTGCTGACTCGGTTCTGAGAGGAGGGATTATCCATCTCAGCAGCGAAGTCAAGCTTTTTCGCAACAGAGGCTGTGTTTGCGGGAGCGAGAATTGGGCTGGATGGGATAAAACCAGATCTGATGAAACTTACAGCGATTGTAGACTGGAAAACACCCCATGACGTCCAGAACCTGGGCTCATTCTTGGGGCTTGCAGGTTTCTTCTGATCTCTGGTCAAAGGCTATGCGGGAATAGCTCAGCCCCTAACCGATCTGCAAAGACAACTCGAACTACCAAAACTCAAGGGCAAAGCAGCGTATTGGAGGGTAATGAAGGGATGTCCATTGGAGGGCAAGTGGACTAAGGAACACAACTACGCTTTCTTGCTTCTTAAAGCAGCTCTTACAAATGAACCAGTTTTGCAAGGCCCAAAGTACGACGGCACACCTTTCATTGTCACTACAGACGGTTGCAAGTTTGGCTTCACAGGAATGTTAACCCAGAAGCACACCACAGTCCTTCCTAATGGAAAGGAGGTGACGAGGCTACATCTGGTTGGGTTTGCATCAAAACGAACATCAGTAACAGAAGAGAAGTACAAACCATTCATTCTGGAGTTTGCTGCCCTCAAGTATAGTCTTGACAAATTCTCTGACGTGGTCTGGGGCTTCCCAGTTGAGCTTGAGACAGACTGCCAAGCACTCCAGGATCATCTTCTCAATGGCAAGATCAATTCTACGCACGCAAGATGGAGAGACGGTGTGCTTGCTCACCAGATAGTCAATGTGCGACATCAGCCAGGTCGGCTGAACCCTGTTGCAGATGGCATCAGCTGCAAGTTCGTCAACCTACCATACGAGGATGGTGACAGCCACAAGTGGACAGTGAGCGAGGACTGGGAAGCATGAACCGGCCTTGCAAATGATGTCATGAATATCCAACACACAGCAGACACATCAATTTATAGCGAGCTGCGGGAGAGGTTCATCAACGAGAAGATGTTCCTGGAGGTTATTGACGCACTGCTCGAGTTGGACCATGGCAAGAGTTTACGAGAGAGGAAGCAGGCAAGGCACAAGGCAAAAAGCTATATGATTGATGACGGAAAGCTGTGGAAAGTGGGAGACGTGAAGTCAGTGCGGTCATGAGCACGGGTAGAATGTGTTACCCATGAGGAGGCCAGAGCATTGGCATGGGAGGAGCACCAGAACCATGGACACTTCCGTTGTGATAACATCAAGACAATCCTAATGGACAGAATTAGCAGCCCAAAACTCAACTGTTCAATCACCAGAGCAATATTGGACTGCAGGTGATGCAAAGGTTTTGGAACCAAATACCTTCATTCACTGCTAGAGCCAGTTACCCGATGACACCCATTCGAGCTGATGGTGACAGACATACTCTCAATGCCACTAGGAAAAGGTGGCTTCACCAAACTGAGCCTGACGATGGACGTGTACTCACAACGGTTGTGGGCTACAAAGATGAAAAAAGCGACAGGAAAGACTTCAGTAGTCAACTTCAGCAACATCTGCAACTCATTCATGGCACCAGAGACACTGATGGTAGATGGCGGACCAGAGAACGATAACCAGGAGCTGCGGGACATATGTGAATCATATGGAATGGAACTACACATCCTGCCTGCGTACTCACCATGGATGAATGGCCTGTTGGAAGGGATGAATGGGAAGTTGTTGGGAAGGTTGAAGCGACTCTGCGCACCAGATGTAGGAGAGGATGAATATGAGAAGATGGGGTGGAAGGACCTGCCGAAGAATTGGCCGGACTATCTCGAGGCGGCGGTGCGATATTTAAACAACAGGATACTGCCAGACCTGAAGTATTCCCCCAATGAACTGCTCCTCGCACTGGTCATCAACACCTGCCGTACACCTGCCGAAATCACATCAACAGAGGTCACAGAAGCGGATGTTGTACTTCAGATGGCATATGCTGATCAACACCATCTCGACGGGTACTCACAGATCGTTGAACATGCTCAGCATCAGAAGGCTGTATTTGATGCGACAGTAACAGCAAGAGCGCCCCGTGAGGTGATCTTCAAAGCAGGTCAGTTGGTCCAGGTGTACAGGAGCGATCTCGACTATACCTTCAAGACAGAGAGGAAGATGGAGCCAAAGTGGTCAGCACCAAGGAGGGTAGTGTCACGCGGAAAAAATTCCTACATGCTTGAAACGTTGGAAGGATTCCCAATAGGGGGACAGTTCAGCTCTCGTTGACTAAGGCGCTTCATACCGAGGACAGGCACAGCACTGGCGGAGGCACAGGAGGCAGGTTGGGGGGGCAGATGTAAGTGTGAGCCTTGGCTCAGTGGTGGAACAAGGACCGCTCGGGCTCTATAAGATCAGATATGGATTAGATTACAGGTCAGATGGTGATCCGGATTAGATACAGACTACCGGTACCAGTAGTGACAGAGAACATCTGACTGCGCGTCACAATAGAAGATCATCAATTCATTGACTGGAACTATGCGGTGCTTCCCTGGCCAGATTCCCCGTCTCCAACGGCAACTCTTGCACTGCTGGCTGCCCTTGGTTGTCATTGGTGAATGTTGTGTAAAGAGAGAAGTACGACTGAATCGTCAAGTGTACCATTATTATGTAATTTTTCCTCAAACCTACGGTTGTGGTTTGTCTAAACTAGGACATTGGAATGGTGGCGCAGTTCTAGTTTTAGTACTATATTTAGAAAACTAAGGGCATGGTTCTTGTGCACCACATGCTATATACAGACCTGCCCCAAGTAAGAAGAGACTTAAATACCTGGTTGTACACTAGGGTATTTATCCTTCTCATCCTGCAAACTTCGGCTCTGGGCAGTGGGAGCTGGAAACCCTTTGTGAGGACTGTATGGTCGGAAGTTGGGATCATTGATGTTTCAGAAAGAGAATATTATCTAGGTGTATATCATTACCCTTCTTGTTCCTCAGAACTGTGACTAGGTACAATGGACTAGGACTATTATGGTTCTCTGAAGCCATGCCAGAGACCTGCTGTCCCTCTAGCATGACAACTCATCAAGTGTATATGAAATCTAGACTTTTGATTAAATCTTAGAGTGTTGTTCCAAAATTCCGCCTTCTTGTTTCTGGGGATTTGCGCTCCACAGGTTGTACAACTTATATATTTCCTTCTCTAGAACGACATACAAGCAAAACTAGATAGATGGTTCCAATTACCAAGCCCTATCCTTGCTTACATACAGCGTGACCCTCTCATAGGATGATGCCGATTGCGATTCTGCTTGGACAACAACCTCGATGAGCCAACTTATACTGCCAGACCCGCCTCTGCAAGGCTTGGGAATTCGTCTCCCCACCCCTCCCCCGCAAATACTTCCAAAGACCACCCTACCTGTGACACCAGAGAAACGAAGAAACAACGGGCTAGCGAGGCTTTCACTGCAGAAGCGACCGCAGAGTCACTACCCTGTTGGCCCGTATCACCTTAAAAAGTCGAAGGCTGCACCCAAGAGAAAGTCAAGCAATCACGTACATACCAGTCAGTCCAGCGAATACGGCGAACTTGTGGAATCAGAGAACCCAGACATCGTGCTGGAATACGAGGTGTACTTGGAGTATGCTCTGGCCAGTGCCACGGGTTGGTTTCGAGTAGAATGAGACGTATATGTTGTTCAGGGGTGGGATGGAAGAAGGAAGGAAACAAAGGCATGTCAGCATTGTAGTCTTGACCCCTTGAAGGTGGACTTGATATCCAATAATTAGGCATTGTGGTACCACCTTCATGCCTCCAACATTGGAGATAAGAGGGTGGCTGTGTGCTTTTGCCCAGCGGTGACAGTCCAAAATGAGTGTGTGCACACACGTTACTTGAATGATTTTGGTTCCTACCAGTTCCCTGATGAGGATTCCCCAAAAAGAGGTGAGCAATTGCCTGCTCAGACTTTCCCTATGTATGTTGCTCAGAACTCTCAGAGCGTCATAGATTTGTGATCCTATTTCTGTGGGACTCGAACAAAGCCAGATCCCTTCAAATGTTTTCAGTCGCCTCAGAAGACCGGAAAGAAAGTGTGAAGGCCTGTGTGATCGTGACACACATTGGGGATGATATCACTGGAGGTGAATGGACATGCTCTAAGGACGGAAAATCGGACTGCCCACACAAGAAGCAAGCACGCAAATACCTTCAAGATTTGAGTGGGCCAGAAACCAGCGAGGATATGGAGAACGACAGGGACAGTGAAGCCGACGGTAAGCCTGTGGTTTGAGCTGTATACGAGTCATGTGTAGTGCGAGGGCCTTGATTCTTCCTATTTTTAGATCCTATATCCATGCCACCGCACGGGATTCCTTCGATATCTCATTGGCCTGTCCTTGTACCTATTTGGGCATCACTATCAATGGATAAGGTGCTATACGGACGCCCTCCTGCCCTCAAGAAGCCCCCTCCCTCAATTTTACTTGATTCCTATGCCCGCTGCTCCTGTGGGGCCCCTGCCTATGAAGGAGACAAGATCATGACCACCTGCACGATCTATACCATTCAGGAAGCATTTTCGTGTCAAATCAAGCTCCAAAAGTGCCCAAATCAATGTTCCGGCAGTCGAAGTCGCTATGTTGGGCCCAATGGTGCTGAACTTGGGCTGTTCAACTACAACAACCAGATGTTGTTCTCTCACGACCTGCTTGACGACTATACGCTGGCTTACACCTCTTCAGAGAGTCCATTCAGCTTGTGGGTTGGCATCGTCCAACAATGATACGCTCGCTTCTCGCCTGGGACTTCCTTCGTGGGTGAGGAGATCTTCCGTTCTGCTTGGTTCACATATGCCGTTCTCCTGGACTTTGAAGGGGAAATGAAGTGTCCTGTGTGCGGTCCGGAACCATCAACTGTAATTTTTGATGGGATAATGCTAGGGTTCAGAAGAAAGTTTCTAACATCATCTCTACGACCTCCAATGGCCACTGACTCCCACTCCGTTGTTCGCACCTGCAAGTACATAAAAGGGCAGGCGGCTCTTGTGGATAAATCCTTGAGGAAACTTGTTAGGCTGGTAGTCACAGGCCGATCCTTAGTTCTGTCCCTGGCCAACGTTGGATGCCAAGATAACACAGTGCCACCAAAGGACTCGGACGAATCTGAGATGAGCAATCTCGATTTTCCAGAGGGCAGCATACCAAGCTGAGTGAAGATGCTGAAGAATATCATGGAACGCATTGAGGCTATACCGGCAGTTATCGCAGGGCTCCAACACGTGGATAATAATCTTGCAGAATTATTCAGGTCATACTGCGGGTCGCGTAGGCTGGATGCTGGGAAGGCCCCCCCAAAAGAGATTCTGGCTCTGTTTCAAGAGGTAGGATCTGATTGAATTAATTTGCATGGTACAGGCTGCTCAAATTCCCTAGATCGCTGCTGAAGAATCTGTCACGCAGATGATTCCAAATCTTTCACTCGTGGAGCTGAAAAGATTCAACTCCTGCCCAACCTTTGATGACCTGGTGCATTTGAAAGGTATTCCGTCTTTGTACTACGCATTACGCCATGAATGGTGGAGTAGTGCCCCTCAGAACCACTTCTCGCAGCACCTGCTGGGTGTATGCAGGTGGCTAGCAGATAGGTCAGATGATGTTCTCTGCCAGTTACTTCAGCACAAAGTAGGGGAACCTGATGGCATGGTGCGTAGGAGCAACAACTGGCGGCAGGTACAACTCAACTTTAATTCCTGATCTGGTGGCTGTGCAATTAATTAATATTAGACCGGATCACTCTATGGCATGCCTCAAATTCGGAGCCGCCCCGTATACCCAAATCTCAAGCATGATCAGAATGTCAAGAATTCCAGAAAGTGTGGTGCGAAATGCTCAAAGCACTTCAACAAGTATGGGAAGAAAAGGCTGACAGGTGGGATAATGGTATGCTGGTGCTCCCACAGCATCGCGTACGGATTCCACTGCATCCCAAAAGTGGAAGGTCGGAATGACGTATTCTCGGCTCTTTATACACATTGGCATAAAGCGCCCGAGTGGGTGATCTATGACTTTGCCTGCACTTCCGCTCCATACTGCATGACCTGCAAAGCAGATTTCTTCAAGAACACGAGGCATGGTATCGACAATTGTCACAGCCAAGGCCACACTAAATGTTCGGCCGCCTGTTTTATCAAATCGTACACCGACCTGGATCCCCGAATGGCAAAGGTGAATACAAGCACAGCGGAGTGCGGGAACAGTGGGCTTGGGCGCATCAGGAAATCTGTAAGTTACATGAGACAAGATCGAGCTATAGTGTATATTCGTGTCTTCCTCACGATCTGGAACCGCCTCAAGATTCGTCATGTACAGGAAGGAAAGTATCAATAGTTCGCAATTTTGTATATATGGTGCATTTTTTAGATCTAGCTTTAGGGTACATCATGAGAGGTATATATAGTTACAGTTACAAGGCCGTGTATCAAGAGAACCATGAAGAAACTGGATGCTACAAGAAAAGGATGTGGTATCAAGATGCAAGGACAATGCGAATCTGACGGGCGTCTCTGTGGAAAGGGGACACAGGTGAATATAAATCGAAGGTGAGTATTCAGCGACGAGAAGAGGGCAAGGGCGATGGACCGGAGAAGGTACACTTGCGGTAAGTATATTGAACCCATGGGGCTGGAGGATACGAAATGAGGATGGGGCAGAAAACAAGAATATCATGACTCACTGGTGTTCGACCCGTCAACACGATTGTCAAGCCCCTGGACCATATTGTACATTCCACTGACCCATTTGGTGAGTGACTCATACCCATTGACGACACTGTTGTGAGCGTGCGCGGCTGTTGCAAGCTCAGCACAAAGCACCACCGAACTTCGCTCAACATGGGTGTTGAGCAGTGCAGGAATGGCATTGAGGTCTGCACACAAAGTGTCGAGCACAGCACCCATATCCTGGCAAAGTGTGCCGACCACAACTCCCAGCCTGGCGTTGACAGAATCTAGGTCCGTGTGCAGAGAACCGGCCGCGTCACTGGCATTGGTGACATCCACACAAAGAGCAGCGAGAAAAGCTGGCACACTGTCGATGTAGGCCAAAACGGGTTGAAGGGATGCTTGGACAGAGTCGATGTCCTCGATGAGGGAGCGGAACCAAAGGCGGTGGCGGAAATGAAGAGCAATGATCACGAAAGTTAAAACAATGGAAAGAAAGAGCACAACTGCTGTGAGAACAAGTAAGGCGACGAAAAAGAGCCACGAGGAGCAGACACACCTGCCATAACCAATGCCCCTATCCCCCAGACGCCGTCGAATGTCATGATTGAGGTCTGAGAGGCCGTGAGGTGTTGAAGAGAGGATGAAGAAGGCTGGGTGAGTGCTTAGAGGGCGAGAAGGACGGGTTTGTTGGAGGGTAATGTGCACGAGAGGATGCTGTGGGTGTGTTGAATTGGGAAGGTATTGGTTGAGGATCAAGAGCAGGGCATAGCCACAGCTCTTCAGGAAGGGTTTTTTATACAATCCTAATTTGGTAATGCTTCTGAAGTTAGACTAGCGCTTGCCTCATTGTGTTTGCCAAGCCACAACCCACATCCACATTGGGCATTTCTCCTCTCCTGCAGCTGCGAGAGGCACTTATTGGAGGTACATCTGGCATGGAGTAGGTAGAACATCGAGACTGGTTTCTGGTAACCAAGATCAAGTTCTCGTCCTTGAGAACTGGCTTTCTGAAACCAGGATCAATAATGCCTAGGGGCCCAGTTCTTAAGAACCAGAGGGCTTGGTCCCGGTTCTTGAAAACCATAGTCGAGTTCGGGTATGGTTCTCGAGAACCACCTGCAGGATGTGATCGTGGTTCTCCAAAACTATAATCGAGTTCTGGGGGCGGTTCTCGAGAACCAGAATTAAATTCTGGGGGTGGTTCTCAAGAACCAAGGACTTCGAGGTTGGTTCTCAAGAGCCATGATAATAGTAATATCCTGCAGATGGTTCTCGAGAACCATGATAAAATCCTGCGGGTGGTTCTCGAGAACCGTCCCCAAACTTGGTTATGGTCCTAGAGAACTGTGACAAAATCCTGCAGGTGGTTCTCGAGAACCGTCCCCGAACTTGGTTATGGTCCTCAAGAACCATGACAAAATCCTGCGGGTGGTTCTCGAGAACCAGAGGACTGATACCTGGTTTCTGAAAATCAGAATTAACATCTGGCAGTGGTTCTCGAGAGACAAAGAGCTTGAGCAAGACCGGTTTTGAGAACCAGGATGGAGTTCTTGGGGATGGTTCTAGAGACTCAGAGCCCTTGTTCCTGGCTCTTGGAACCCAGGATTGACCTCCCCAGCATCAAATTTTCTGAGGTGTTCTGGCTTTCGAGAGTCAGAGGGCTCTGTTTCTATCAACTGAATGAAGACCATTGTGGTTCTGATGAACCAGGACTCAACAATTCTCTGGTTCACCAGAACCCAGACCAAAAGTTAGGTGCTGTCTGTTCCATCATTTGAGATGCTGAACTGGCCATGAGCCACGACGCCCCAGAAAATTCCATTTTCCCCGTGGTTCTTGTGAACCACGGTCTGTTTCTAGTCGTCTTATCCCTTGTCATACGAGATGGAAGGGTCCCTTGGAGCTTGGTTAAAGAGAGCATGTCTATTAATTAGCCAGCAGTACATTAGCGAGACATCCAGGTACTCCAGGAAGGTAGGTACGATGCTTCAGTACCCCTCGGGGGAGCCACGAAGGAGGCCTGAGGGCGCGTTGGGGATGCTGGGAGCACTCACATGGACGGTTTCTGCAGGCGGCCCTCATCTGTGCGACCGGCAGACCTTGAATTCAAGACAAGGCGGTACCACCTTCGTACACCATGGCAATCAACACTGGTCCCGAAAACGGATATCACCTGAATACAATGCGACGGGCTCAGATACAGAATATTTCACTCACCCAGAAGCATCCAATGACGGCGAGGAATATGAAGAGGACACAAGACCGTTTTTCCACCACAATGATGACGACAAAGAGGACCGCATCTCAGATGCAGGGCTTCCAAATGAACAGGAGAGCTACTGGGATGATGATAAAGAAAACGAAGAAATACGAGGGGCAGTTGACTACGATGACTTAGAAGAATCAGAACCGTCTTCTCCTGGTGGGAAGGAGAGTGACTCGGAGAAAGACGAAACAATGTTTTATGAAACCCGAGAGAGGGAGGAGCAAGAGGAATTCCAGGACTCGAGGCTATCGTCTCCTGGAGGTTCCTGTGAGGGATACACTATGTCGAAGGATGAAGCAGGTGAGTCCACATGTATTCTCGAGATACAGTATGGCTTACCACAGAACAGAAGAGAAAAACGGTGGATACAGGAGCAGAAGTCCTTCCATTGAAAATGAGATCTAATTTGACAATCAGATGCAGGGTGAGTTGCTTACGGTTACCCAGATACAATATGGCTTACCGCGGAACAGAGGAGAGAAACCACAGTAGAAGTCCTCTGTATTAATGCAGAAGTGGAAGTGGTACTGCGCCACCCCACTCTTTGAATTCGCCACCTGAGTTCAGTGTCATGATATTACAAACATACCAACTGTCAACATACCACTGTCAAGTGCAATTTTGTCGTGCCAAAGTTGAAATCGGGCTTCAGGCAAGCATACATTTGGCCTATGGCGCGATGAGAAATGTGTTTGCCTGCAGTTACACATGCGAAATGTCCAACTCTCTTCCAGACGCTGACACCCACCAAATCCGCGGCTATTCTTTGATATGTGTCTGAAATAAATCTTGTTAGACTGAGATTAAAGCAAAGCACAGAGCTCACATTTAGAGAGCAAATCGTCCCAATTTCATGCCAAGAATCACTCACGGAAAGTTCAAGATATTAAATGCAACATCAATGTCATATGCGGAGTCGGCATTTGCTCCAGCGCAGCAATCTGCATGCGGAGAGGAGTCCGCTGAAACAACGTTCTTGTTCATGTTCCTATCACTGTGTACCTACTTTTTTAATCTACTACTTGCTCCTAGTCTACAAAGTAGTGGTGGAAGAGAAATGGCACTGATGCGCCAGTGCACGAAGTTGAACGTCCGTTGTTTAGGGTAGGAGAGGGGCCCGGACGTACACCGTACTACCCGAAGAAGGCAAAATCGGAGTCACGTTCCCTCTTCAAGAAGTCACCTGACCTAAGTATACCACTGCAGGCCCTCGCCTGCCCTAAACAGCTCCGGTTGAACTTGGTGCGCTGGCGTCGTTGGGCCCCTTTCCCTTCCACCACCGAAATATACTGTAGGTAGCAAAATCAAAACGTACAACAAACACTAGTACCCTAGAGATGAACGTACCACATCGGGGCGAGCCCAAGAAGAAGAAACAGCGGACCAATCCACTCTCAACAAATCCTTTTGTTGATCTTGAGGCGGTCGTGAATGACAATCCCGAAATAGAGGACCAGGCTGGTGAGGATGAGTTATGGGAGGAATTCCTTGATGGTGAGTTAGGTCCAAGGTGCTTCTCCTGCGGGACTGATGTAGGGAGTCAGATAGTGAAGGACACGGCCGCGATGACACCCTATATACCGCACTCTGCACTCAGTACACCGAGGATGACACCCATTGGAAGGATTTTTTGGAGCGGGCCTGGCGCCGGGGCAATCGTTCTGAAGCGTCGACAACGGAAAATCGAGCTCCTGCTGTCCAGGACGCTCTCTGGGAGATCCCATGCCAGGTAAAGTGGCCTTACATGCGCTGTCACACCTGTTCACGAACACGGCCAGATGGGGGCGGAAGCGACCGCGGTCCTGAAGATCCTGAAGCGGGCATGCCATCCTGAAATGTCCACCTGTCCAGCCAGAGCGGCCTTCACCCAGCCTCATTTCCCTGGCCGCATCTTCGTGGAGGTCGGGGACGCCGCAAAAGCGAAACAGCTTGCGAAGGACATTGCGGAATTAGACCCCACCAATCTCCGTATCGTGCCCCGAGACAATATGACACGGACGCTCGCGATCCATTCCCCACGTCTACTACAGCCACAATCCTGGGTACGCGTTCGATCGACCTTCCCGGCATTGAAACTATATCAGGACGATCTGGCGCTCGTAACGCGACATGATACCCTTGGGCGTATTGATGTTTGGCTCTTACCCAGGCCCAGCCTCGGACACACAGCAAGTACTGGTCGGCCTCCGCAGAGGCTGGTCCTGGGGGGAAAGAATCCACCATTCTCCGCTCAGGGTTATATGGTGTTTAAATCTCTGGAGAGGACCGTCTTCCAGCCGGCTGTCCCGACAGTTGAGGAACTGGAGCAATTCCGCGAATGTCAGGCTCTCGAGGACGGGACCTACCACCGCACACACGCACTCATCGCCCATGCACGACTAGCCGTCCATGACCGCGTCAGGATCCTGCGGGGAGCTTTCCGTGGCCTCCTGGGCGTGATTATGAGCGTCCAGGCTCACCAGACAGAGGTTTTCATTCCAAGTCAGGATCTAACGGACATTTTCTCGTTCTTAGAACTGCGGAAGGTGTTTCAAGTTGGAGACTCCGTGCGTGTGGTCTCGGGCGAACATCGAGCAAATACTGGCTGGGTGGTAGAGCTCGTCGAGGACGAGGTGATCGTCCTGAACATGCAACGTTATGACGAGGTATGCCCATACCAGTGGTCCGGTGAGCGCTAACCCAGACTGTGCCAGATCAAGGTCCAGCGTGGACAATTGGAATTTTATGAGGAACACCAGGCAAGTCCGCTCCGAGACCTGTCCGTCTACTCGATCCTGTCTCCCGAAGACCGCCTGGAGATGAGGGACAACCCAAACGCTGTCCACATCGGCAAACAGGTGACTGTCACTGGGAAGCACTACCTCAAAGGCAGCCATGGCAGGATCAAGGACGTGAGCCGCGAGGGGGAGGCGAGCGTCGCCCTGGAAATATTCAATAAAGCGCACCCAGAAAAGATCAACCTCTTCCATCTTCGAATCCGGTACGTCTGACTTGACCCTGGTTGTAAGTCCTCTCACCGTAATCTCTTCTTCAGAGAGCGGACGGGCACCCTCGTGCCACTCTCCGACTGCAATACGCCCTCACAAGAAGAGCCTGCTCACAATGCCCCTCTAGCCGTCGCCGAAGATCCTCTTGTAGAGTCACCCCTCTCACCCGCGAGTCCCGGTGCGCCAGCACTCGTTGCTTCCTGCAGCACGCCCTTTCCTTCGAGCGCCCGTGCTATCGCCCAATCTCCTGCATGGGAACCTGGCTCCCGCACTCCCAAGGCACATGAGGAGCTTTTGAGTCTTCCAGTTCCACTTTGGCTTCGAGATACTCGGTTTCACGTCTACAGGGTGAAGCTCTTTGACCTCGAATCGCGCTCGACTCGCCCCGTCGAGTTCAAATCGATCTTAGGCGACGACGTTGTAGTCAGGGACGGCATGTCCCCACGGACGGCGCCCTTGCAGAACCTACGACCGGCTCTGGTGACGCGAAAGGGTGAGTGTGTCGTGTGCATAATGCCGGGTGACCACTTCGGGCGCCTATTCCGGGTGAAGAGCCACTCTGACACCACCTGCGTATTGCGTAACTTTGGGTCCAAGTCCGGCAAGGGCGAAAAGCTTTTCACCGTGCCCACGAACGCCCTGGTCGAAGTGTTTCCGCCATCTAAAGGACTACGAGTGCAGTAAACCCGTATACATAACTCTTTGCATCATCTTGTCATTAGCAAGTTCCTCCATTTCCCTGGGGACCTACTCCTGCTTTCTGATTCAGCTGGTACGCACTAATAGATTAGACTCTTTGCTCGATGATGTCAGCCCCTCCCCGGTCTACCACAATCCATGAAAAACCTAACAGCCCCTTGCGGGTCAGCCGAGACAACCGCCAAGGCCGCCAAAGCCTGGGAGGATACCGATTGGTGAGCGCCAGCTCAGTGGCGAACAGCGTCTCTGATTCATGGGTTAAAGGGAGGAATGCCCAACCACCTCCCCCGCAGCCCGCTCTCACCACCCCTGTCCTCTATCCCCCAAGGTCGTGATCCCCCGTGATGTAGAAGGGTGCCTGCTTGCACCTCAAGAGCGGGTGCTCCAGGGGAGGTGGCCATTGGAACATCCGGGGCCTCAGCGCGCTTCTCTTTTCTCTATGGAGACCCATCCTGCCACTGCCATCACCCGCGACGTTGTTGAACATACCCTCATCTCCATTCATGACACAATCCCGAGGCACAAGCGAAATTTCTTGCCTTTGAGGAGAGCCTAGTGGTGCCTCTCTGACCTGACGAACTCATTCAATCATACGGTACGTTGTCCTATCCGTCTCTCAGCATTTGTGGTAGTCACGCGACATTCTGCAAGCCTCTTTGAACTCGAGGATGGGACCGTCACATTCGGGAGACTGGGAGGAGTCGAAAACGCTGACCGGGATTAACTCATTGCTTGGTCTTTCGAGGTGTATCTCCCGAGACTACCACAGAATACCTCTCATACCCTACGTCCAGATCCATTCCCCTGGATCCCGCTCTTATCATAATATCAACGAACTCACGTCTGCTCGTGACAGTATGTTTGGCGACGCCAGAAACCGCGGATCCCATCGACTGGGACAAGCGGGTGTGAAAGGTCGTCGGTGCTTTGCGTTCACCATGACCCAGCAACATCCGCGCTCCCTGGTGGAACCTGCAGCAGGTGGCAAGGTCTACGACGATGACGTGCATTCCGCCGAGATTGAGCGGCTGAGGTCGGCCCTGATCAATTGAGGTGTGGAAGATGGAAAAAGGGACGTCACGATATAGGTTGAGTTTTCGGGTTTGTATCTGCTCTGCGAGGGCCTTCAATGGAGCGAATGGCGGGCGTAATCGGACTGTCCTGCGAGGTCGAGGAAGATGACGCCGCCTGCGGGTCTTGGTTGTGATCGTCGTGACCAGGTTGGTCTGCCCTGCATAACGTTATGTTCATGCTAATGCTATCCCCTCTTACGCTTTGTTCGTCATAGTTGACGTTGACCATGTTCCCGCCGATCTCGACGAACGCGTCAACTATTTTAAGCCCTCTCGTAAACGCCACCCCGTCGAGATCATGAACCTCCGTTAACTCAATCTCGACGCCTGACAAATCTAATCTCGACGCTGTCAGCCGACCGGCACAAAGTATGGGGGAGTTCCAAAAAAAACCCTCTACCAGGACGGTCTTAGGAGGATGAAGATGCATCACACAGCGAATAAGTGCTGTGATTCACACCTGTCGTGCCGCTTTCATACATCATGGCAATCAAGCTCTATCCGAGCACCCAGCCAACTGCCTTCCGAAAAACGCACGTCGGGAAAGGGTTTTGCAGGGCGTTGAGGAGATCTGTGCAGAGGATGAACTCAGCACCCGAAGTGAGCTTTCGAAGAAGGACGAAACGAAGGAGGTGGACGGAGTGAAGAGAGCATGGAATGCAGCGACAACTTGCCAGACGTATCTCATGGTGCCTCGGTCGTGGTATAATTTGTCAAGTACACATGTTCGAGAGGGGGGCCAATTTGGACGGTACTAGCTATCCCCCCCACACTGCCACATTCATCTACGATCGCAAACCTCACCCGATGCCAAGCCGCGATGACGGATAGGCTAGGATGAGCCCGCGGGTGCCAGGAAGACGGTATTTGCTTAAGCTTGCTTGTTGAAGACGATGAGGTCCGAGGACGCAGACTCCTGCAACTTGAATTCAGGAGGGAGTGGTCACAAGCACACGTCACGAATGCGAGTGCAAGCCTGTGCAGCAGACGTCGCTGGGAAGGACCGCTCCGACGAAGAATGGGAGTAGCAATTCGGGTACATTACAACAGTCAACAAACGGCCTAGCCCTGCACCGAGTTAATGTTGGAGGAGGACAAGGATTACTGATAGTCATCAGTCACCGCCGAGGCCTTTGACTGCAGCTGGAAGCGACAGATACGATAGCGGTCCTACAACACCGTTAGAAATGAATTCTGAGATAGAGCCGCAAGTCGAGGCGTTGCTGGAGACGACTTCTCCGATAGAGATATGATGAAAAGCAAGGGTAGATTCATACCAGGGAACAGATGCGTAGTACCACCGACTTCGTGGACTCGTTCCCGTTCGCCCGCCGCTCAACCCGAGGTACGGGGTGGTCATCTGTGCTGGAATTCGGGGTCTCTGGTGAACCGAAAGCTTGGTTTGCGGGTTTGTTCGAAAGGAGCCCTGGCATTGGGTCTAAAATCTGCCAACTCGTTGGTGTATCACAGATACAGATAATTATCAGATAGCGTGGCAGCTCTCTTAGCGGAGCGATTGACGTTTTTGTTTCTTTCAATTACGGAGGTAGAAGGAAAGTTGACATGGGAAGGGGACCTGAAAAGCTGCTGCATCTTCGAATGATCATGAAGGCAAACACAGGGTTCAGGAGGGATCTGGGGTCGAGCGAGAAACCAGAAGTATGGAAGAAAACACAGAAAATGATGTTGAGGTTCTAGGCGCCTGTTCGAAGGGTGGTCGGCGTCGGAGGGGAGAAGAAGCTCGAGAGAGGTGGTAAGTGAATAACTTCAGCTGATCGCCCTTCGAGCTTCGAGCCCGGGTTTGAAACTTGCACTGGCCGGCCGCCTGCTTGTGAATGCTGTCTAAAGAAGTCTCTCGATTACTACTTACATTTCTCGATCTCTTTCTAGGCGTTCCAAGAAGTATTCCGAGTGAGATGAGAGCAAGGAGGAAGGCGCTCAGTAGGTGCTAAGGCTTGGCATTCCGGGCGGCCTGCGGGAAGGCGACAAGTTCCGTCTCAGTCCAGTAGGCGGATGTTTTAGCGAAAACTGTGGGTCAAAGTTGAAGGGCAACGCGAAGGGAAAGGGTCTATTATTCTGCAATAAGGCAACAACTGATATTATTCTATACCGTACGTAAACAAAGGGACTGGTCAAAACTTATAACCTCCAGTCAGTCCCATAATATTCTTGGGGTCCACAGCTCGTCGTAACCGCTTCAACTGGGGGACGTTAGATCCATACAGGAGGTTGAGCGGAGTGTCAGCGAGAGCATAGTTCGGGTAATGGATGTCGTCCCATCGGCTCTGTCCTTGCGCGACAGCGAAAGCCTGAATGGCGTCGGACATCTTCCGCAAGAGGGCATGGAAATAATCCGCATCAGCATTGTCGGAGAACGTGATCCAAGGGTTGCATGGCGTAACCTGGCGGTCGGGCGAGTGAGGGTATGCAGAGCGCGTTTCGTAATTGAAGGCGCCGAGGAATGGCTCAACGCCCAACAAGACGGCGATGACAGAGCGGTTGTCGTCAACGGCTTCTTGGTAGGTAATATTGATTTGTCTTTGAATTTCGTCGATGATGGGGAGGGTATACTGCACAATGGGCACCACGTTTGAGAATCCTCCGGAATTTCTGGTGAAGAGCATATACGAATAAAATCAAATATGAATGATGAATCACTTACGTCGCGACGACATTGATAGTCGCCAACAAGTCAGAGAACGCGCGGACACCGACGTTGCTCTCAAGGGCTGGAATATCCAAGAATGGCTGGTAAACGGGTGGTACGAATCCTCCGTCGTAGAAGAATATTATTTGCCATATGGCCTTGTGGAAGCTGGTCAGGATTCAGTTTGCGAGACGATTCAATATTTACTTACCTGACCAGAGCCGGTCTGAACATAGGCTGCAGCAAGCTGAGCTTTATGATCAGTATTGTGTAAGCTGAAATCCGCCACAGCTTGTGAGACTAGAGCAGAAGGGGCGTAGTTGATAACTCCACCCTGAGGATCGGTAGCCGATGTCAGTGGAATGAAGTCGCGTATCGTGATGGACCAACGTACCCAAACAGCTCCTATGGGGCGGGCATACATAGTCACTGAACTGACAATTCCGAAGTTGTTTAATCCTCCTTTCAAGCCGAAGAGGACCTCGGGATAGCTGGTGTCACTAACGGTGACAAACGTTCCGTTTGGCATGACCAGATCGAAGGAAACAACATTATCAACGCCGAGACCGTACTGGTCCGCAATCCAGCTAAAACCTCCTCCGAGGATCAGACCAACACCTGAGAAAATATAAGACAAAAAAAGAGACGGAAAAGAAAAGACTTGCCAACGCCAGGCACCCTGCCCCCAGCAACTGTTACGTTGTATTGTTCTAGGATAGTGTAGATTTCATCCCAGGAGCGACCAGTTCCAAACGACGCGGTACCAGCATCCTGGTCGTAGACGACCGAGGTAAAGCTCGCCATCGAAATAAGAACCCCAGTGGTTGAGCTGAATCCCTGGTTGGTAGCATGCCCACCGCTTTTGACCTGTACCGGTCGTTAGTGGGAGAACAAAATAATAATAAAACGGACGGACTGCGAAAGGTGAGCGAATGTCATCACGTCCAATAATCCTGATCTATGGAGTATTTAACTTGATGTCTTTAAAACCTTGAGAAACAAAGGAACGGCTCACAATTGTCGAGAGGTCTGCAGTGGAATCAGGGTTGACAGAACAAGTGGAGTTCTGTTCTGCAGATGATTGGAAGTGGCTCATATCTGCCGCATAGATTTCCGTTCCTGTCGCGAGCATATAGCAGGAAAAAGAATTGCGAAGAGGGAGAGCACTCACCAGGGTAGAAGACCTTTCCAGGAAGTGCAGACTCGATCAGCCTACACGCTCGTGAAGCACGAGTCGGCCTGGTCGCTGTGACCGCAGTGGCGGACAAGAGGAAAAGTTTCAGGCCGAGTAAGATGTTCTTCATCTTCGAGAGAGCTGTGGTGGTTGCTCTTGTTGCGGGCGCGGTTTTATAGACAGTTCCAACTCCTTTTACGCCCTTACTCGGGGTTAGCGCTTGAACTAAAATGCCATGGAGTCGCAATGTCGGAGGTTTGAGGTACAGGTATGTGCAGGGTGGGAGGCGGAGGGTCGACGATCCAGGCGCTTGGTTTCTGGTCCACGTTTCGTGACATTTGATGGCGTGTTGGCGGACTGACAAGCGCTGACATACCCCCGAAGAGGTATTTCACGAACACCTCTCCCTTGGGTAACCGTCAGGGCTGAAAATGAGCGAGACCAAAATTGAGCCTAAGCGCGTAGAATTTTTGAATAAGAGGAGAAATCGTCAGAAAAATACTGGTGTTTCAAGTGTTTGCAGTATTTCGCGCTTCAGGTACTTGAGAGCACAAATTTGAGACCGGTGACCGAGAATATGCACTGTCCATTTCGATCAAGTGTTCAAAACTAATTCGGGCCCACACGGTCGTGCGCCGGGTACGAGGCTTTCGGCGAGTCTGGAATGATGAAGTGTCGTTAGGTCGTTGATGCGTTGTTGAAAGGCGCACAGTCCGACTCACCTCCCGATCTGTTTCATCGTTTAATCTCGATGCAACCTCGCCCCCCCCCAAGGCAGAAAAATCGACACTACCGCTACACCTCCTTACTCCTGGAGCCTGACATCTTGGGATTTGTTTCGTGCACACGGTCAGCGCCACATTGCATGGGAGATGGAATATATTAATTCAAGTTTATCGTCCCCGACTTTCTACTAGGTCAACAACGCATCATGTATCATACTCTCTGGAATTCTACGCTTGAAAGTTACTCTGAGGTGAGGCGGAAAACTGTAATTTTATTGCCGCATAAGTAGAATCTGTCACGATTTGACGTCGTTTACTCACCTAACCATGGCATTGCTCCATTCCATCGGACTTTCAGCTGTAAGTTTATTTCCGTCCTTGTCGACTGGGTCAGTAATGTCGTAAGCGGTCAGGATGTGTGCTGCCATGACCCAAAGGGTGTCACGCGCCATGACTAACGGAGGCAAAAAGCTAATTAGTATTTTTGGAACGCCGTGGGAATAGGGGTGGAACGCACGTCTTCCGGGACAAGCGCGTCTGCCAAAACCAAATGCCAAATCAACGTCAGAAAGATCGGGGCCAGGTGCGTTTGCGTCGTCTTTCATGAATCTTTCGGGAATGAACTTGTCGGTATCTGGGCCAAAAATGCTTTCATCGTGTAAAATCGCCCAAGAATTTGCGATCATATAGGAGCCCTTGGGGATGAAATAGCCGTTGTATGTATCGTCCTGGTTGGAGGCATGATAAATCGCGAATGGAGTGACCGGGTGCCATCTAAGGACCTCGTTGACGACTGCAGCAAGGTATGGTACGCTTCCGAAGTCACTGAATTCGGGAAGACGTTGGCCTGAAAGCAGATCGTCGAGGACCTTCTGCGCCTTCTTTTGAACGTGCGGGTAGAGAGCCATTGCCGTAGTGAAGTTGTAAAGTGCGCAGACGGTCTACAAAAGTTACCGTCAGACAAGAAGGCCGCTCGACTGGATGATAACCCACAGTGTCAGCTCCACCTACAAGAAATGAAATTCTATGATCAGGAGGAGACCAGAAAGCAAAACAATCTTACCGAGATAAGCGTTGGCCATGACGCTTCGCATGGCATCTATTTCCCTTTCGGAAGTGTCCGCGCCCTCCTGCACTGCATAGAGAAAGCGAGACGCGACGGACGAAACTGCCGTCCCATTTTCCTGACCCACGGATGTCAGCCCGGAGAACTATCGGTGAGGAGGTAGTCCCCATATACTGACCACCTGAGATTTAACCTCCTTGTAGGGACCCATGAGGAGATCTACCGCCAGCGCCTTACCTCTTTCTCCAGTTTCGTGGAATTCAACACCGGGGAACCATTTCGGTAGGTACTTCAAAAACGGAAACGCATCCACTATAGAACACGTCAGTGTTTGAACGTATTCAAATGGGATAGACTCAACCCAAATAGCCTCCCCGCGCAACGTCGGCGAATATCTCGTTGATTTGTTCCGGGGTGGTGATGAATGGGTGCTCGAAGTTCGTGGGGGTAATACCATAGGTGATGGAAAGAATCACGTCGACAGAAGCCCTGTCGGATCATTGATACCAGCTCAACAACGAGTAACAACGGCTCGGCCTACAATCTGAGTTCTCCTTCGTGATCGGACGAAGTCAATAGACGCTGGAGAAGTCTTCTCGCAGCTTGGACCTCGTGATTCTTGTTAGCGGTACTACCCGCAAGGTTGTCGAATTCGCGTCGGAAGAGCTGGCGATGTTCTAAGCCAACGAATTAGTAGACTGACGCCTGAGGTGAATGATGAGCGCGACCTTTCCATTTATTGTCTTTGTTCATGAATGGCATTAACCAGGAGGTTCCAATCCTGCAGAGGGGTCAACAACGAATGGAGTCGGATGCCAGGATAGGGCTTACAGCTCGTCTAGCATAGTGGAACGCGGTCTACTCAAGTTAAACAAAATACATAGAACAGAAGTAGGTACTACGTACCTGTCCGAGTAAATGTTAGATCTCCGGACGAGCAGGTCCTGGATGACCTTGACCGAGTTCAAAATGAACATAGGCTTGCCACCTGCGTTCATGTACAGGATTTCACTGTCTAGGTAAATACTCAGCGAAAAAAATCGACTCGCATGTGCGAGGAACATACTGTACTGCTTTCCCCAGTCGAGGTAAACTTGCCATGACTCTTTCTTTGGGATGTCAAAAAGGTTTCCAAGTACCGGCAGCCCTCGGGGCCCTGGAGGAGTTGGGCGCTTCTTTCGAGAGAGGGACGCGAGCAGGACGAGCGCGAGAGCAGCCAAACACGAGTCAAGCAAAGAAAAGGCCATGACTTGCACTGACAAGAGAAGTGAACAAACCACAGAAGAGCGATATCACAGACTGTTTCTTTTAGACCGGACGTCGTCTTGGAATTTCCTGTTGGAAACGCAAAGGGAACCTTGAAAGTCATCAAAGCGAAGCAGATGCTCTCACCCGGCGTAGACTTCACAACTAGTTGGAGATGCCGTTATCTCATGCGTGTTCGGGGATCGCGGATACAGGTGAAATGGGGCAGCGATCTTTGTCACCGGGACCTTTGGACAGCAGCCAATTTACGTGCCAAATTCAAATTAGTAAGCCGAACGTACCAATAAGTACAAGTCCAAGAACTCATCGATACTCGGTGTAGCCTGTAGCGCAACATCAGAACATCCGCGAGTGCGGTACCGTACACTGCTTGAGGCTAGTCATCGGTCGTCTTCGACCATGGAGTGCGTAGTCGGAGTGCGTAGTCGATTGGTCTCACTCAGGGTCTGATCTCCCTGAACATTCCGGGGATCATGCCGAAAATGGATGGCAGGCGGGACAGGTATGACACGAGGCTCATCGCAGACCCCAGGAAGCCCATCAGCGCGTTAGCTGCGGGTTTTGACTTGGCGCCACGTGGGCTAGATATGTACACTAAAAATAAGAGCTTCTTGCCGGCTCTTGCCTGTACGCGTCGCGTCGGTGGCTGGACTTGTGCGCCTCTAAACAAGTGCCAAGCGCATGACTCGAAGTTACGGAACGGTAGTATGATACAAAATGCGAAGCGCTACGAAATGCGGGCGCTTAACAAGGGCTAGTGTAGAAGAGTGACAAAGAGTTCGGGTGACGACGCAACGGCACCCACGAGCCTCAAGGTGAGGACAGCAGAGGGTGAATACGAGATGCAAACCATGTTATTGCCCGCAAATTTTTGATCAGTAGATTATCTATACTACAGAAACTATTCAAGCAAGAATGAATGAGTGGGGGATTAGGGAGGACACGCGATATGAATGTCAATGTTGGGAGAGGAGGAATTTCTTGAGGAGGAAAGGGAGGCATGCCGAGCGCATCGGTTGCCGTGAAAACGGGTGGTGCTTGTCATGGGCTGGCTGCGCATGCTGACGGAGGGTAGGCAGGCCCATCTATCTGCTGCCATGACCTGTATGACACGGTGGAAGCGGTTGGACACCATATGCAGTATAGAGTCCCGAAACACAGTGACGAGGTGATAAAAAATGTTCTTGCAGGTTTTACAGAGTCAGAGGGGAGCCGGCTCGTCACCGAGCTATAGAAGGCATCGGAGGATTGAATATGTTTGGAGTAAGGTGTGATTCTTCCCAGCGTTGGCAGCAATTAAGTCTTTCATTAAATATGAGATTCATTCTCGAACAGGCAAATGACGGTTTACAAAGGACCGATTCAGCGCTCGCTGTCGGATTTCGTCTTCAGCATGCTATCGATGCGTGGATCTATTTTCTCTATATTTATGTTACTGTGTACATGTGTATCGGTTTAGTACTGTTGATTAAAATGCGACTTGTGTTTTGTGCCCTACAATGTGAACTAGACGGAATATGAAAGGTCCTTAAATAGGAGGCCCGCATTAGATGCGCATCCTCACTTGCTTCGCACTGAGGTTCGCATTCCGCAAACTGCCTGAGACTCGAAAAATACTACTTTACTCAGTCGACGCTTAAGAAGACAACAATTTATTTTATTGTATAAAGCTTTAATATCTGCACCCAGGATACAGCGCCCACGGGTTTGACCAGGATCGGATGGTAGCCGCCGTTGCTGGCTCAAGCGCTCACCTCCCGACTGAGATATATTTCAGACGAACTGACTTTCCCTCTCTATGATCCACGTGTCCATTATGGTATCTATAGGGTACTTGTTAATGTATTTAGATCTACGTGGCCTCTTTTATCTTTCCACTCCGAGCTAGGTAGACAAATCGCTCTCGGAGGAGCTGGCGACGACTCGCACAGCCACTAATCAAGCGCTCGTCGTCGGATTTGGATTGTAGCGCACCACACTATTGAACGCTGCATTATCTTTTCTCACAAATAAGTTTATTATGTACACTTCTATCCATTTATTATAGTTTGCCGGAAAGTTGGTTGGTGTGGCTAGCTATACGACATAAATTAGACGAAATCTCGAGGGAGATCAGAGAGATTCTCACGCCTGCTCACCGTTTGCGGCCCGCAGCCCGTGTCACCCGCAACTGCATCGTAGTCATCGAACGGCGATTATACAGCAAATATCTTATTCCGGGGTGTTCTGGGTCCTCCCGATGCTCAACTCTTCTGGTGTTGATGCGCTGGGGCCGGGAGCGCGAGGGACTGTATTTGGCCATTTCGGGCTATCCTGCCACCTGTCAGCATCGGGATCAGACCCTGAGTGAGACCAATCGACTCATCACTGTCGACCATGAACCCTCGGTCGAAATCAAAGGAACCGGAATGTTGAAATTTGCCCGGGGTCGGCAATTTTTTTCAAGGACTTGCGGCTAGTACCTACCCCCAAATCGTGTATGTTTCGGCCTGAAATGGTAACTCTCTGTGATGGGAAGCCTCCGCAAACATAGCCATGATGTTTCCGGAGACTTCCTATATCACGAAAATGTCGGAATATCTGTGAGAATATTCTATTACACTCCCAACTTATCCCTGCGGACACCCATCATTATGTAATTGGCGTTAGTCTACGTAGAACGAGCACAAGAATCGACCAGGACCATTTTACGCCGTTACGGTAGGCTTAGGCTAAAAATAGCACATTTTTTAAGCTCGGGCTTGACCCCGGTTCCCCCTTGGTCGAAATGATACCATAATCAGGTCGATCTAATAACAATCTTGACGCATATGGCCCTTAAAATGCTCGTGATCTGCGTGTCCAAAACGATATGGCACAATCAGGGTGTAGGTGGACACATAGAAAGGCTTGGGAAGGACGCACCTTTATCGCTTCCTGATCACCGAGATTGGTGGGGAAGCTGAAGTCCGATTCCCGAAGCGTCGCTTAGTATGCGTTACCCAAATATAGAAATTCATGACTCTGGTATCTCCGGATTTCGAGACCGCGAACGCACGATACTCATCTGCGCCTGCGCCTTTGGGTGGTATACATGTGTCTTCTGTCTATTGCCAGCGACGAAGCACCTCTTTAATCTGCATTTTCTGGAAAAAGTAAAATTTCACGCTCGCATTGATAATAATCAAGGGTTGCCCCATCACTCCGACCGTTGGAGGAGTTGTGGTTGACGGCACTTGCATTCAGAGGCGACGAGTAATGATTCCTTGGTAGCCTGTAGGTGCTGCGGTCCAATATTGTTCTCTTCCTATGGAAAAGGAGTATCGTTGTCACCGCTATCCGATAGCGTCTTGTGCTTATTCCATGGGAAATATGTCTCCCCGACCTCCGCCATCTTACTTGAAGAATCTTAAGCGTCCCACATCCTTGAAACTCAGCAGACTGCTGAGCAATGAATTCATTACATTGTATGTAGCCTCGGTCCGGGCGTCCGATCCATACTCGTCTATATGTGGATGATCGAGACTAAATATAAGCATCTGAGCAACATTACACAAAGACCTTCCCACCTGTCTTGCTCCTTTTGTAGGAATTCTCGCGTCGACCACGGAATCCGCAGAAGAAGACACAGCTACTCGACGATAACGCGGTCTGGAACTTCTCTTATCGAATTCACAATCAACCTGACCTTCATCTTGGCACATAGATTCAGCCGGACGCACCTGAAAGAAGGAGCTTCTATACCGTCCACAATTCCTCACTCTCAAGTTCCTTGTCACTATCAACCACGCATTTGTGATATCTTACCCGGTGCAGACAGCGTTCCCACCTGGAGCACCTTTGTGGGCCGTAAGCCAACATTTGGCCCTTGCTACATCCCGATTGGGGAGAGCGTGCTGACATTTTGGATATTTCGAGAAGCGGGCGTCCAGAGTAACGAATGAAATTGAAGCATGGGTTGCAAAGCCCTCCACACTCGACTTCTCTTCCTCTCTTTTTCCTTTGGCGACTTTCGATTTGATTGCCACTAGAGTGATTTCTCTTCAAAATCGGGGTGCCATAATTGAGATGACTTAATCGAATTCTCTGATACGAAGTTATAGTAGATCGATAGAAGTCTTGTATCGGATCGGTATATAATAGAAACCTTAAGGACATAGGCTTAGTTAGCACCCTCAACTCGCCATCAACTCGAATCAACTCCGACATGTCCTTCCTCGCTGCAGCTCCTGCTCCCCCTACCCCTCTCGGCCGCTACCGTGCTCTCTCCAAGCATGCGTCTATCCATGTCTCTCCGTTGATCCTGGGGGCCCAGAGCATTGGAGATCAGTGGCACGCCATCGGCATGGGCGCTATGGACAAGGATTCCAGCTTCAAGCTCCTCGACGCTTACTATGAGGCGGGCGGTAACTTCATCGATACAGCAAACAACTAGTAAGTGCATGCGCGTCCGTCACAACCCTGGTCTCTTTGGGCTGATTTCCTTTGAAACAGTCAAAACGAATCTTCGGAGCAGTTCCTCGGAGAGTGGATGGAAACGCGCGGCATCAGGGACCAGATCGTCCTCGCTACCAAGGTTAGTCTGAGTTACCCCACATATTTGACGCGAATTCACGTTTCGTATTAGTATAGCTTCAACTACAAGCTAGCGGACCCCAGCATCAAACAGAAAATTCACTATCATGGCAACAACGTCAAGTCGATGCATCTCAGTCTCGACGCGAGCTTGAAGAAGCTTCGTACGACTTACGTCGACATCTTCTATGTTCACGTATGGGACTACCAGACGTCCATCGAGGAGATCATGAACAATCTTCACAGTCTCGTTGTATCTGGCAAGGTGTTGTACCTCGTGAGCCTCCCCTTCTTCGACCAAAGTACCACATCTGAATGAGCTTCGACAGGGCATCTCCGACACTCCTGCCTGGGTCGTCGCCCAAGCAAACCAGTATGCGCGCGATCATGGCAAGACGCCCTTCGCTATCTACCAAGGATGCTGGAACGTCCTGGACCGGGCTTTCGAGCGCGACATCATCCCTATGGCTCGCGAACACGGTATGGCGTTGGCGCCCTGGAACGTTTTGTGTGGCGGCAAGCTTCGCAGCGACGCAGAAGAGGAGCGTCGCGAGAAGAGCGGCGAGCAGGGCCGGGATCTCAAGCTCAACGACCACGGGTGGAAGCGCACCGAAGAAGAGAAGAAGATGTCCCAGGCGTTGGAGAAAGTCGCTAAGGAGGTTGGAGTGGATAGTGTCACTGCAGGTAACGATTCTCAAATCACTTGTCAGGCATGCTGTTTGCTCACTACTTGACGCCTACAGTTGCTATTGCGTATGTGATGCACAAGGCCCCATATGTCTTCCCCCTTATTGGCGGTCGCAAAGTCGAGCAGCTCAAACAGAACATCGAAGCTCTCAAGGTCGCCCTTACCCCAGCCCAGATAGAATATCTGGAGAGCGTTAAGCCATTCGACCCTGGTTTCCCTCACACTATCACCGTACGTTGCTCTCTGTTAATCATTGCCAGCCAGCTAATTACACACTGGCGCAGGGAGACGGATCCAAGCCGTGCGGAATGTTCGCCATGGCGGCACAGACTGACAGAGTTGCATTCCAGGCTCCGATCATTCCGAAGAAGGATGCTTAGATGGTTTAACTAACCTCGCCGATGTCTTTCACTTCTCCTGTACGAACAAAGCGCGCGTGTCTAGGCACATGTTTTTACCAAATCCATATTCATACTTGACTGCGATATCGATGGGCATTCTCTAATATTAAGAGACAAGCATCTGCTACCCTTTCCAAATAATCGGTCAAGGCGCGCATGAACGACTGAACATCGTCGTTTCACTCAGAGTCACTCTGTTCGAATTTGGGGGGCGCATGCCACCAGTCTCCATTCTTCTTTCGGGTCGTGATAGAATGACACCAATCGCGTAGCTAGAATTGTCAGCTTCAATTTGTAAGTAATGGTGCGACGTCAGGGGGACTGGCAAGAGCGGGTTCGTATAGAGCCGCTTGTCGACGCTCGAGGAAGGCAGTCCGCCCATGGAGCTAGCGGATAAATTTTGTTGCAGGCTTGGCGTTCAATTTGAGTTTGATAGCGCGGGCCTAAGCCCCAATGCCTTCTACATAAGCGGCAATTTCCTTGATGAAGGGATCAGGTTCGGAAGTAGTGTGCCGTCGCTCTTTATTTGCCTTTCAGACTTCCTCCTTGATTGAGATTGCGTGTAAGTAGCTGTCCTCAGAGCTGTTGATTTCTTTGACAAGCATCGTCTCGCCCTCTATTCGTCAGCGATAGCAAAATTCCCATGTGAGATTAGGATCAATCTCGTCTTGGGATCTAGCACTCACGAATGCCTCGAACGCAGTCAGGGCCACCGTCAAGGCAATTCTCGGTGATCACGGACGGCAAGCTTTGCAACATTAAAATTCTCCCAGTCCACAGCATGATTTAGAATCCTGCCTCTACGCATAGCTTTAGCCCTAAGAGTCTTGAGTGTGGCGCCAGGGCGCAGGTTAGACCTGCTAAAAGAGGAAGTTATTTCAGAATCGGGACGCCCGTCCACGTGGTATCGGATACAGCCGGGCTTGGCGGGGAATTCAGTCGATCGTGATCGATCTGATCATCGACGGCGGCAATAGCGGCAAGTAAGGATAGGGTTTTAGTAACAGCATTAGTCTCCACAGCCGGTGAAGACGTATCGTTCACTCATTTGCCTGCTGGGAACCCTTTTTGTCGTTATCCCCCTCAGTAGCGCCCGTGTCGCCGATTGCCTGATCAGAAACAAAGGGGGTGGGCATGGTCATGGCACGGAAACAGTGCAAAGAAGCTCGAGCTTCTTGTTATTGACAACGCTGAGAAATCCGTCAGACATTGTCTTTGAGCATGATAGCCCTGAGCAGTAGGCTGGTCTCTGATTCCGAGTCGGATTCGGGAAGGTAATGTAGAAGAGAAGGATCTTTTCCGGTACGGGCGGAATTTCGATTGATTACCTAAAGATAAAGCTGTGCGGATTAAATATAGTACTCATTTCAGACGGTTGTGAGATAACGGAGTTTGTGTGGGGCGCTGAGGAGACAAAGGACTTTTTTGACTCCGCTCGTGGGCTTGTTCTCGTTGGATCGTGCTGGTGTAAATCAGAACGGGTGATCGGATTTCACCTAAAAACGGTGTACGTATATTTTACGGACCACAAAGAATACTAACCGGAGGCCGCATGCTCCTGCGTCGCTCAGGCTAAGACAAAAGGACAATACAGTACGCCATCATTTCATGAGGGTATGGAGGCAAGAGAAGATAAGCCAAATCAAAGGTGATGCAGAAGCCGACCTGATTTCACCTAAACTCCACTCCCGGAATTAAAGAAGAGGCTAGCATGGAACGCATCTGGACATGTGGCACATCCCCGCCCCAGAGAATTATTCAGCTTCGTCTCATTCACGGCGAACGAGGCCACTACTCTGCTCTCGGACACAATGTAGAAGTGTCAGCACGAAGAACATCTGGTATAGTGATATGAGTAAAGCGAGAGGTCGGGACCGAAAAGGGGTGTATTGATGTCGATGTCCGAATCAGGAAAGCGCGTGGCGCGTGGGCGCCAAAGACGGTTGCTGAGCCTGAATCATGACGAAGAGGTAATTAGTAAGTCCAGCAATTTGCCCGCGCGGAGGCCAGAATTTGATAAGGATATTGCTAATCCTTCTCATTACGTTCGTGTGACGGCAGGCATCGCATTTCCATGCTGCATGTTGATCGAGGGAGCGGGCGCTTTGATATTGACAGCCAATGTACATAGGGGTGTCTCGGTCTGGTTCAAGTTCAGGGGTGGTGGGCTGCGACTGCGCAGCAGGTAAGGACGGAAAAGTAAAGGTGGAAATCTTAATCTGAGATTCAGAGGGGATCGAGGAATGACAACTCGACATTGTTACGTATTTGTTTGAACACGGACGGCCGTCACAGTGGACAGAAAGACTGATGTTATCAGCATTGAGCGAGTCTTAATCATACAATCTCCAACCGAGGTTGTAGGCCCAAATAATAGGGTGTTTGTCTCAGCACTTATATTCGAAAATCAACACGTAATACAAGAACACTATCACAAATGGATAACCAGACGGAACGAGCAGACGAGAATGCAGGTTGAAGGAGGAAAAATATCTAGTTGAGAATGCCATCGTGGATCATACTCTCTGGAATCCTGCGCTTGAAGGATACCTTGAATTTCGGTGCAAAGCTTGCATATCACGCAACGTGAGCAAGAAATCGCGAAAGGTCCGAAGTCTCACACATACCTAATCATGGCGTTTGTATACTCCAACGGGCTGTCAGGCGTAATCTTCTTTCCTTCCATGTCGTAGGCTTCAGAAATTTCATAAGCCGACAAGATCGACGCTGCCAAAATCCAGATGGTATCGCGAGCGATGACTGAAAATTCCAACGCGGTCAGCTATCGAAGTCGTTTTGAGCCAACCACTCACATCGTCCGGGACAGGCACGTCTACCGAATCCAAACGCAGTGTCGACGTCTATGAATTCAGGAGTCCTCTTTCCGCTGGTACCTGCCATGAATCTCTCGGGATTGAAACTGTCCGTGTCTGGGCCAAAAATATTTTCGTCGCGCAGTACGGCGTATGCATTCGGAACTATGATAGAGCCCTTGGGAATGTGGTAGCCTTTGTAGGTGTCGTCTTCGGTCGAAACGTGATAAACCGCAAACGGAGTGACAGGGTGCCATCTGAAGACCTCGTTGACAACTGCCGCAAGATAGGGGAGATGTTCGAAGTCAGAGAAGTCGGGGAGGCGGTGGTCTCCGTTGAGGTTGTCCAGCTCTTTCTGAGCCTTCTTTTGGACCTCTGGATGAATTGCCATTGCAAGAACGAAGTTGTATAAGACTCCAATGGACTAAAATATACCCCTATCAGATAAAACAATCTTTACAAAGGAGCAGTTACTCACCGTGTCAGAACCAGCTGTGAAGAGTCCGAAGAAATTTAAGTAATCGAATGCTGAGCGCATAGAAATGCACATACCAAGATACGCGTTTGCCAGGACATTACGGGTAGCGTCTTCTTCCTCCTTCGACAGCTGCGCGCCATCTTGGAGCGCGGAGATGAAGCGAGATGCAACAGATGACACAGCAGTACCGTTGTTCTGAGCTCGAATTAGCGACCAGACGAGCTTGCAGGACCAATAGACCTACCACTTGAGCTTTGATTTCCTCGTAAGGGCCTGCGACGACTTCCTTGGCATATTCTTTGGCCGTGTCTGCGATATCGTGGAACCTGAGGCCGGGGAACCACTTTGGGAGGTACTTCATAACCGGGAAACGGTCAACTGAGCAGTATGTCAGTGTCATGAAGGATCAGAATGACAGAATAAATAAACTCCACTGAAATAGGCTCCCCGAGCAACGTCGGCGAAGATCGCATTAATTTTCCCAGTGACTTTGATGAAAGGATGTTCGAAGCTGGTGGGAGTTATGCCATACGTCACAGAAAGAATCGAGTCAACAGCCGCCCTAGTAGAAGATTGAATGAGCGTCTATCAATTGCAGGTGGGGGAATCAGCGCACAATCTGAGCTCGCCCTCATGATCTGAGGTCGTCAGAAGACGACGAAGGAGCCTTCTAGAAGCCCGGAGGGCGTGAGATCTGTTCGCGGGAGTAGTCTCGATGCTGTCGAATTCTCTTCGGAAGAGATGGCGATGCACTAAAGATAGACGTTGGACGTGAGCGGCGTTTGAGTGATGAGAATGAAGAACGAGCTTACATTTCCACCGTTCGTCCGTGTTCATGAAGACAATCAACCAGGTAGTTTTAATACTGCGGAGACGTTAATACTTATTCAAACACGAGAACGAGACTTCTTACAGGTCGTTTATCATCGTAGAGTGTGGCCTGTTCCAAGTCATAAAAGCAATTCAAAAGCGAACGAAATAGATCCACACCTGTTCGAGTAGATGTTGGATCTCTTAACGAGCAAGTCTTGAATAACCTTGATCGAGTTCAGGATGTAGAATCGCGTTCCAGGAACTTTCATGAGGAGGATATCACTGTCTAGGCAGCCAGTAAGCTTTGACCATCAATTTAGAGACCTTCAGAAACTCACTGTATTGACGTCCCCACTCGAGATACCCCTTCCATGACTCCTTTTTCGGGAAGTCAAGGATGTTGCCAATCAGCGGCAATCCAGGCGGTCCTGGAGGGTTCCGAATAGGCTTGCGGAAGTATATGAAAGAGGCGAACAACGCAATGGCTGCAAGTGCAGCTAGGTTGGGGTCGATGGTGAGAGAGCTCATCGTTTCAAGTGACAAGGAAACTATGGGTGAGGACTCGAGGGCCACAAAAATCGAAGCATCTTCTTTTAGGTGCGTCCGGCTGAATCTACGTTCAAAGATGAATGTCAGCATGATGTCCCTTGAGAATTCGCTAAGAGAAGTTCCAGACCGCGTCACGGGCGTCTTCTACTGCAGCTTCCGTACTCAACGGGTCAATTCCTACAAGGGGAGAAAGCCAGGTAAGAGATGCTTGATGGCAACTATGACCCCGCGTAATCCTACCTATCAGATACCGGTATATGGACGGGCATCCGTAGGAGATGGACCTCTGATACGGTCGCAGGCGGGGCAACCCTTGGGTATAACCGCGATCGCGAAAATTCACTGTCTCCAGGAGATGCGGTGTTTTGTCGCTGGCAATAGGCAGAAAACATGTACCGGCCCAAGGCGCAGGCGCAGATGAGTATCGCGCTTCTGGGTCAGGAATCCGGGGATACCAGAGTGATGATTTGCCATATTAGGGTAGCATAAGCGATTCTTTCCCGCTGATCTTGGCAGGCGCCACAACAGGAATCGACAAGGGTGCGTCCTTCCCAGGACTCTCTGCGTGTCCACCCACGCGCCGATTCATAGACAGCGGGCATTCAAATATTCAGATGCCATATGCGTCAAGATTAGACAAGTGAAGATTGACCTGATTATGGTATCATTTCGACCGATTGTTCATAGTCAAAGAAGTCCGAAAACATGCCTCAGCCAATGTACTGTACCGGGCTTGCGGATGTTATGATGTTGCGCTACGCCGAGTATCGGTAAGTTCTTGAATTTGGATTGGTGGATGCGACCAGGTTCACCCCGATTTGAATTTTGAACGAAAATTGTTAAGCACAATAGCACCAGCATCCGCAACCAAGTTGAGCCCTGCGCACGCACGGACTAGATGTAACTCCAACTAGGAATGACATCTACGCCGGGTGAGAGCCTCTGCTTCTTTTTGATGATTACTGGTGAACCACAACGAATGTTCTCTTTCCGTTTCCGACAGGGATTCCAAGAAGAAGTCGAACCCATCTAAAAGAAACAGTCTCTCGTCTCTCATGGGTCGTTCTTCTGTGGTTCGTTCATTTTTTTTGTCGGTACAAGCCATGGCCTCTTCCTTGCTTGAGCCATCTTTGGCCGCTATCGCGCTCGTCATCTTGCTCGCGTCTGTTTCCCTCTCTCGAAAGAAGCGCCCAGCTGCTCCAGAGCCACAGGGGCTGTCGGTGCTCGGCAATCTTTTCGACATCCCGAAGAGAGCGTCATCCATAATTTACCTCGCCTTAGGAAAGCCGTATAGTATGTCGTCTGCGAACTTGGGGTCAACTGCACTAACATCGATTCTCTGCTTTGCGTAAAGATACGCTCACCAAGAGAGCTGTCTCACAACTTCAGGGTTACACTCCTGGGAGTCACATCGACGCTACTTCCCACTCTCCGCGTGTCTTCCGTCTCCCGAATCTGGAAGAGACATTCTCCGTCTTCCCCGACCATGGCTTGAACCCCAACTACACGTCCGCCCGTACCGACTCCAGAGCATGGATCAATCAGTATACCAAGGTGGTCTGTGGGCCCAAGATGGTCGCCTTCATGAACAACTGCGAATTTGAGCTTTCTAACTCTCACTGCTACCCGTACGCCGGCTACAAAGGACTCAAGGCTACAATGGATCTTGTAAATTGATTCCCCCTTCACATTTGACGATGTATATCTAACGTGCCGCCTACAGACAAATATCCTCTGGCTCTATGACGAGTATACCGATACCGGATCCGGCGCGGAAGCTGTCAAGGCGGCAGGTATTGTTGCTCGCGCTCTGCGAGAGCCAGACTACGATGATGGAACTTGGGTCTGCCGCATGATGAAATCGTAGGATTTAATTTCAATCTTTGAGATATTTTATATACTCACGTCGATAATCCCAGCTTCAAACAAAACCACATTGATAAAGCGGGCCCTGGTGTCGCTCGCCGCTTCATCGACAACTTCTGCAACTACGTTGAAGTTGTCGGTAGAGAAGCAGAGCTTCGAGAAAAGAACGAGGTGCTTGACATCCCCAACTACGTCACTTTCCGTCGTGAGACAAGTGCCGTTCGCACTTGCTTCGACTTGGTGGAATATTGCCTCGATCTTGACCTTCCCCAATACGTGCACGATGATCCTGTCTTCATCAGTGGCTACAACGCAGGCATGGATCTCGTCTTCTGGGCTAACGTACGATTTTTTCTCTCTACTGCGTCTGGGTATAAGCTCATTGCTTAACAGGACCTCGTCTCTTACAACATGGAGCAATCTAAGGGACACAGTGGAGCCAACGTCGTGACCGTGATCATGAAGTCCAAAGGTGTCGATCTTCAAACGGCCGTCGATTTCTTGGGAGGATACTGCGAGGCACTTACCGCACAGCTGCTCGAGGCGAAGCGCATTCTTCAGGCTCGTTCCGATGCTGCTTACTCCAGAGATGTAGTCCGCCTTATGGATGCTTTCGGTGATTGGGTGAGAGGAAACGTTGCGTATGTCCTAATTTCTTGTGATTGCGGCGAGGCAAACGAGCTAATATTGACTTAGGTGGAGCTTTGAGACAGAGAGGTATTTCGGAAAGGAAAACAAGAGAGTCAAGGAGACACTGCTTGTTGAACTCAAGGAGCCGTTCGTTGGTGCACTCGCCTTGAAAGAGTAATTGGGACTACAGTTTTGGATCGCTCAGTTGTACGCCGCGCCTTAGATCATGTTTCATCTGTCATCTGTAAAAAAAATTGTGTTTGAGCCTGCTACCACCCTCCTGCGGGATTGACGCGACGAAGGTCTGAGACTGCGAGGCAGGTTACCACGCCAAACAAACCAGCTATGACGACGAGCCTTGATCTGGTGGGTAAACGAGGAGAAAGCACCCACTTCTCGGAAACGGCGCGACAATACGTTTTCCTGTAAATTCAGGGTGGGTATAAGCACTTGCTGTGACGCATGGTGTGTATAGGCCTTACATCGAATGTTTGAGGAAGGATTTTGACGATCTCGAGGTGAGATGGCCGAGTTTGGTATTGTGGCGCACACTGAACGAATCACCTGCGAAAAAAGTCAAAACGCGCACAATGCCAAAATCCACTGCACTCACGCCTCCGAGATACTCCTCGAAGGTATGGGTAATGGGCCCCTAATAGCGCTGAGAGCGGGGGACGGCGCTCCAAGGACCGAGAGAACTCAGACAGGCACCCTCGCCTCAATCCCGGATTCTCGTTCCACCGCGCAGAACGAACGCCGTCTTTTCCTGGGTGTCAGCTCTAATCAATCCATAAAGGGTCCCACAAGCGACGAAAGATTTTTAGCCTAGTTTTCTCGAAAACTCGGAAGAGTTTACGCGCCTCGCTAGTGTCCTTGACTCTGTCCTGTAAATTGGCATCGATTGGCGCACACGAGTGGATTATGGGGGGTTGGTCCATCCTTCTCCCAACGTACTCCTGATACTCTAGTCATGATTTCTTCCTAGATCTCGTGGACGGTGCTCATCGTCCTCATCCGAAGAAGGTGCCAAGGAAGAGGAAGAGGAGGGCGACGGTGATGGCGACGATGACGAAGAAGATAAAGAGGAGGAAGAGGAGGACCATGAGCGAGCGTCTGCCTTCGATGGATGGATCCTTCTTCTCTCTGTCCCCCCAGAAATTGTTCCTGTTCTGGGGGGTACATGTACACGTCGCCCTAGTGATATCATTAAATACATTGTCCTTGTAGGCAGATGGAAATGGTGAAAGATTTACCTATGTTGGTGTTATTCTCCGCACCACAACTGTCATTCAAGCTTCGTCAAGAGCCTTTAGAAACAGAGACGGTTAAAATTTATATAGTACATATGTGCGCCTCATTCGCCTATTTCATGAAGAACGTACCATATTCCAGCCGTCCAAGTCCTCGAAAGGAGGTTCCTGCTCTTGGCCTACCTCATTCTCCTGTTCTGACATACGGTCTGAACCTGACTATCCCACATAATTACCTTCGTCGGTCTCTTCCTCACTTGAATTTTCGCCGCTGTCCTCGGTCTCGGAGCTCTCATCGTCGCCTCCGTACTGCTCTACCAAGTCTTCGTTGGCGGCCAACCACTTAGTGAATCTCTCGATGTCGGCATTATCTCCGTTTTCCTCATGTATCTTCCTGAGGGTGCGGTAAGAAACATCGGTTCCATTGCTTTTTTTGCAAGGACAGGAGTAACTAACGGGTCGTATGTATACAACGGAGGGTTGGTTGACGAAAAGGGGGCGCGATGCCAGCTCACACGCACTTGTTCTCGTGCACTTCAGGGGAGGCGCGGTGGTCCGCAATTTGCCGGATAGCGACCGATCCGGGCGGATTCCTCCAGATTTGGCCCTGCTTCCCTAGATAGAAGCAGCTCAGCACAGAGCAGCGTTTCGCTGGAGCTCACAGCCTAGTGCAGAGGACGGTCGCCTGCCGTAAAACCTCATGGTGCGAGGCTCAAATGTGAAATTTTACGCTAGCGCACGGATAGAGAGTTAGATGTGAAAGTCGCCGTACCTATGGTTGGACGTACGTTAATATTCACACTTGTTCTGCCGCCTATCTGAGTCTGCTGTGAATGTTCACGTTCGGCGGCAGACACACGGTACACTTAAGTCCTCACGACATGGCTGAATTCCAGCCAAGAGGTAAAAATCTCCGCTGGCCTTTAATGGTCAGTCGTAAGGATTCACGTTGAGGTTCCCCGGTCGAGAGAGGACCGCAATCTATTACAATAAATAGAGGACACCATAAGCTGATATTCGAGTGTAGAAGAAAATATTGGGACACGTAGGACTCTTGGGTTTGCTGTAGAAGCACGGGTCCTAGATATTCAGTCATGCGCCGGGTCAAGAAGCCGGAGGGGAGGAAGTACAATGGCGACAGAGAGAACTAAGTGATGTAAGCACTGAAAAATACACGTCAAATAGATTAGTCCTCCAGATATCGACCAATCTGTACGCTCTCCATGGCAGTCTTGGGCGATCGCATGAGTGCGTTTTCGATGACGAGTGGCGTCTATGTGGACCCAGTACGAGGCGAGACTACGGAGAGGCGGCGGGGCGTGGGAGAGAGATCAACATCCGACAATGCCTGAGGTGGCGCTGAGGAGGTTATGGACGAATAGACGGGCGAGGGCGGTGAGGTGTCGGGCAGACATGGGTGGTTGCAGGCGGCGGTGGTATGCCTGATAGCGGGCGTGTTTATAATATTACTAGTCCTCTGATTTTTTTCAGGTCCTTTCTCCTCTGTGTCTGCCCTTCGGTGCAGGCGTTTGCCGATAGCGAATCTTGAGATCTATATTTAGATGCTATCAACCTCCTGTGGCTGTGCCAATCACCGATAGTGTTGGCCGCACATGGGGTCCATATCTGGTGATCTGCACGACGTTCCCTCTCATCGGATGTAATCTCAAGGGCTTTACGTGGGGAGCATATATGGTCAGCTCCTCTTCTCATTTGGTCCGCCCAAGAGGGACGGGCAACCAGTATTATACAAAATTTCGCTCGTATACTTCCAATCTTAAAAGTTATCCCAGGCGATGTTGAACGGGGCCGCGCATGAATGTGGTATGGATCTCGCTCTCATGAACACGAGGGATGCCGAATGTGGAAACAGCGGTATTCTTCGAATTCGGAAATCGGTCAGTTATGTATATGTCTCAAGAGAGGGCGATTGTCCACACAAAGGCTTTTATCTCGATCTAGAATCGCCTTCGCATCAGGAATATGGAGAGATGTGCATGACGAGAAGGAAAGATGGGAAAATTACATGTTACATAGTCTTTATATGCAATTTTTAATCTTTTCTATGAAAGAGTAATAGGCTGCGTTAGATACTTGCGTCTGGTATGAGGAGTCTGCTACTAGTATGCAGGGCAATCCATCAGCTCTTATGGAGTGCGAATTCTCTCGTTTGATTACCATGTAAAGTCCAACGCAATATTCTGCACTGAAATGTGTTTTATAGGTTTGGTATTTATTGTATGACACTATCTCAACCGAAATGTTACGTTTGGGAGCTTAACGCTGGATTTTTACCGCTCCTTGCCTGAATCTTTTAGTTTTGAGGCTCATATAACAGGTGACTTCCTTTATGGCGAACGTTGAATTTCACACTTCCCTGTCCTGTACGGCGAACGTGGAAATTTACGATCCAGCATGATCGTGTGAATGATGCGCCCGATCATGGCTTCCCTTTCAGGCTCCGGCGCTAAATGACATAAGTACACGTGGCCAGGGTAGCACAGCCATTGGCGGGATCAAATTAGTTATTTTTGGCATTTGTGAGTTTTATGTGGGGCAAGGCGATCTTGCAAATTCTGCGTGGTAAATCTGCCGGAACTTATTCAAGACGAAGTCAGCTCGACTGATAAGTTATTCTGGGACCATCATCTATCAACACAGCCCACGCTGCCAATTCATCGTCAATGTTCCGACTTCCCTTTCGTCCTCATCGTGCTTTCGCGATTACGGCCTTGGCTCGGAACGTGAAGGCGAACATATCCAAATATACGTGCTGCCGTGGGGGCAATTGAAGGCGTTGTCGCCGTGTTCCCCCACTTGCGAGCCCCCACTAAAGCCGTTAAGCTTGGAATGTACGATCATTTCGTGCCAGAATCAACACACCTGCATATAGTACCGTAAGTGGTAGCATCGTGACGAAGAAACAACAGGACGTACCAGTAACATTGTAAGTATCATATTGATTAAAGATCCTCATGAGCAAGGAGTTGAGGTTGGGCATTGACAGATTGCTCAAGCAAATCTCTTCCGTCCAGGTTTCAGTCCGGCCGTCAGGTTTGAGGGTGGTATTGTTGGTGCTGATAGACAAGATGGAGTCATCCAGCAAGAGGCCCATCGGGCTTCCGGCAACTACTACAGTGAACATTGTAGCCACGGCAGCAGACGAGTTTCTTACTTGGGACAGAACAACTTGTGCCACGATGTCTGAAGGATGGAACGTTACTGTCGAGATTCGGCGTCTATGAGAAAGCAAGCAAATCAAATACAATCCACGCTCACTCGTTGATACTATTCGAACTGGCGTAGGCGTCTTTCCATTGAGGAGTCCCTTTCGAGCCGAAGATATGGCTTTGCTCTTGCAAGCCATTGCGAGCCAGATGCAGGAGGTGACGAGAGAAGTTCTACATATGCCACACCATCATCACGATGATCTTCAAGATTTTCGATCCAAGTGAATCCTCCTAGGGATATCCTTGCGCCTCGCAGGAAGATGCAGGAGGAAGCACGGTCTGATTCATTAATTTTAAGCTTGCTGACCAGTTTGAGTTGCAGAAACTGTTCGGTCTCCATCTCCCGTCGTTGAGAACCACTCTCATGGTTCCACCTGTGTGATGGATCACTGGCGGACAGGTCGCTACACGCCAGTTTGCCGTTTTATCGACGCCGGTGACGACGTAGATAGTGCCGTTTTTGGGGCCAGAACCAACGTAGTCATTGAAGAATTGGTACCATTCTATTGCATTTTCTATCGCGTGCGCGTGAATTCTATCCGTGGAGACAAGATCTTCACGAGAACTTAGTGCTCGAAGGAAGTATCAGAATAGCACCTTCTCGGGCTGTGGGTGGTGCTTCAGCAGTAATATTCCTGCATGAGAGGAAAAGGAGATCAGAGGCTCGTAAAACAATATCCACGCGACGTACAAAGGAGACGTCGAGCGCCGTCTCACGCGAATATGTCTTGACTATGTAGGACACTCCCAGGCTGAAAGAAACCAGGCTGTCTCCGGATTTCAGAAGCATGAAGAGCCTTCAGCGGAGTGGAGTTCGAGGTAACCTTCGGCCTCGATGAAGGGGGTGGTCGGCCGGCAAGAAGATGTTGAATGAGAAAGAGAAGTAACCGTCTGCACAGAGTTCCCCTATGTCGCCAATAGCCACAACATCGGGATATATGACAGGATCACATCCAGGGTTCAAGTTCGACATCGGAAATCCATGTCCAAGTCCAAGAAGAGAACGAGTGTAGATATAGGAATCGATGGTAGTGTCGCAACAGAGCCAAAGTACGGAAAGCGGATACGTGGTCAGGCTCATGCGGTGAGAATGGTGGACGGATAATCTCTAAAACGAGACTCGAGAGCATAAGTGTGTTAGGGTGGTGAACATGTTTGAAAGGATTGACATACTCGGGTAAACTGCCTCCATCTGGTCCAATTGACCCAGGTATTGTTGAGTCCAGACTGTAGAGCCGTCTTTCACTGCAATTCTTGCTATATTGTCCTCATGTGCGAATGAAGGTGAGAGACAGCTCGGGGGATCCTGGTTTGTCCAACGAACAAGGAGCTGGGGTTACGTCATCCGTTTTGTGCTTGCCAAGCGTCTCAGTGGTTCGCCCAAGTTTTCGATTTCAATGATTTCCTAACTTCATCGTCGTTTAAAGAGAATACAGGTGATATCGAGTAATTAAATCCGGGAATAAAGCAAAAATATACAATATGTGGACTACTGTTGGGCCCCAACATGGGGAGGAACACCTGCCGTCGACCCGGTGCTAGAATCTGTCACCTCCTTGCCTTGATCAAGCTTTGAGGAAATCTTCGCTAGGACGTCTAGAGTGAATTTCAAGCCCTCCCAAGTTGTCTTGTAAAGCTGGGAATTCTTCTCTTGAACGATCATCTCGACGTCCTTTCGCACCTCGCCCATCAAAGGCATCATGCTTTCCCGCAGAGATTCTACGAGCCGTTCCTCGAGCGACTCCAGAATCGAGGGATGGAATTTAGGAGTTGCGGGTGGGGATGGAGGACGCGAGGTGTATGCCTTGAGGGCAGCTTCGAGCGTCTGGATTGCGCTTGTGTTCGCCTGACGGGCGTTGGAAAAGTCCAGGAGACGTTGCTCCACCTGTCGTAAGGATAAATAGATGGACCTCATGGTGAATTGAAGAAAAACAGACCTGTAACACCCTGTTGTAGCTCTCCTGTCGCTCCTTCATCTTCTCCGCCAACACAGCCTCCAGATCGCTGACTTTGATCAACATGCTGCTCATCTCCTCCGCCAGCTCTCCTACTTGCTCACCCATGAGCTCAGTATCCTGCGAAGCTGCCTCGATCCGGGAATTCCAAGCTTGTTCGGCCTCCTTCTGCGGCGCTTCCCTCTCCTCCCTCTCTTTGGCAAGCCTGGCATGGAGATCGTCCAGTCGTGCCTCCAGTGCAACTTGGAGTTCATCTTGCATGTCCCGGTCGTGCTCTGTGAGGTCGTTCTGTAAGGTCGCGGTTGCACTTTCGAGCCGCACGAGACGGTCAAGAAGTTTGTCCAGGTCCTCGCGCGTTGGCAATTCAGTTTCGCCGTCAACATCGTCCGTTGTGCGGCGTCGTTTACGGCTGCTGGCGGGCTTGGACGGGCCTGCATCGGCGGCAGCTGGTCGGTCAACGTCCATCCCATCTTCACCGTCCTCCTCAGGTTCAATTGGAAGGGTTGGGGGTGGTTTTAATGTCGTGATGCTCCCAAGTTCGCGTTGCATGGCCTTGACCGTGGTGTTCAGCTCATCGATATATCTCACAATCTCCTTGTGGTCTTCTCTCGCCTGTTCTTCGAGGTCCTCATTTGGGTCAGGGACAGGCGCAACAGGCCATGGGTCCGAAATGCGCAGTTTCTCCATGACTTCCTCATATTTGGCCGTCTCTATTTTGACATCATCCTTCATGTCATCAAGCTGCTGTTCGAGACGCGTTCTTTCAGCGACGGGCAATGACGTGAAAAAGGCGCTGTTGACGATGCCTTCCGCACGCTGGACCTCTGCCTCAAGATCCTGGCGGCGTTGACGAGATAGGACTGCATCTGCAAGAAGTCTAGGAAGAGTGTAAGCTATGTCGATCTCCAGAGACAGCATGAAAGACATGCCTCGTCCTCTCTTCCCATACTGCACGCTTCTTCTCAACCTCGTGCTGTTTGTCCTCCTCACTGACTTCTACTGTCGCGTCATGCGACAAAACCTTGGGTGGGGCGGGAACTGGCCATGGTGGTTGGAGAGGCGCCGAACCGTCGGGTGGAGGAGGGTGCACGGGCGACTCAGGCTTGTAGATAGGTGTGATGGGTGTTGGAGGTACTGAGGACGCTTCAGTGACGTGGATAGGACGTGTCGAAGGTCCAGGATCAAGGGCCATAGAGGCGCGTGGCGGGAGGGTTGCCGGCATCTTCGCGTCCTCTACATTTGATGTACTAGGTGGTGCCGGGAGAACTGGAGGACTATGGTCAGGAGCTGGTGGAGATATGTTCATCGCATTTCGAGTAATTGTGGGCGTCGTAAGTGGTGACTGAGCTAATTTGGTTGCATTGTTGTTATTGCTCTCTGCAACAGCAACAGCCGAGACTGTGTCGACGCGCATCCTTTCCAACAGGTTGGACTTCAACGAGTGGCTGGGTTGGTTCGACGGTACACTGTGCTCTCTTTCTCGGCGTCCGGGGGAGTACGAGCGCCTGGATGACGCTATCGAGGATGACCGTCTGCGACCACGATGCGAAGCGCCCGTTGGACTCCTGTGAGAGCTTCCCCAATCCGATCGAGTGTTTTGACGCCGTTCAAAAGAGTCGTCCTTGTGATGGCCTTTGAATCCCTTGTAGTAGGGGGAGATTACCGCGTCGTCCCAGTCTGCGTCCTCTGGATGGACAAACTTGCAGGATGTGAAGCGTTTGCATCCACCATTTTTTGGCCTGCCATTTGAATCGAAGTGCTATCAGAAAAGCCAAATGGACACCCGCCGTTCCAATCACAGGAGGTGCCGTAAATTGAATGGGTTAGCATAAAAGGTTGGGTTACGAGGGAAATTACAGGGCGTACAAAGCATCGCACATTGCTGCGATATGATTTCTGAAATCCTGCCATGGGGTATCTGCTAGAAAACCAAGGATTTTCGGGGTGGCGGGACAATAGCAGTAACACCGGCGTAATAGAATGTTAGATATAGATGTGGCTGTGCAACTCATTACAGTTTCACCCGACAACAAAGGTCCTGGATAATGCTCCAGAAAATAGAATTATTATGCATGAGCTACGGTAGGTGTGGAAAGAGATCGGACTGTGTTAGCATCAAAAAAATTATACCACCTCTTCTACCCGTGGCGCGTTCAACACACCCCTGCCATAGGCCAACGCGATCGTCTCAAAACCGCTCTCTTGCACCTCCGACAGGAAGACCTCGTGCTGATCAGCGAGACTGAGATTGTTCTGGCGGATCTCGCGGATGACGGCATGCTCTCGAGCGCAGTCGGGGCACTCAGTCTCATTCTCAGCGATACACCTACACGTCGGTGTCAGTAAACCTGCAGTTAAGTAGTGAAAGGACTAGACGGACCGCTGATGATACGAATGGTTGCACATGAAATGCACGCTCGGAAGATCCAACTGCCCAAGACACCGTGTACACCGTGTAACATGGAACACTCTTGGCTCTTCTGTGTTCGTCAAGTCAGCGACCTGCTTGAGTTTCGTTGCCGACTCTAGTCGATACGAGTTCGTGAGGTTCTGGTCCTAACAAGGCATAGCATCGTCAACAAATGCAACATCGAAACAACAAAGGCGCATACATTCAGGATCTCAATCCGACTCTCCTTGATCCTCTTGATCAGCCACTCTTTCACAAGACCCACACTAGCGACCCCATTCCTGCTCAACACCTGAATGACGCCTAGTGGTGGTATCAACCCCTCCTCATCGATGTACTCCAAGATGCCCTTCAGGTCCTCCTGGTGCCGGTTCAACAGCTCCGGTGTGCTCGTCAAGAATCTCAGCACGAGGGGGTAAAGGTGTGGATGTTCAGGACCATAGTTCATTAAGTGCTCAAGGACCTTCGTAGAGGCACCAGGCGTGTTGCCCTCCTTCTCTTTGTCCATCCAGAATCGAAGGACGTCTTCGTACATGCCCATCTTCTCCCACAGCAGCACGAGACCTTGGGTGAATCCATGTGTAGAACAGAGGATCAGTGCATGTGTCGTGTCGTAGGGTATCGTCGAACTGCGTAGGACACGCGAAGCCTTATCTCGCATCGTCCGCTTGTCGAACTTCTTCGATGAGGCGTTCTCCTTCCCTTTGGTTTCCTTTCCGTTGACCTCTGGCTGGGCCTTGCCTGGCAAAGTCAGGTAAAGCTCGAGCAGGGTATTCCACACTGCGACTTGGTCCATCTTATCTATCGCCGCCTCGTCTTCAGGTAACTCCACTTCATCGTTCAAGTTGACGCTTTCTGCTCTCGTTGAGTACGTGGTAATCGGCCCTCCAGGCTGTTGGTCTTCCACGCTCTGCGCCCACCGCCTGCTGGCGACCGTCTCAAGGAACACGACGAACTGCTCCATGTGGTCCACGAAATGAGGAAAATATATCCGTGGTGATAGACGTTTAGGCTTTGGCTCGGGTTGAACGAACGCACTCGTTGTTCCGGCTGTGCCTGGGGGCAGTCCACTGGGTGGTTGACCACCCCTCGTTCCAACGAGTGACGATGCAGTTTGTGGTGGTGGTGTTGATCTCGACGTTGAGGGCTCGTCGTACGAAACAGATTCACCGCGTCTTGTCGATGCATTGTCTGCTCGTACAGTCTTGATAGATGGAGAGGGTGGGGTGGCGGTCTCTGAGGAGACCACTGTTGCAGCTGTCGAGCCACGGTTCAGAGCGAGATAGGAGAGATACGAGGGCGCTGGGGCAGCTGGTTTTGAGCTGGATCCATTCGCTACAGCGGATGAAGGGATGTCGGTAGGTTCTTCTGTTAGGAGTGGGCCAGTTGATGTGCATAGATCGATGAGGAGCTGCGTCGTCTCAACGGGTAGGCTATCAAGCATAGCCCGACCATATCTGGCAAGGTTGCTCTCTGCCTGAGACCAACATTTCTTGAGCACAACGTCACTCAGCAAAGCAAATACCCTTACCGCCTGAGGACCCAACTTCCTGAGATATGCTAACGCATCCGCAAACCTGCCAGCATCCTCGATCTGTATCCGCAGATAATCCTCATGTCGCTCGTACTTCTTCGCCAGATACGACGCATGTTCGAAGTATCCTGCCTGTCTGCACACGCGGATCGCCGTCTCCAGGTCAAAGGGTAACTCGTCGCCATTAGCTGAGCCGCGTTTCGACTCAGTCTTGATAAAGCTGTCGAGCCGCGAGACGTCTTTCAGTTTAGTGTACGTGTTTAGCAAGAGGGTTGTGTGGTCGGCATTGGCGAGTCCTAAGGAATGAAGTTCTTGGAGGTAGGTGACAAGGTTATGGATTCGCTGTGCATCAAGGTACTATAGGAAGGCGATGTCAATAAGGGTAATAACGAGAAATAGCATTTGTTACCTTCCGAATCACATAACTGGGTTGAAGATGTCCAATAGTCTGAACATACTGCTGCATTGCGCCGTCATAGTCGCCTTTCGTGTACAATTGGTCTCCGTATTGTCGATGAATGTCAGCAACACTAGCATCGTCCAATTTCTGGGTAGCCGCCAAGCTAAGAGCAAGTGTGTAAAGCGACTTGCGGTAGAGCATCTCGAGCTTCGCTGCCGTCGACTTTTCCTGCAGGCAGATCAGCTATAAAGAAGGTTGTGTCAGAGGCATCAAATGGAGGAGGGAAAATTCCAACGTACATGCCCATCACTGGAGAGGACGTATATGTTGCCCCACTGCGAAATCACCTCCCGAACGCCTTGCTTGAAGATGCCAGTGTATGCTACCAACTTGTTCTCCGGATCGAAGACCGTAACCTTCGTCACATCGGTCTCTGTGACGTTAGGCATTCGCGCGACAAGGTTCCGGACTGTGGCAGAATGTGAGGTTCCAGTGGGGAAGAAAGGTGGCGAGACGATGACAAGATATGTTGAATGTGAGTGGATAGATGATTTATGGCCTAAGGAGAGGCAGCGAGTGAGGGATTCTTTTCAAGAGAACGTCCAAGCTATAGACGGCACGTACCTTCGTAAGCATAACATGGTCCTCGACCTTCAACCCCACATAGGTATACCGCCTCATCTCGAGCAACGACAACATTCTTCGCCTTCAAATCCATCGTTGCACATCCAAGACCGGCACCAATCTCGTCCACCACTGTTGCAGTGCCGCCACTCCCTCGTCCAGCAGCTTGGTACGAGAGAACATGGTTGGTCGTTACAATGAAGAGGTATGTGTTTAGTGAATCTTCTGTGGGTTCGTGGAAGCCAAGGCCTGTTATTGGCTCGGTAGGCGATTCGTGGACAGTGCGGACTTTTGGTAGGGCTGTGAGGGATGTTGAAGAAGCGAGAGATTGGTCGAGGTGTCGGTAGAGAACGACGGTGCCATCTCCTAGACCAACAGCTAGGTGGGCTAGCGTAGCAGAGAGGGCGACCGTTGTAACCTTGGGATGTAATTTAGACAGATTCGAGTCCTTGAGAAAGAGACGTACTGGATGTGGCCTATTGGTGAGTTGGACTTTGGTCGACCTCAGCAGGGTTGGCGTGTTCGTCTTGTCTTTGTTTTCCAGATCCCATATTTTGAGCAACGGAGACCTCACAGCGTCTTCTTCCTGTCAACATGTCAGCAAGCTCGTCGACCAAACTGGATGAAAGACATGACCCACGCCCAAAGTTATCAGCACCCCGCGTCTCTCAGCCATGTGCGTCACTCTGCCGCCAACATGAGCTACCCAGCTGCTTATAGATTCGAATTCCCGGTTCAGGAGGTAGATGCTTCCGTGTATGTCTGCGACTAGAACGCCAAAAGAAGATGCTATAACCGTAGATATCTCTGGGGTCGACTGCAAGGTACTTGTAAGCAGAGCAAAATCGAGCAAAATATGGACCCCACCTTGAATACATCCGGAGTACTATCCAAGTCATGGATGTCCTTGACTGTTACAGCATCGAAGAACGTGAATTGTCGCCACTATTCGAGTTCGGAGTCGCGTCGTTAACACGTGGAGTAGGTGCTCCTAAGTCCGAAAGCTTACAGGAGGTGGTGCGCCAGATGCTCCTGCTTCAGCAGAGCTTGCCGCGTTCGCCGCCAGGACGCCCAAGTTGGAAGACATTGTTCAGGTGCCTATAGCCGCGTTGGGACTCTTGGACGAGAATTCCTCTCGATTTCAAGAAGACCAAGTGCTCTTGGTGAGCCACTGAAGATTTGGGAGCTTGTAACACTCGCAAGGAAGAGAAAATGAGAAATCCAGGGAAGCCCTGGCGTAATAAGAGTAGCAAAGTGACTGCAGGTCGAACGAGCAGCAGAGACACGGCAATCATGAAGCAGTAGGTCCGAAAAGGCAGGTCCTTCCCACGAACATCCTCCAGCACAGTCGGTGCAAACGGTCCCGCCCGACACATTCAAGTTTCGACCACATCTCCCTTCACCGACCACCTACAGTAAGTTTCCTTACTTTATGGCAGCCAACACCGGCCTTACTTAACGACTTACAGACATATCTAAAACGAAAATGGCGTTCTTTGGATTGCGTAAATGGCCAACACCTGTACTTTTTCGCCCTTCAACGCGTGAGCGGTGCAAAAGCTAATTGAGCTTTCACAGATTCTCAAGCCCTTGTGGCCCTTCATGGTTGCTGGCACACTTACCACGTACTTGGTCGCGAAGGCTCAGGACTCTGGAGTGAGATGTACGTGGCTAACCTTTTGTTTGAGAACCGTGTTCTGACCTTGAAGGTGCACTCTAACAGCTGTGGAATGGCGTAACGATCCCCGCAACCCTTACGCTGCCCAGCTCGCAAAGGAGTCTTTACACTAGATGGCATGTACCCTTGATTGAAGGACGCGCAATAGAAGCAGGAGCTGTTACCTTTTCCACCATCCCACCTGGCAGAGTGAACCCGCTCGGAATCAGAGGCATCGGCGTCCCTCCACTTCTCTTTACCTCCAGCTGCATCTTAAAACTCGGATGGTTTGGAATTAATTTTTGGCGCAGTGAATCTAGTTCTTCTTTTCCATCCAGTTGCTCAGCTTTCTTAGGCTGCTGCTATGTCTTTAGTGCGGGGCGCTGCAACTAGGCTTGTTTGTCCAAGAGCTTTTTCAAATTTTGCTCCCAAATCCATTGATTGAAGTGAGGCAGAGATTCAGGGAAGTCCGCGATAAATTTAGTCGTGCCTCATGACAGGATGGAATTGGGTTAGAATTCTGAATACATCTCGGACAGAACAAGAAACTTTACGGAACAATATCCTATACAATCCTGGGTCGAAGAGGTAATCATTTTTGTTGAGAATATGGCAGGAAGCTAAAGACGGACAAGGAGTTGACGGCGCTACCATGCGTTCCTGGCCCTTGTCAAGACAAGTCGCAAAATCCTGCATTGGTTCATGTAGTGACTATGAACCTTTGGTCCAACGACTGGTGTGGTGAAGGCAAGGAGGCAAGGCCGGATAGGACTCTGCGCTGCGACGTCCTGCTTTATGCTTCTTACGTCTTGTGCACGAGTGTCCGACCAGCATGCTAATTATGTGGAGCAACGTCAACAACTCCGAAGACTCTTGCAGCATGCTAGCAACTTTGGACCTCCATGAACCGAGGGACCCCTGGAAACAATCCCGATAATCTAAATTGAAGGAGGGGCAGAGCTTACGCACTTATTCTTATTCTAGCTTCCAAGAGAGCATATATTTACGAGGGTCTCTCACGCACCACATCTACGACGGCGTCCAGATTATGGATGACAGGAACACCTATTAGGTCTTCGTCTTCGTCTTGGCCTCTATGCGCACGTTCTCCTTCAACACCATGTCGGCGCAGTAACAAGGCTTCGAAACCTGCGCCTGTGGCACCCTTATAGTCGCTACAATCAAAATATTAATCAACGAGGAGTTACAGGCCGACACCCGGAACACTTACCAGACCAACTCGTCTCCTACGTGAAGACACTCAGCAGGTTGGATATACTTTTTGGGTGATATTGTTGCGTTGACGGCGTCTAATGCTTTCATGAAGATTTCAGGAGAAGGTTTCTCAACACCTTCCACGTCACTGAGGATGATTGAGTTAAGTGTGTCGGGAAACCCGAGGGATGTCAGGGCGGAGCCTACGGGGAAAGTAGGTCAGTTTACGGACGTAAGACATACTATAGAGGAATTACAGACGTATGCGAAAATCTCCATTGCTAATGACAGCCGTTCGAACTCCTAGCTCGTCGTTGAGTCGATGGACTGGTTGAAACCTTGACGCGTTAAGGCCTTGAAAAGCGAAGGATGAGTGTACGGACTAACTTGTGGGAATGGCATCGTCGAAGGCCTTGTACCCTTCTTTGCTACTGAATCGTTCCATGAGGCGAGGCAGTATCTCGGACAGCGACACGTCCAATGCTAAAAGACGACATGCAAATGAGCAAATCGTTGCAATGAAAGTACAGGGGAGAGTACCTTGCTGGTTAGCTCCTGCTCCGAGAGCCGTCCTCCGAATGATATCTCGCCACTTCTCTTCCGAGCCTCTAGGATTAGAGGAGTCTTCCCTTTCGATTACCTTCCATGCTGTCCAACCCCATCAACGTCAACAACCAGCGCCCTTGAACCATGGCGATCGCTCACCCTCTTTGAAGGACATTTGGATGGCTTCGGGCTGCAACACGCCTACGTATGGCGCAAATACTTGCGAATACTGCACGTGAACGGGATAGCGGAGGGTTATGAGTGTGTAGAGGGCGTCGAATGTGACCAGACGGATTGGAGACATGGAGGAAGGTAAGAGAGGAGAAAGTGTGCGGCCCGGAAGAGCCGGTGTTGGGTTGACGAAATTGGACTCGAGGAAACTTCTTTCATGATTACCTTCACCTCCAAAACTTGCGCTCGTCGTGCAATCCGTCATTATTTTTCACGTCGTATCAGCCAGCAGAATTTTCACCATGTACCACAGAAAGGGGACAAAGGTGAGCTTGTGAACAGTGCACGTCATTCATTTCTGACCGAAACATTAGTTGTGGTCGGAATGTCGGGCGGGGTAGATTCCTCCGTATCTGCTATGCTGCTCGCAAAGGAGGTCCGTGTACACCAACTGACTCCACATGGAACTGCTCCAATTGAAGCATAGGACTACGACTTATCCGCCGTCTACATGCGAAATTGGGATACAAGAGACGAATCTGGAACGGACAAGGGTTGCGAATGGGAGAAGGACTGGGAGGATGTCCAACGCGTCTGCAAGAAGCTAGATATACCGTGCGAGCTGGTACGTCTCTAAGCCGTCATCGACTTCTTCTGTTGATGAACCACCACCCCCCTCTAGATTGACCTCTCGCGAGAATACTGGAATCGTGTCTTCGAACCTTCATTACGGCAATGGGAGCAGGGAGTCAGTCCGAACCCCGACGTTTGGTGCAACAAGTCAGCATTCTCTCAAGATCTCCGGATTCCACGCTAAGCCAATCGCCTCAGGGAGATCAAATTCGGTGCTTTGCTAGACAGCCTACCGCTGAAACGGCGCGAAAATGCGTGGTTTGCCACAGGTATGACCCTTTCCATCGATTTATTTATCGCTGCTCACAATTCAGCAGGCCATTACGCGTCAAAATCTTGGTCAGAGTCACCAAACCCGCGGCCGAAGCTGCTTCGCCCTGTGGATCGGAATAAGGATCAAACCTACTTCCTTTCTGCTATCTCAGAGTCTGGTCTGAGGAAAGCTCTCTTCCCTCTCGAACGTCTCACGAAGCCTGAAGTGAGAGAGCTTGCAAAACAGCATGAGTTTTCCACAGCGGAGCGCCCTGACAGTGTCGGGATCTGCTTTGTGGGTGAGAAGACAAGATTTAACCAATTCCTTTGTGCATCTACGATCATTCACGTAATTTTGTTGTCTTTCTCATGGACATTATCATAGCTTCGTATATCCCTCCAAATCCTGGGCCAATTGTCAACAAGCTGACCGGCAAGGTTATTGGGGAACACTCCGGGCTCTGGAATTTTACAATTGGTCAAAATGCCCGCATTCCTGGTATGCCAGAGAGAATGTTCGTCGCCTCGAAGGATACATCGACAAACACGATATATCTTGTCCCTGGAAGGTAGGTGATGCAGCCTTGTGTCAAAATTCGTACACTCAAGGACGTGTGTATTCCTATAGCACCCACGAATCTTTGTTTAGTCGCGTTCTTCACGTACCCGAATTTGCTTGGATATGGCGTGACTCTCCGCCTCGAGCGATAGAGCAGCCAGAAGGCTCTCGCTTGTCTCTCATGCATCGATATCGTATGGATCATGTTCCATGCACAGTCAGCAAGTATGTACATTCTGTTCTCCCGTGTTCCCTCTCTCATGTGTCTTCTATGAGGGAGAACAATGTTTTGGCGATCAGGTGCGACCACCAGCAGCATGCTATTACTCCTGGACAGGTTGCAGCCTTGTGGGATGGCGACTGGTGCCTTGGGTCTGGAGTTATCAGCGAGACTTCATGACCATAGTGGATAGCCCTCTCCTTCTGGTGTCTCTATGTTCTCATGCGCATGCTGTATCTGAATATAGACACATTTAAGCTCAGTGTTTTTCTGTGTATACTTCGATACGAGGTACGCAATGCCCGCCGCCCCGCAATAGGCACTCACGTGAATTACGTCACGCGCGCTTCGAAGATGGCACAGCCAAATACGAACAAGCGCGTCTGTTTGTTTCCCACGCACGGAAGTCGCCCACAGCAGTGCGCCACCGCCAGGGTTGCCATCGGCGGAACAGTCCCCAAGAACATCATGCCAACCTCCGCCCGCAAGAGTAGTCTAGGCGGCGCCAGACGCGGTCCCCAGAAGGCTCATATCCCCTATCGTGGCGACAACCCCGAAGTTGGCAAGAAGACCGGCATTGCCGTACAGCACGTTGAGCCCAAGTCGGATGGATTTGAGCCGTTTGAGGAGGTCATCCAACAGGCGGACGGACGAACACCCCCTCGACCTAAACGACGGAAGAAGAGCACAGCTACACCCCGTCGAGACGATTACTACGAGGACGAGGACGGAGAGCAGTCTATGGATGTGGACAGTGCGTCGCAATACTAATCAGTTGATAATTCCTCGCTCATGTACGCCATAGGTCCTGTTCAGCACCTCATAAACATGAGACCACCCTCTACGCCTACCACAGCTGGGCGAAATCGTTCGTCAGGACGACCTGTGGCACGCACCTCAGAAGTCGACTTCGACGAGATTCCTTCGCCGCGACCACTTGCTTCCTCTCAAAGGACAATGAAAAATGGTGGCCCAGGACCCTCCAACCTCTCAAGATCGACACGCGCTCGTGAGCCCGAGTCGGAATCTGAGTCGCCGGATGAAGGCCCAGGGGACTATGGAGGCGGAGACTACGGAGACTTCGACGACTATGGACCTCAGGAGAACTCTCCTGAGCAGCAATCACCCAGAAGAACGAGTTTCGGTCAGATAGAGGAAGACGACGAAGAACCGGAGGAAGAGGAACCAAAGCAAACACCGAAAGGTAAAGGGCGACACGATAAGGGCAAGAGACGAGCGGAGAGAGAACCTTCGGAGGAGCATGAAGAAGAGGAAGTAGAAGATGAAATTGCACAGGGATTGGAGGATGTGGGCTTGGGAGCTGACACTGACGAGGAAGAAGAGACAACACCAAAGCCACCGCCCAGGAAGGTAAAGGTAGACGAGAAACCGAAGAGGACATCTCCCCGTAAAACCCAGAGTCAATCCAAGAAGGAGAACAAGCGTAAGTAGTGGGTCTTCTTTATGTCGATCTCGCTCTCACTCTCATGGTACAGCGATCAGAGAGGGTGTGCGGAGAAGCCGAAGAGAGCATATTCCTCCCCTCGAATACTGGCGCGGGGAAAGATATATCTATGGCCGATCTACAAACTCAGGGGCTATCCTCGTTCCCCAGATCAAGGAGATTGTCCGAATACCCAAGGAGCCTCCAATCAGTCTAGGCACGAAGCGGAAACGTGGGTCGACTCGTCCAAGGAGTAAGAGCAGAGGGCGTGATCATTCCGAGGATCACATCCCCCCTGCTCTTCCTGTCGCCAACCCAGAGGAGGGGTGGGACGACGACACTCAGGCGAAGTGCATGGTCCTTCATTACACTTCGAAGGAGGAGATCGAAAGACGTGAGTTCTGCCCTCCTACCCTTTTCTTCATTCTGATGCATGGCCTATAGGAATTGCTTGGACGGCGAAGATGGTTGAACCGCGAATGGCAGCGAATAACAATTGGTCGTTCGATAAAATCTTCGGAGACGACGAGTTTATCGCTGCCGGTCAGCTCATTATCCCACCTCGCGGCCGTAAGCCAAGTAAAGCGGCGAAAGACAACACATATGTCTGTTTCAAAATTTCCTATCATTTGGTTAAAAGCTGACTTGGACTTCAGATATTCTACGTCATCGAAGGTGCGGTTAACTTGAAGATCCACGAAACATCCATGATCCTTGCAACGGGTGGAATGTTTATGGTTCCTCGAGGTGAGTGTATGCTGCATCTTCCCTCAACTTGTGGCTCAAGATGTGATACAGGCAATACATACTTCATCGAGAATATCTGTCAGCGAGATGCCAAGCTATTCTTCACACAAGCACGCAAAGTCGAAATGAACGCCGAGGAGCTGGCGGCGAAGCAGCACCATGTTGCCGAGACACAGAAACGCCAGAACGCCATCGAGACGCAAAGGCGCAAGTCAGCTGTTCGCTCATCAAGTGTGGGTGCAAACGTGTCGGTTGCACGCACACCTCCGTCGCAGCCACTTGGACGAGCAGCATCGATGGCAGCTTTCCCTACTTCGAGGAAGCCTTGACCGTTTATTTAAGGGCAGGTTTTACTTTTCGTTCCATTATCCACTATGGGTCATTCAACTCTTTGTACCGCTTTAGTTCATTCAATATACAAGCATTGTTCCGCCTTACTCAAGCTATAAATATAGTTCACTTGTTGCTCATCCTCATATCCTCTCTGATTCAGGCCAGTCGCGCAAAGAACGACTGCGGTGATAGTTATACAGCTGTCGATATAACATGCATCGTTGGTGATCACAACTTGAAGGGAGGATCGGATGGCTCACCGAATCGTGGACACCAGAACGCATATTACGGAGGCTGATTTCGTCCTCAATCACGGTGTAAGATGTAACTACGGGCTTGACAATGATTTCTTTTGTCCCATCGTCTCCTTCGCAGGTTATTCCCAAAGAGCTGGTCCCGGCAACACGGTTCGCCTCGCCAGGATTCGTAGAACGGAGTAACCGGACCCAACCGGGCACTCGCTGCAACGGCGCTTCGTCCATGCGTTCTGGCTTGAAGACCGTATTTGGAACCGGCATAGTGAGCTTTATGTTACCGTGGAGGTCTCGCTCCGCCAAAGCGCGGCGGAGGTCATACGCAGACTTAATCAGTCGGCGGAGCGTACCAGGCGCAGAGTCTTCGGATTGGAGGCGGACGTCTCCAACTGCAAGGATGAGTTCCAGTTCTTGAAGTAAATCCGACACCCACTCGTCGAAATCGGGGCGATGAGATTTCATTTGGATAATATTCTGAGGACACTTCAGGTCTTTGGAAGACGGCGAGAATAGCTGTTTGGTTCGAGATGGATTATCGAGAGAGATAAACTTACCGACGTTTTTATGCCCAAGGTGTAATGCGGAAAGATCAAGCAGCAAGTCTTCGAAAGACCTTTGCTTTGGATACAAGCCTTCAATGATGGCGAAGCACCAGTGAAATAGGTAAACCTCGATCACCGTCTTCATGAGCACGGGGTACTTAACGTCGCGGGTCTCGGATTGTTTGACCAAAAACGACGTCAATCGTTTACCCAGCAAGCGTTTGGCATTCTTCTGAAGTTCGGCCGGGATACTCTCCGACTGCCATCCTGCGCGCTCCAGATTGTCGAAATATCGTTGGGCATCATCCTGGACCTTCTCGTTGAGGGCGGAGACTGCCTTAATTATCTTCGAGCTCGGCCGCTTTCCCAGTCTCGATGGTCTAGAACGGATCGGCATGCGTGAGCTCTCGTCTTCACGTACCTCCTTCCGAGCTCTGGTAAGTGCGTCCTCGGCCAGTATCCATTGTGCCGCTGCTTCCATGTCTTCTTCCATCTGGGTAATTTGTTCCTTGAGTGCGGTATTTTGTTGACGTAATGTGCGGATCTGGTGGATGGCATCCGCTAACTGGGAGTGGGCATCTTGTATGCACTCAAGCTGGCTCTTCGTCATCGTCTTACGTCCTTGTATTTCGCTGTCCTGGTGATTTACGAGTTGGAAATCATCGCTTTCTTGCGTGGCATTTATATCCAGTTGCTTTCTCTTCGCATCCAATAACTTCTCGAAGGTCGATTCAATCTTCTTCAACTTGTTCGCGGCCGCATCGAATTCGTCTACGCCGTCGCACAATCGACTTGAGGTCATGTCGCCTTGTGTTGGGGGTGTCTGGGGTGTCCGCATACTTCTTTAGAGCTGATCTCGCGAACTGAGTAATTTTTCGCAAAACAGAGGTCAAAGAACGGTGGCAGTTGCAATTTAAACAAAGGACAGGGGCTATGTAATGGACACGACGCGTGATCATGAGAAACTCATGAGACAGATTAGATTCTGGGCGAAGGCGATTAAATGCGTAGAATTAGTAGATAGGTAAACGTAGAGGGCCAATCGCTGACGTTGCAAGGGAATGTAGCAAAGCCTTGAATGTACTTGGACAGGGATCTCTGGGAATTAGATATAACATCTGTATTGGGAGGCGGTTGGACCCTTCCAGCCAACTGAAAGTTTTGAGAGATGAGTCAACAGCCAGCAACAGAATCAAAGGCTTTACCGCATTGCCAGCAATCAAGAATAAGATTAGGATCGCTAAATTTCGAATGTTGAGTTTCCGTTGTCAAACAGTCTTTCTGCACTCACTATTTGTTCTTTATCTGGAGCAGCTTTTCATAATAAGGACCATAGAACGACACTGTTTGAGAAGGGCAAAGTCAGACGTAGTACTTATCATGCTGTCAGGACAGAGAATTGACCTTTGTAATTCGGTTCATGAATGTCAGCCTCGTTCTGTCGATGGCTACGTCAGTGAATCTAGCGCCAAGATTTGACATAAAATCGAAAACGCTGACAAGATATGCTCCAGAACCTGGCGTGATGTCACGCAAAATGTTGGCCGCCTTCGTCGACTGTGCATACGCCCCCTGACGATCCGCAAGTGTCGAGCTAAAGAACCATGTATTGACTAAAATTACCTGGTAACAACGGAAGCTGATCGGATTTCCGATTTGATTTATCGAACAGGCTTGGCACATACCTGATATAGTGACTTGCGCCACACAGGATTAACGCTCGTTCCGGAACCATCTGCGCCTTTAAAGCCGAAAGGCGTTGTCAAGTGGATTTGCGAAAATATGGAGTTGGAGAAAGAGTTCATCATAGCGTCAACAAGTTCCGCTCGGCCAGCAGCGGTTCGGTGATTCTTCTCGGGAATCAAACGCGAGGTTAGAGCATTTGGAAGACCAACAGCCTGGCAGAAGGAGTGAGATAATGGCTTTCAAACAGAGTGTCGATGCATACATCTTGTATCACTGCCAGATTATTTCCGACGAACTGAGAATACCACTGGTAGAAGGAACTGAGAGTAGTGACCGTGGGGGTCCCTCCGAGAGCGGCCGAAAGATTCACGAGAGCCTCGGCCGACTTCTTAGCGTTTGCGGGACTGAGATTTGGAGTCGTCATGACAAGACTTCCAGTTGAAGGCTGGTCATTTACCATATCAGCCACCGTAATTCGAGGATGTGGAGTAGGACCCACTGTCAAATATCCACCCCATCCTTGTGTTGCAAAAGTCGTCGCGTTATCGACAAACAGGGTCATAATTTGCCTCAGGTTGTCGTCGTTAATGGGCCAAGTAATGCTGGCACTGAAACAAGAGGTGAATAGAACTAGTGCTGTCTGATCCTTGCATGACGACTTACATTTGATATGAACGGGCGGGCGTCGCCAAAATTGTTGCCTCCATTACGATACCAAAAGTTCCGCCTCCTCCACCGCGTAAGGCAAAGAAGAGGTCGGAGTTTTGGTACGCGTTCGCGGTACGGTAAACTCCGTCGGGCGTCACGACCTTGTATTGAAGCTACAGCGCCGTCCACCATGATCAGAGGAGACGAAAAGGGGATCGGGAGGTGTCAAATGCTTACGACGCGGTCAGCCGCCATACCCGCTGACGGTGAAATCGACGAATGACCTCCACCCTGCGCAACTGTAGTCGGATGAGGAAGAGACTTATCAAATGTCACGGACCTGCAAGAATCCACCGGCAGCACCGACTGTTTCGTCGGAGCCGCCCACGATCTCAACACCGTGGCTGTCGGCGAACCTGTAAAGTTCGTCAAATTGTACTCCTGCCTGCAATAGTGCGTCGATGAGAAAGAAGAGTGACGAAAAAAATCAGTGGAATGGGCGCACCCCGATGGTGATAGCCGTAACGCCATATCCTCTCGCGGTGCACTTTTCGGGTACAAATTTGGGAACGAAAGTCATCTAAGAGAAAACATTTTAGCGGACGAATGTACTGGCGTTTGTTTATTGGCTCTTACCGATTTCAAGTGGTGCATCTAGGAATGTTTAGATATGTCATCCTTCTATCATTTAAAAAGGGACGGAAGACCTACCCAGAGGGCTAGAGAGTCGGGAGCCGAGCTTCGTCCTTTGAAATCATGTCCAGTATTCTTGATGACAAGGTTGACACCGGCCCTTCGAACGAAGTTCAAGGTAGCAATCACATCATTCTCGTCCTTCACGTCGACCTACAGACGTCGTGAGCCGTGATCAGCGCTACTAGTCAGGCTTTCGTCTATCAGACAGCGAAGGTAGAGAAGGTCTTACGTATAGTGGCGGTACGCTTCCTTGATCGCATGTTTGTGGAAGGGTGAAGGCAGCACGGTTCGTAGGGTTCGTCCAGTCGAGCATGCACTCGTCGCCAGTCGACATGCACGCCTCGAATTGGAGCTGAAGGACAATCATGATCAAGTCCTAGTACGCGGTCATTATACCTAGACATACCGCGCTATAACCACCAAAAGCGTCGGCTCGAGGCTCTGTAGCATATTCATAAGCAACAAAAGAAAAGAACAACGGCGGAGCGGGTGAAAGGACTCGCTATGGACATTGAAGTAGTTTTGTTGAACGAATGCGCATTGGTCGGGATCAGGAGTGACAGAGGCGTTATTATAGACACTGAAGCATGGCTTGGGCCAAGGAATCCCGAGGGCCAGTCGGCCGCCGACCGTGGAATTGAACGCCTTCCAGGCGGGTGAGTTGACCTGTCCGAGGAGGCCTTGCGCCGAGACTCCGTGGAGGAGAGCAGCCAGTAGAGCACCCATGGCAGGGGGCGAGTGCATGTCGGCTAGGTAGGGTTCGTGGCCCGCGAGAAAGATAGGAGAACAATTCTCCAAAACATACCATCATTTATATGTCCGTCGATTCAGAGTTCTCTTTATCGGGGCTTGTATAGTTTTTTGGACCTGACCAAAAATGCTTCCCGTTTTGTCCGCGTCAGTCTCTAGACTGCGTGAGACTGGGGCGTCCTCGTCGCTACGTAGGATGGCCGATCAATTCAACGTGCGTTCAACAGCGAAGTGCCGAATCCAGCACGACCCTACCGGAGTGGGACCATATGTCGGAAAGTGGACCGACTGTCAATCATAAAGGTGTCAACTAAACTGTGAATGAACCTGCGAAAAGAAACATCTCCTTGTGACTCAGCGAAAGGGACCAAATGAAAGGATACATACTCCAAAGAAACGCAACACTTGGGGGATTCTGTTTCAGATACCACCATGGGGGGGAAAAAGGAGTTCCGAAATCACAACGAAAGGGTGGAATGCCTCGGGCTACGCTCATACACGAAGCCGAGGCTTCTTGATTGTCAATATCAGCTGGGAAGTCTGTTCGGGCTTGATTGGAGGCACAAAGTAGCAGATCCCCTCTGACGAAGATTGATCAGTAACTCGGGGGAGAGAAGACATGGCATTACATGCGGATACATGATGTGTGCAATAAGACTCTGTAAGATGATATTCTTGTATGCGCGATGGTGCCTCGACTCGATGTCTAAAATCCGGTGCTGGCGAGACACCTGACAAGAAAGTATCTCGTCTCAACCCGATCTATGGGCGAAGGCTCAGTAACTTCAAACGTCGGATGTCCCGCGGCGTAGTTACCCCAGGGCACAAGAGTCTCATGGCTGTTGCACCTGTTTCTTTGGCCTGATTGTCGCCCGCTCAAATGCTCAAGTGGATAGAACTCGACCTGGAAACTTGATCAGCGCCATCTTTTCATCAAGAGACGTGCAGACGGGACATACAACTGACAGGGGGCTCGTCCAAGCCCTTCAAGTTCTCGCTTTCGGGTTAAGCAGTAGAAAGACAGGAACTATGCCCGCTAATACTTGACGCAACGGTCGTAATACCTGTTCTTATGAGTGGACATACAGCAGATTCGGGCCATCAGCTCATTATGCGGACGTTCAAGAGTCTTGATAGATATAGTTGCATCGAGGGTTTGGACCAGAGAAGCGAGGAGAGGGTCGTAACTATGCCAGTAGCGTCGGTCACTGCGACAAATGCTTAGAACTTGAAAGAACAGATATAAAAGGTTCCAAAGAAATCGATTGCGCCAGCGGGTGCTGAGGCATGTCAGTTTTTTTCTGCCAATGGTGCGTAGAAGGGAACTCAGGGAGGACACGAATTATTCGCCAAGAACAAGGTCCGCAATTTGCCAGACGCTTTCCCATCTGCCAGAAGGACAGCGGCCCTGAACCGTAACTTTCGCGATAACCTAGGCAAAGGCACGATTAAGTGTCGTTATTTTGGATCCTCTATGATCACGAATTATAGATATATTGAGCATTACTTTTCTCTGAAGAAATATAGCCCTGTAGAAATTTCGACAGTCTGAGACCTGCGTCACTAAATTCTACTAACTTATAAACCTCAAAAGTGCTACAAGAAAGTCCAAGATGTGGTATACGGTGGATCATGTGCACGAATGTCAACGCCTAAATCTCCGCCATCCTCACTAGCCCATCGTATTTTCACCTACTACGATCGCTATCCACCTTATCTATTACCACAGTACCGTGACGCTTAAAGAACTAGTTACCTTGTATCACGCTTTCCGCGGTATTCGCTGTTACACTGATTTTCCTTGAATTCTCACACCCTCCTTCCTGAGACCGTTGAGTCGTCTTGGGCAGCTGCGGAAGGCCCTGGAACACGATGATTTTGAGACATGGATCTCTAGTCAAGTGCGGGAGAACCCACCTTGACTCCCACAGGGTTGTAGTCGTTTTCCTGCTCACTACTGCTGTAGATTGAGCCGAGGGTCTTCTTTGCGTCTGTGGTTAGATCATCGCGCGGTGATGGGGGTTGGTGATCAGGGTAAGATGAAAAGAAGTATATTCATGTACTTAGACGCTCTTTTCCTTACCACTGAGCCGGTCGTTTCTGATAGGGACCTAGTACCGGTTAATACACTTCCTTCCTTCCTTCCCTCCGACAACGTCGATGTCACCTGAAGGACTGATTATGCATTCTCCCTGAATGCACTTATTAATGCAACCCTCGACCTCAAAACTATTGTCCGAGAAGCACTTCCACTGCTCGAACCCACTACACGCTGTAAGCCCAGCCCGCTGGTGCCAGCAATATATTCCGCCTCCGTCATTGATGTCCTTTTCACAGGCGCCTTCTTCCTACCGACGATCTCGTGGGCATTGTCCATGTACTTGGACATAAACACTGCGTCCGGAGAGAAAGACATGATCTCTACGCCGCATATATCCTTCTCCGCCATCGCAAGACGGAGCTCGTACGCGAGCTGGATGAGGGCCTTGATCTTGGAGGTGAACAGACCGATACTTGGTGAGCGCATTTGGACACCGCCTGTCTGAAGGACCGGAATGAGGTCTCCAATGACGTCCACAGCCCAGTTCTCGAAGCTTGGTGTCTTGACCTCGGGTTGGAGGATCTGGACACGCCTTCCACAAAGAATCTGGGTTCCTAGAGGTATATCAGCCGCAAGACAATCATCTTAGGTAGAACCCCACGGACCTGAACTAGATGCAAACATCGTCCGTTCTGAAGAGAGCTCAACCAGCACATCCGCGAAGGTCTGTTGCTTTGGGTATGAAGCATCAATGATAGCAAGGGACCAATGGACAAAGAAGACCTCCAGCACGGTCTGCATCAGCAGTAAGTGGATCTTCGAGGTTCTATCCCTTCCCTGCGCCTCTAGCAAGGCTAGCACCTTCTCACCCAGGACTTGCTTCGTCCTCGTCGGGCTGGAACTGATGAACACCGACCTGCTATTAGGCAGCCGCTCCAGCTTCTCCGCGAGCAAGCTCGCTGTCTGCAACACCTCCTCATTAAACTTGACGACCGCAGAGAGGACCTCGCCACTCATCTCCCTCGAGTTCGCAAGCAATTTGCTCCGTCCCGTAGTCCCGAGCGCCCCGTCCTGCCGTGCATCGAGCTTGGCATGTGAGATGTGGTCGAGGTACCGCATTCGCCGCTCCGCACTAACCATCTTGTGGTGCATCGTGTCGAGCTGCTCCTGCCACGTTTGCTTTTCCTTCTTCAGGCTCATCACCTGGGTCTTCGAGTCTTTGAGCTCGGCCTCGACTTGGGCCAGCCTGTCGGACAGCCTGAGCTTTTCTACTGCCAGTTGGTTTGCTTGGTCGTTTCGCTGCTTGTACATATTCGCAAGACGGTCGTTTTCTTGTCGATGCTGTTCGCTGGCCTCTCTCGAATCTCGGAGTTCTCGCAAGGCCCGATCGAGCCGTGTCTGAAGACCCTGCATGCTTGCTTCCATATGCGCGGAACGAGCCTGCTGCGTCGCGTCGTCAGTCTTCTGTTTGAAGCGAAGATCTCGTTCCTTCTCGAGATCGAGAGCCAAGCATTCGTTGGCTTCTCTAGACTCTTGCAATTCGTGCAATGCTTCATTCAGCTGATGGTGGAGAGATTCCAGTGACGAGGAATCGTCTGCGGGAACTTCTACTTTGATCTTGGGGGATGGGATGGGAGGTGGTGGGACGGGCCTCCTGGTCGAAGGAATTGCCGGGACGGCAACGAGTGGAGGAACAGGTTCGGATTGACCTCTTTGGTGTGGAGATGGTTTAGGTAGAGCTAGAACAGGAACCGGAGGACGAGCAATCTCTGACTTCGACTTGCCGTGCTTGACGTTGATGTCTTGTAAGGACTGAATTCGCCTGAACTTTGCCCGCTCCGCGATCTTCTTAGCAACATCTTCGTCCACGCTGTAAGCACTGTTTCTGTACGATGCCGGCGATTCCAATAGCTCAGAGCGAAGCTGACGAGATGGAACGGAAGGGGTATAAGGAGGAGGGGAGAGCGTATCGGCAGATTCTGCAATGGACTGCAGCATCGCGAATGTGCTGTTCTGGGGTCGACGCCGCCGACGTCGTCGTTCTTCATCGTCTGGGTCTGTAGAGCTCGATGGCGTAGGTGGAAAGAGGGCGGTTGGAGATTCCGTGGGCTGGGTGGAAGGTGTGGGTGAGGGTGGTGGCTTGCTCGCTGCCGTGATGGTATCTTGCCTTGCCTCGAGAAGAGGTGGCACTTCCGATATCTCTAGAGCGGCTAGATTGTGTAGAAACGACCCAGAAGGAATGCTGCCTCTTGGTAATGATGCACCTACAATCGGAGCTCGTTTCTCTAGCAGTGGGAGAGTCGAAGAGCTGGGTTTATCTATGGCTATAAACCCAAGCTCAGAGTCGTCCGGAATGGGTGGGAGGCCTTTGAAGGGGGAAGGAGGTCCCTTTGATACCGATGATTCCATAGTCGGTGCCACTGGTGCTGATTCTTCATCATTCCTAACCTGCTCCCCACTCTCCTGGCTGATCTCTTGTACAGCTGACGGTGATACGACGACTTGCTCGTCGTTTGTAGGCTGAAATTTGTTGTCGAGGTTGAGGGTTGATGTCTGCGTCTTCAAAGCAGATTTTCTGCTGAAAAGAAACATCATCTCGGGAACGAGGACAGAGCTGAGAATGGTCTGCGGAGGTGTGTACTGGTCACGTTGAAGGAACGTGCAGATAGGCGCCCGCACCCCCTTTGGCTGAGAGTTGGGAAATGGCAGTGTTAGCGGATTTCGGATTTCGGCTGATATTCTAGCGTCGAAAAATACCTTGACGGAATAAAAGAGACTTTGCCGCAGAAAGTCATTGACCTTGCCTCAACTTTTCTGAGCAATTGAAATTCGGTGCGTTAAGTTGAGGAAAGGATTGCCAAGACTTGTGTTTGTTTGTTCGCGATCTGCTCCTCGCTATACTCGCTTCTACTCTCTTCCTACATGTATGCGACTTTGTTGAAGACTTCAAAGTCTCATACTTTAGCTATCAACGCAAGCTGCATGGAACCCATACCGAATGCAGCTCCACGGCATGCGGGAGCCTATGCGATTGTACGTTGGTGAATTTGCCTCCTAACCCCACAAGCATTGACGATTGACGTCGGCCTATAGGACCTCCAGAGTCGGTTGCGGTTACCTGTTATCATGCATATATCTTGCTACTAGACTCCCAAGGGCAATACCCCTCTGGCAATGTCACGACCCAGCGTTATCGTCTGCACGCCCGCCTCTATGGACGATATCCTTCAGAAATCGTCAGCCAGTTTCTGGTTATTCTCATATGCATCGATGATTCGGCGTCAGGCACTCCAATCCGCGATATTTGTCTTACCTGCGGAGAATGGTGCGATGTCGGCGTCTCCACGCCCAAGCTTTGGTCCTGCCTCGACATCAATGTCGATTCCGGAAGCTCGCAAGCAATGCGCAGGTGGATAGAGAAGTGGCTGGAACGATCGAAGCGGCATTCCTTGAAGACATCCCTCTCTATTTCCGATGGGCCAGACATTCAAATCGGAGGGGAGACAAAGCGTCTCGTCAATGGCACGTTCGAGATGTTGTCGGGCCAGATTTATCAGTGGTCGGAATTGAATCTTTTGCTATCAAACGACGAGCCCCCAAGGTCCTTGACCTACAATAGAGAGAAGGCGGTTCAATTGGAGAAGTTATCGATCGCAACACCTCCAATCTACCTGAACGTCGAAGCAATTGGTTAATCAAGCTCGTGCGACAAGCCACTCGACTATACACCACGGCTTATTCTTATATACGACTCTCACACCTCACGACCGTCAAGTTGACCTCTCTATGAACCTTATTGAGAGTTTTCCTCTCGTCAAAATTCTCCATGTTGCTCTCTTCAGCAGTTCACACACAGGACATATCTCGGTCCCACCATCTTCACTTCCCGTAGTTTGCTTTGCTTCGACGTCATTTTTCGATACAATTCTCATCTGGAGGATCGCCGGCTGTTGGATGAGATGCGTCGGGAAGGGTTGGGCGGACGGACGGACGGAGTTTGGCATTTCACGTAGGATGGCTTGATGGTCAGTCCATACCTCTACTTGTGGCGATGTGCTGCATTAAATTCACTCACTCCATAAGCAGAACGGACGCTCTGCTGGCATTTCACCTTTATTGGCGCATATATCCAGCCTAAAGACACGCTCGAAGGGTGTGGAAATGTATTTCTCATGCGCTCTATGCACCTCGTTTGCCAGTTATAGATTTGTAACTGCACTGTCGAACCAGACTCCAGACGTTCAAGTCCACAAAACCCGCAACACAAAGCGACATTTCCGGTTCTTGCGTGATCAGAGCGCATCGGTGTCTCCGCCAATTCATGATACCATGCTTCCAACTCGCCATACGTCACCGGACATTTCTATGGGATGATGTACCGTCCCAAAGCATATACCAGAATGCATTCCGAATGGTTCTCTTTACTATCCGCCCCCGAGAAGATAACTGGCCTGGCGCCTCTTGCGTCACTTTAATAATAATCGCACTTCAAGTCCACTCACCGTCTTTCCCGACGCTTTGGACTTTTATGCCTTGTCACCGCCATAGGCCTGATAACCCACCTAATCCACCATTGCATGAGCAATCTTTCTGGCAGGAAGTCAAACCTGATCAATCTCAAAAGGTAGCTCGACTGAGCAATAACAGGCACTAATCAGCAACTGTACTGTCTTCTGGTTGTTTTCCTTCTTCGAAGGCACTTCTTCAATATTCATCGGCAGACTCGTGCCTTTGACCCACAGGCCTAACATTCCTCGGTCTCGTCACGCTCGGCATGTGCGGGTTCTTAGCATTTCTAAGAGTGCTCCGAGGACGAGAGTGCCTCTATCCCGATGACCCCTTTTGGTCGTTTCGGGAGACCGAGGAGAGGGCCAGTGGTCCAACCGTTTGACGGGAATTTTTGGGACAGTCCATGGCGAGTATAGCACTTGCACCGTCCGAACTTCCTATGGGGCAGGTGATACGATGGTTTGAATTTGAATTTGCACATGGAATTGCCTGTTGATGTACATCTCAAGACTTTAATCGTTCTACCTCCCTCCGCTCGGTTTAGAGTTTCTGCATCTCCACCTTGATCAAATGTGTTGGTAGCTGTAATCTTCTCCACGTTTGTTATTAACTAACGACCAACCTCGACGAAGAGATAGAGCTAAGAAATCCTGTGGTGAGGGAGGATCCGATGCCCACAAGCGCCTAAAAACGTCGAGATCATGTCTTCGAGATGTTAGCGTCCTTATTTTGATTTCTGGGATGGACAGATTGAGGGACTGAAGATTCCCAAATAAAACGAGGCCAAAAAGAACTCCGTCGGCCGTCGCCTCAACAAAATCCTCACGCTCCTTGAACGTCCTCTCCCGCTTTTTGCAAAAAAAAAATCGGTACTGTCTGCACTATCTCACTCTTTTCTTGAACCCCAAAAACGTCTTCCCGTTTGCCAATTCCCTACTTGCAGCAAATTGTTCTAAGAACGCCTTTCGCCAAATCTCAAGTCAGGGCTAGAAGTTATGGCTCGTATGCCCGCAGAGGGGACGACGAAGGCGCCTGTTGGTAGGAGATCCTCATATAGAGTCGGTAAGGGTAGAAAGAAAGCGAAGAAGTCGTCAACGGCAAATAAGTGAGTTATGGAAATATCTTTTTTGTCTCTTCTCTGACATCTAGAGTAGATATGCCCATGAGCGCTGAGCCTCGGATTCGACGCCGCATCCAATCCACCACCTGAGCCTTCAGGGAATGAGATACGTTCCAAGAGCTTAGGAAACGTAGCCCCACTCCCTCGAAGAAAAGGAACGCCGTCGCGAGATGGGAGCTTGTAAGAAGTGTGCCACAATTCGCAAGGTAAAAGATACGAGTGAAGTATTACTTGGGAAATGTTGCGTTTTCAAACATCGTCCATATATTCAGTATTACGCAAGGAGGTGAAAAGACGTACGTGATTTCGCTAGAACTCCAATGGATAATCTTACAAACTCGCGTAGATGACGCAGACTCTCCGTGCTTTTTTCTGTCAAAGTGCAATCGAGTCACCGTCTCCCTCACACCTCAGCTCGCTACTAAACGAATCATGGATTTCCGACCTGTGTATTCGGCCACCGATGCAATCACATTTATTTATATTTGCCTTCCTCCTACTCTCCAACTTCCAAGTTGTGAGGCTTACAAGCGCCCTGATTGGCGTCTATGATCGTGATGTCATCTTCCTTGCCAACCGCGCCGTAAGCGACGCCAACAGCCGCTGCCTACCACCTCCTACCACCGCATTATTCAAACTCTTCAACTTCATGTGCCTCTTCCCAGGAATCCCACTGTGGTCCTCAACATACATGAAACCTCGAGCCAGTGGTAGCACGCATTCAATACTAAATGGTCGAGACATAGGGCTCTGATGCCGTGTGATGGTGACCATGCCGTCTCGGGTTTCGGGGAGTAGTCAATTGGCTCATGCGAATGGCCATCTTTCCTTCCGACCACATCATCTTAGCTTATTCACCTCACGGTCTGAGTGCTCCTGGAGATGTCCTCCGGCCGTCCTCGCTGGGTTGTAGTCGACGATACCAACACCGACATCGTTTACACCGGTTCCTCGTGGTTTCAAGACACTGGTAGTCAAGATTCAGCGGGCAATTTCGGGCCGGCGTATCGCAGCACGTTGCATGGGACGAAGGCGAATGCGAGTCTTTCATACTCCTTCAGCGGTGCGTCCCAGAATAGTTCCTATTTCATCCTGGGTTCTGATTTTGCTCTGTCATTAGGTTCTCGGGTTAGAGTTTGGGGTACGAACAACATACGGAACGACAGCGGGGTGATAGATCCAAAGTGGGAGTGCTTCATCGACCAGATCAGTATCGGCGCCACGAGTACATTCGCGTTTGCCGAGAACAATTGGCTCTTTTGCGAGCATAACGGGTTGGTCGATGGGCCGCATGTGTTGACGGTCAACGCGACTGTAAACCGCGAGCAGACGTTCTGGTTCGATGCCATTCACTATGTTCCCTCTCCAAGCGCCTCTCTGGACAAAGCGGAAATTCTGCTGGACAACCGGGATCCTTCCCTGGGATATGGGCCTCAGTGGCAGTCATTGGGTAGTACGGCCAATATGACGACTCGTCAGGGCTCGAATTTCGACCTTGATTTCTACGGTAAGTAGGATTGATTGCCAGCGACGAATCGTCTTTTGAACCGTTTCTAGGCGTTTCATTAAGCTGGTACGGCTTTATCCCAACGGAACTGCCTCACGATGCCACGACGGCTACATACTCCGTGGACGGGGAAACGCCAGTCAATTTCTTGCTGAAGGGCCTGCCAGCGGACAACACCGTTACAATATATAATCAAAAATTCTTCGAAACGAAAACCTATCCGGCTGGGCCACATCATCTTTCTGTGATCTACCAGGGCAATGGCCAAACCACACCACTCACACTCACTCATCTTGTCATTCAGAATGGCACAGCATCATCCACGACGACGTCTGCAGGATCTTCAGGTACCAGTGGAGCAGGAAACAGCGGGAATCTGAGTGGAAACGGAGGGAACGACGGAGAGAGCTCGACTAACGTCGGCGCCATCGCTGGAGGAGTGATCGGCGGTCTGGTTCTGATCTTACTCGCCGTCCTCGCTTTCGTTTTCCTTCGCCGCCGAGACCAGCGGCGCAGAAGAGATCTCGACCTGCAGGAAGATGCTCCGCACATGGTCGAGCCATTCAGCTATGCCCCTGTCAACCCCGGACTCCCTCCAAATCACCTTTACCCATCATCCAACAACCTCTCATACCCATCTGGCCACCTAACCTACCCATCTATCAACCCTTCCTACACTCAACAATATCCGCAGACGGCGCAAACCGGCACCGGGTTCGCGACGAGCTATGGCAGCGGACACCAAGCATCGACGAGCTACAGCAACTCGGAGATGCAGTCAGTGATTGCATCGAGCTCGTCGGGTGCTGGCGCGACGACCGGGCACAATCCCAGGTCGACGAAGGCGCAGCGAGAGGCGGAGGCGACCGCCGCGGCGATGCGGGTGTCGAACAGGAGCGGTCAGCTTGGACCTGGGCGCCCAATGTCGCCGCCGCTTAGTGACGTGTCGGCGAATTCGCGGATTATTATGCATGAGGACAGTGGGCTACGGTTGCCTGAGGCGGACGCGCCGGTGGTGGAGGTGCCGCCAAGATATACCCCAGGTTAGAAGGAGCGTCCATGTCATGACCTTTTTTTGCATCTGCTTTCGTTTGATTTTTTTGGCATGTGAGTAGCGTCTTTCACTTTGTTTTAATCATGAACGAATTGCTAACCCTTTTTCTTAGATTTGTATTGTACATTCTTTTGCAAGGACAATTTCAATCCTTTCATATTACCTGGTCGTTTCGCTGCAAGTTTGTTGTGATGGAGCCAACGTCCAAGCTCGCGATCCAGACAGCACCGCCGACGACACCGGCAACTTTATACAGTTGTTACCTTCGAACTCGATCGCCGTCTCCAAGACAAGCGTCCCATCACGCTCGAGTTCAACCCCAGCCCCGTATAGTGGTACTCTATCGTTATCTGCTTGAGAGTCGCAGATCGCTAATTTTGGACTGATAATTTTTCCATGACTTGCAGGTACTTACCTCGAGTACTGGTTGTTGAAGCAAGAGCTCGAGATCTCGGGATGTGCGTCATATCAATAGTCCAACTAGTAGTAGAGGGTGCCAGCTCAGGCATCGGTCTCAGCTCGGCGTTGCGGGCTATCTTTGTGCCTGCGACTCTGACTCGAGTGAACTCTTTTGTTACATGCATAGATCTGGATTGGACCATCGCTTACGGCATTCCGTGGCACCACGCAAGGTGCGATGTTTCCTGACTGATTTAATACTGAGTTACTAGTTTACTGAGAACCGCAGGCGGTTCCGTATACGAACGCTGTTAATGGCGGCCATGCTCAAATTTTGAAGTTGCCACCCTGCATGGAACGAATGTCAGCGCTAGCTTTTCGTACATTTTTGCAAGTATGCCTTCCTTTCAGTCCATATCGCACACGGTCTCAGTGTACTGTACAGGTACCAGAGTGTCTGTCACTGGTTTCAACAACATTCGAAACGACTCAGGTGTTATTAACCCGTCCGATGTGGAATGTTTCGTCGATAACATCAGCGTTGGACGGTAGAGCCAAGAACCCTCTTTTTCCCTTTTGAAGCGGATGGTCATCGTGAAGAATTGCCAACTAGACCCCTACCATGCGTGAGCAGATTTTTCTTTGACCTGTTTTCTTTCTCTAAGACTTCTCGTCTCGAAGGTTTCTTGGTCAGTGATCATGGTATCATAGCGCTACTTCATGTTGGGCGCGTCGAGATCTTACGATTGATCCCACTGCACCTCGAAAGCTTGAATGAGGGAGGCTTCGCATCGGCTTCTTTGGGTGTCGACCAGGTCGTGTATTATGGACCCAATAGCGTCAAGGTCTTCATCTGGTTGGACGCCAGCGCCAGCAGGAATTCCCGAAGATCTGGAGTTGGGGAGAGGCAGTGTCTAGTTTCAGGGCTCTTCTGTTCATGTGCCGTATAGAGGGCGAGACACTATCCGTCGTCCATGATGGTCGTGGATGTACAGACGTTCCCAAACCCCAGTAACGACGCTGGATCGTCACTTCCTACGAAGATGATCAATGCTCGCACACAAGCACCCATCTTTAGAACAAAGCCTCAGCAAAACATTTTCTACAATCCGAAACATCGACCACCCTGCTTGGCTCCTCGACTCAAACCAGCTACAGCCGACCAGCTAGAGGTATCCAAGCTGTCGTGTCATCGACATCCTCTCAATCTCCCACAATAATCCAAGCACTCATGTTTACAAGCATTGAAACGCTCAGCCAATATAAGATTGGTATGTCTAGTCATTCTCTTCCCCCGAAGGTGGCCTGACGTCTATGCCTTGCGTACCAGACCTCGACCTTCACTGTTAGTACATTCCGAAAATACCTAAGTCACCTCGGTTTTCTTTTCTTCCCGTAATACTGATTTATGATCTTTTTTATCGATAGATTGATTGAGATTTCAACGTCGGATTGATAGCAACCTTAGTAGCTCATGTGAACGACATGTCAAGGGCATCAAGAAGCGACTGTCAGTGGACCCACAATGGTTGCAGGTTGTTCTCATGGGGTCTTTTACATAGACAGCTCGTCGACTTTCTCTCCCACCTTTTCGCAATGTCGTCCTCCGATCTACTGCCAACCCGGCTGATCATTGTCGATGACACGGATCCTGGTATAATCTACCATGACAATGGGTGGTTTCGAGACCAAGGCAGCCATGATGGTGACGGAACATGGGGGCCTGCGTTTCAGAGCACATTGCATGGGACAATTTCTAATTCCTCGTTTTCGTTCAGCTTCAGCGGTACGTCTCTTTTCTGTCGGCATATACGCATATATTTATCTTTGCTTCGTAGGGACACATGTACAAGTGCTAGGCTTCAACCAAATTCGAAGCAACTCCGGGATAGTGGACCCAACTGTCGAATGCACCGTTGACGACATTCCCGTGACATCAACCGCCCCAAGTGCCCTCGTAGCAAACAACTGGCCCTTCTGCGGTCAAGAGGGTCTGTCTGATGGCACTCACAACTTGACCGTCAGGGTGACCGTTACGAATCGACAAACATTTTGGTTTGACGCGATCCGTTATCACCCGTCGGCAGATGTTCCACTTGACGATAAGACCATTCTAGTCGACTCGAAGGACCCTGCCTTCCAGTGGGGCAATTTCTGGCGGCCATTGGATGGGTTTGCCAATATGTCAATGGAAGACTCCGCGTTTGTGAGGTTCGAGTTCTACGGTAAGCATTCTAGCTCAAATCTAGCATTGATCCTACAATGAGTTCAAATCATTTGCTCCTATCTTCCAGGTGTATCTCTGAGCTGGTACGGGGTCAGGGTCGCCAGCACGTTATCTCGAGACGCTTCCACCGGTTTATACAACCTCGACAATGGAACTTTGGTGACATTCTCTCTCAAGACCATCCCAGTTGGCGCGCAACAAAGCTACAATCAAAAAATATTCGAAACCCCGGTTTACCCGCCAGGAAAACATGAGCTGTTCACAGTCTATGCAGGAATACGCGACCAATCTCCTCTTACCCTCGACTATGTTGTCATCAAGAATGGCAGCACAAGTGCGAATAGCACAGTGACCACCATCACTGCGCCCTCGACAGCAGATCGCACTGCTCTGCCTTCGAGCGACACTGTTGTTTCCGAATCGTCCAGGAAGTCGGTTGATGCAGGCGTCATTGTCGGCAGCGTTCTGGGCACCCTGACATTTGTCGCTGTTGTCCTCCTTTCGATCTGGTTCCTGCGTCGGCGAAGTCAAAGGCGACTCCAGCAGCAAAAAGAAGCAGCTTTGACAAATCAGGCGAACATTGTAGACCCATGGTTCCAACCTGGCCCAAACCCCGACATTGAGTGGATACCCGAGATGCAAATTCTTCTCCGACCCGACTCACCCTCAAATACATCCGACATGAGTCCCAACTTGAAGCACCGACACCTTATCAACGCCTTCGGTATTTGCGAGGATGGAACTTACGATCCTCGCCTCTCGCTTGTTGATGGCAGCCCATATGCTAGTCAATCCGGATATACGTCGGAGCAGGGAGGGTCGTCGACGTCAAGCAGCAGACGAGATCAGGAGTTCGCAAAGCATTCCAAGTCTCCTTTGAGATACGGTTCCCCCTCACCTACCCCTTCACGCTTCGTTCTGCCACCAGATAGCGGCGTACGCTTGCCTGCTGAGCCAGATCAGAACGTCGTCGAAATACCGCCAGTCTACACCCCTGGTTGAGGCAATCCCTACGTGCTCAACCTTCGTCCATATACCTTCAACAAATTATGTTTATTAACTTTTATACCCTATTACGAACGCCAGGCTCGCTCAGGTTTTGTACAGTTTCTTTTTTTATATTTTGAGATCCATTCGCTCTTTAACCCTACTAGTACCGGGATGCCTTGTTCGACTCCTGCCTTCGTTCTTCACCCTGGATAGCCCGATTGTGCAACGGGTGGTAGTGTGATAGTGTTCTGTCGCCCACAGTTCGGATATTCATTGATGCCTCCTTCAGTGTGCCAAGTTTTGAAGAATGGAGGGAGGACGACGCTGGATACGTCAGCCTGGGTGAGCGTCACGAAGCTCTTCAGCCACCAATCCAGCCAGTTCGAATTGGAAACGCCTCGCTCTTTCTATAAGACGAAACATCCGTCGCAGAGCCACTGTTCTTCGCGTCCACGTCGGGTTTCTCTGCACGCCAGCATTTGGCGAAATGTGGAAGGCACATCAGGTTTTTTATGGTATAGTCCTTCCTTCCGGATCCATCCCTGGACTAACAGGAGTGTTTCAGTAACGTCGAAGAACGGAAACGTAAGTTAAAGCTGCGGGACCTGCAACTGCTTCGTCCTCGTCGATTGTGAGATGTTAAAGGTAAGAGCCAAACCCAGTTACGGAAGTTTCCAGGATGGTAAAGCCAAGTATTACTTCCCCTGAAGCCTGAAGCGTCTCATCGTTGAGATGAGTTCCGAACCGAACACGTACCTAGGATGAGGACGTTCCTCTTTTGCCCACTCTCTTTTTTTCCCTAAAGTCTGCAATTGAGAAAATTCTGGGTCAGTGGGCATGAATCACGTTTACTCTCCGAACGAATTTCCCGGCGCGGCAATATGCCGTCTGACCTTGTCTTGCATCCATTCGCACTACCCGGAGCAGAGAGCTTTATTTCACAGCTTCTTGTGTCCACCCAATCTCTACCAGCAACATACATACCTCAACCTTTAACAATTCTGATCAATCCTACCTACTCCGAAACCAAGCTGGAACATATTTCCATTGCGGCTTCGAATCATCCGGGAGTCCCTGCCAGTATTAATTCTGACTAGTAAAACTAGTAGCAATTGACTAGCTAAATGTGCCCGACATGCCGTGTCTCCGGCACAATTTCCACATCGTGGGCCCCGACCTTTGATTATGTAATATGTGGCGCCCTTGCCATTTACGGCATCCCGTCCGACAACGATCAAGCACAGAAGAGGACCCTGATTGACGGTGGAGCTTATTCGGCTTTACTGACACCTTCGAGAATTAAACTCACCAGCGTCAACTCGCAGTCCACCGCTCTACTATCTTGTATTCTTATCCACTGTTCGTCACTCAAATTTCAATATAGTAAAAGCATATCCGCTCTCGTTTCTTGCTCTCTGGTCACGGTGGAACGTCGTCAAAGAAGTCAAGGGATTATAGGCACTGAATTGCGGGAACATAGTGATTGCAAAAAACAAATCAGGTGTCAATCGCCTCGTCACTGAACGTAGAGGTCGTGTGAACTTTACGTAATGAGTATCGATATAAAGCTGAAACTGTCAAAAAACCGGCAATTTCAGGGTCATTGCTGCTATGCGCTGTCTCTATAAGCTGTGCGAGTCTCTAGAAAACTCGCTCTCTCTGCCTTGCGGGTCATGGCGCTACCACCTCCCTACCCCCCTCCACGGGCCGTAGTTAGGGTCCTGCGTATCGGAGCGTAAGACCAATGTCGACGGCGCGAGTTTCTCTAAACCTTTTTTATATTTTGTCCTGGAGCCTAAGACTAATACCTGCTGTGTAATTAGGACACAGATTTGAATTTATGGGCTCTAACAACATTACACGCATGTTGGATGTAGCCACTCCTACCGTGGAATGCTTCGTCGACAATGTCAGTATTGAAGTTACCCGGACATCGAACCTCATAGCCGATAACTGGCCCTTCTGCCATCACCACAGCCTCTCGGATGGTCTCCACAATCTGACGGTCATCGTTCGAACGGATGACCAAATGTTTTGGTTCGACTCGATTCGATATCTTCCAACTGCGGAAGTACCGCTTCACGACAAGAGTGTTATAGTCGACTCGATGGTCCCTAAATTCTAGTTCGCATCTGGGGAATGATCAGTCGCCTCCAGGGTGACGTCGAATGGAGTGGTTGTCATTTTTAAATTTTACGGTCAGTCTAATTATGTTGTTGTGGATTCTCTAACAGACTGGGCCAAATGCCGATGTAGGCTGGCTAAAACGGCTCTGGAAAATCAAACCCACCTCGCCGACTCCGAGCAGCGTATACCCGATATACAAACCGTTCTCCGACGCGACCTGTCGTCCTGCACTCCCAACATGAGCACCAGCTTGAAGCACGGTGTT